AGACAGGAATTAGATTTAATGTATCAGGGTACGCATTCTTGAGTAAATTAAAATGTATTCGTCACGTCGCAGATAATAAAAATTTATGTGTTCTTAATTCATTTTACGGACTTTAAAAAAATAAACTTTATATTCTAATTTTTATTCTTTGATAAATGAACAAAAACGGAACAGCTAAAATGAATGATAATCAAATTAGAGCAGAAGGTAGAAGGTTATTTAAACGCTTCTATAACATTCCTGATGGTGTTAATCCTAAAACTCGTAGAAGTTATTTAAATGAAGCAATAGATGCATATGAAGGGTTTGACATTTCATCAGAAAGTGAGAGATTAGCGAGAATGTTAAATGTTAATATTGATTTCTATTATTGTGATCCTCAACCAGAAGACGTGGACATAAATAAGGTAGACTTTCCATTAGTGGAATCAATAATGATAGATCCAGAATTTGAAACAGTAAATATTTTATTAACACAGAGTCCATGTGGAAAACTTCACGCTGACAGAATAACAGACGTTGAAGCACTCACCGGCTATAAAGTTTGTCCATATTGTAAAGAAGAAGTTTATTCTATCCGTGATGATCCAGAAAGGAAAAACCAAAGAAGATTTTTAAAGCATTGTGAGAAATGTAAAGAAAATAATGGAAGATTAATTCAAGACGTTCAATTGCAAAAGACACAGCAACCATATGCACCACATATTACGAAACAGAAGATATATCAGTGGTTATTAGCTCACAATTTGCAGGAATATTATAAACCGACAAGATATTATATTACTTTTGACTTCGAAACATTAGAGACTAAAGAAGAATTACAACTTTCTGAGTGTGCAACTTTGAACGCTTACTTAAAACCATTCATGGTATCATCAACGGTTAAATTAAATGATAAAACATATACGAGGAATTTTTTCTTAACTTCGAGTGATTCTTTTATTTCTGATTGGATTGAGTTTTTATTTTCAACCTGTTCATTAGTTGCTAAATCAAATATTGAACAATATGAAGAATTAATGAAGTCGCAAACGGACCAAACGGCGGGGACTTTGTCTCATACATTAAATGAAAAACAGAAGGAAGCATTTAAAGAACTTCTAGATGAGGAATTCAATAAAGTGAATATCATAGGTTTTAATTCGGGAAAGTTTGATTTAAATTTAATTCTTCGTGATTTAAACACTGCAAAATGGAAAATAAAATCAATGCTGGGTTCATCTTCACAATTTAAGCAAATCATAGTAAAGAAAACAAACTGTCCATATGAATTAAGATTTATTGACATCAGAAATTATATAGCGGGTGGAACATTAGACCAATTCACTCAAGATTTCGGAAACAATAAATCACGTGTTAAATCCTTTTTCCCTTATCAATTCATCACATGGGAAAATTACGAAGAAGAATTATATAAAGTGGAACCATTCACTCAAGATTCATTTTATTCAGCATTAACCCAAGAAACTATATCAGATAGTGATTATCAAATATATCTCAATGATGCTAAAAACTTTAAGAATAGATTAGAATATTTTATTCATTATTGCAATAAAGATGTTGAAATTATGATTGACCCAATCGATAAAATTATTGAAGAAACATTTGTTTATAAAATTGACATGCTTCATAATCTTTCTTTATCATCGAATGCTTCAATGATTCGTTACGCTTTAGCATATAAAGACTTTAATCCTAATGAAAAATATCCTGAGGAAGAGATAGAATCAAGTTTTGAATTAACGAAAAAGTATTGGAAATATAAAATTGAAACATATAAGAAACAAGATGAAAAAGCAGAAAGGGATACTAAAAATAATGTTTCAATGGATGATTTTCAATACTATCACGATTTAATCCTTTCATCTAAATGCAAAATGTGTGGTAAAGCGTTTACATATGCAAATAAACCAACATTGATAGAATCGATAATGAAAAACCACATACCAAAGAAAATTGTCAGTTAATGTGTTGTTATTGCAATGTCGTAAAATCAAATAAAGATGAAGATGTTCAACGTTTAAGAATCAATTTAAGAAATTATGCATTAAAAAATAATTTACCAATGACTTTAGATTCAGTTGAAGCTTATCACATTCTCCGTAATGGAATTACTGGTGGTTTATCAAATGTTCAACATAGAGTAAATCTTAAAGGAATCACACACATTAATAAACTTGCATATAATCCAGAAACTAAAACTGTATCAAATGAGGACACCACCAACATTATGACTCATTTCGTTGGTGTTGATTTTAATTCATTATATCCTTCATCATTTTCATCTAATCTCATGATTTCATTCAATATACTGACCATAAAATGTATATGCCGGGAAGATTGAATGGTGTTATCATTTGTGATACAGCAACAAAGAAAGCAAAAGCACTGGGAATTATTAAGAAGAAAAATACTTTATTCGTGGCTGAAGTAAAGGGTCACATTGATGAAAAATACATTAATGATTACATAAACTTTTTACCGATAATAAGAAACTTAGATATTATCACAGATGAAAAAACAATTGGCAGTTTTATGTATAATTACATGAAATCAAACAATCTACCAGTTGACCAGAAACAGAGGAAATTAACTCAGTTAGCATCAACACACAACCAATATCAACCATTTTCTTCTTATTATCTTTGGTATCTAATAGACAGATTTCATTTTATCATCGATGATATTCAATCAATTTTAACATTTACTAAAAACACTTGTTTTAATGAATTTGCGAACAAATTTATGAACGAAAGACAAAAGGCTGAATTAGAAGGAAATAAAGGAAAAAGTTTATTTTGCAAGATTTCACTTAATGGATCATATGGTTACGATGCAATGAATACACAAAATTACGCAAAGACTAAAATAATGAATGCACAGAAGGCACGCGTTGCATGTATGTCAAATAAGTTTAAAAACATAAGAGAAATAGGTGAAGATACATATCAAGTGATGCTTAAAGATAGATTTTATAGATGTGATACATGTTTACAAGAGGCATTCTTCACTTTAGATAATGCTAAATACTGGTATTTGGTTTTCATTTATGATTTTATGTATAAATGCATGGATGTTAATCGTTTTCATTTCATTGAAGGTGATACTGATTCATCTTATTGGGCAATCGCTGGCGACCAAATCTTCCTAACACTCAAGCATTTCAAGCAATTGTTACCGATAAACAATTTTATGATAAAAACATTTTCAAATTCGCACCATTTGATTTCTTCTGTTTTGATGAGAAATTTAAACCTAAATTAAAGAATAAAGCTGAAGAAAAAGCACATGAGAAGAAGTTATTGGGTTTAGCAATTGAGAAACAAGGTGATAACATGGTTGCTTTATGTCCTAAGTGTTATACATCATTCAATGGTTCAATTGATGGAAGTGATTTTAAAAAGATTGCACAAAAAATGAAAGGTGTTAGTTTACGACAAAATAAACAATTAACACCTAAAAATTATTTGGATATAATAAATGATAAATTGATATTTGATGGTCAGAATATTAATTTACAACTTAAAAATGGGTCAATGACTCGCTTAACAATCGGTAAGACTGCATTAACAGGAGCACACACTAAGGCTGTATGTTGTGAAAATGGATGTTGTATGCCATTTATTTAATAAAATACCACAGAAGAGACAAAAGGAACCGTTAATGATGGTTTTGATACTATGATTCAAAGAGGTGGGCACCCTTAAAACATTGATTTTATTTTTATATAAATGAATAACACAGATTTAAAAATTTTAATTGATGATTTAGTATTTAATCAAAATTTTCTTAATTATTATGATTTAAAAGCATATCTCCAAAAATATAATAATAATATAACGGGTGATGATATGGAATATTATTATCCATATTATAAAAATGAAATTTTGAAATATCATAATAAAATAATTTCTAAAATTAAAGACAAAATTAAAAATAATGAATATATAAAGGGAAAAACTAAATCACAGCTTAAACAGTTGAAAGATTTCAAAAATAAAGTATTAACAGAAGAAGATATTGATGAATTATATAAATTATATAATCCCGAGCCGCAAAAGCCAAAGGAACAAAAACAAAAGGAACAAAACACCCAGGTCCTTCAGACCATAAATGATGCACAAGCTTTAATTTATGATTCATTAGTTAAACCATATTCAGCCCGACTTTTAAATGAAGATCAACTTTTGGAATTCATCCTTCAACATAAACTCGAAGCGGGAAAGTATATCAAACCTTTATATACAGCATATTTAAAACAAATGAATAAAATACATCCAGAATTAATGAAGGAAGGAATGAAATCCAAAATCAAAGCAGATAAAATTAAACCACTTGCAACACCAAAACCTCCAACGACAGTACCGCCTCCTCCTTCAGTTAATCCTTCATCATTCACTTTATTATATCCATTTCAAACATTTAAGAAGCAAAAAGATTTTAAAAAGGATTTCAAGATATTAAATAAACCAATTGACCCGAAAATTCAACCGTTAAAGGAAAAATTTAGTCGCCCCTCATTTGCTCCATATCCATATTCATACGAAATCGATCATCTGGAATATTCAAAAGGAAACGTTACTTATTTATTTGCCATTAACATTAACACTAGATATTTATATTGCATTCCGGTGAAAGGGAAAACAGAACAGGAAACAAGAAGAGCTATACAATACTTACTAGATCATGAAAGAGTAGATAATATAAGGGGTGATGGTGATAAAGGATTTCAGGCAGCTATGACTCATTATTTTCCACAAATTCATTTTTACTTTTCATCCTCTCCATATACGTTTCATAATAAAATAGTTGATGCGGTAATGAGAACTCTTAGAGATGCGTTAGGGGTTAACGGTCAGATATACTGGGATGGAAATCATGACTCCATCATACAACAGTTAGTATATTATTACAATAATACATGGCATAGAACTATAAACATGAAACCGGTGGAAATGAAAAATGATATTTCAAAAGAATGGGAATATATTAGAAAGCAAATGGAAAAGTTAAATGATGTTAAACGTGAACAAATTAATTCGGGGCTCATGAATTTTAAACAAGGAAATAAAGTTTTAATTCATCTCGATTATGGAAAAACTGATAAATCAATGACAAAAAGAAGACGAAGATTTGACACAATAGCTGAATTTGTTAGATATATTAACGGCAATGCATTAGTTGAAGTTGACAAGAAATTAATAGAAATTCCGATTTATTTTATTACTCCATTATATTTAAATAATATTTAATTTTTTTTATTTCGTAAGAAATGAGTGACAACAAAGCAGTCAAGAGTCCAGACAATGAATATAAAAAGAAACTAAACAGAATTAAATCAAAAATATGCTATTACAAAAAGAAGTCGCAATGCGGTGGGGTTGAAAACAATAAAACTAATGGAACTGAAAACGATAAAGAGAGGAAAGAAATAATCGAAAAATTAGAAACTTACCGTTCAATCATTAAACTGAGTGAAGCAAAAATAAAAGAATTTAATAGAATAAATAAATTGGTTGGAAGAGATGAATTTAATAAAGATGAATTTTTAAACTCTATCCAAATTTAATTTTTATTCCTCTTCGACAACATCTCTCTTTCCATCATTACTGCATAACCACATTTTCTCAATTTTAGTGGTTTGTTATTTTTAGCATGTTCTTGCATCATTTTTATCATTTCCTCCCTTGTTATGATTCGTGGTAAATTTTGAGCTTGTGGGGTATTCATTTATGATAAAAATAAAAATTTAAATTATGCCGTTCTAAAGTTTGTGACAACATGACATTTTGACAACATCACAGGAGGAAGGTAGTTATGACTTATTTTTGAAGAACTGAAGGGGTCACCAGGTCACCAGGTCACCAGGTCATTTAACTTCTCTGAAAAAATGTGACAACATGACATTTTGACAACATCACAGGAGGAAGGTAGTTATGACTTATTTTTGAAGAACTGAAGGGGTCACCAGGTCACCAGGTCATTTAACTTCTCTGAAAAAATGTGACAACATGACATTTTGACAACATCACAGAAAATTTGATGCAGTCCAAAAATAAAGTTAGTTTTAAAATTATTTTTATTTTTTTATTCCTATATAAATGACAGCAACAAACAACAACAGCAACTTTATCGTTTCTGATGAAAAAGTTATTGATTCATTAGTTGCGGAATTAGTTGTGGCAGAAACTAAAACCCTCAACGAAAGAATTGGTGAAAACATGATTGATTTACATAACTACCTCAAACATGATGGAGGAAGAGGAAGGAAAACTGGTACAGCTTTATTAGTAAATAAAATTTCAAATTTAACGATTATAGATGTTGATATCAATAAATCGTACAATGATGAACTTAAAGAAACAGTTAGAAAAGACATTTTATCAAAACTTTCGGATAAAGATGTTATCGTTAAAACCGCATCAGGAGGTCTTCACATTTATTGCAACACTAATTTCTTCTATGCAGTTTCGAACAGAATGATTAAATGTTATTCCTGCAATGATTATGATATTGACATAATGACTTCTATGGATGATTCAAAACGTTCTTTAGTGGTTATGGCTGATTCAAGAGTTCGAAAGAATGCAACAGAACTAATCAATACATACTCATTCATTCGTGGAAGTTATGATTCAACATTAACTAGAACAGTGAATGATATATTAAATGATTTGAATATTAAGGTAATAGTTGAACAGAAGAGCGAAGAAATAAAGAGTATAATGAATGAAAACAAAGATGTAAACATTGACGATAAACTAGCTCAGAGCATAGTTGATGGTATTAGTGATTTTGAAGTACATAATGATGGTGGAAACATGAATTTAGAAAAAGAAATAACATTATTCACACTGTTTCAAGCTATTAATTCGTTACCTAATCATTTAATTAATGAAGCATACGATAACGTTTATAACTTCTGCAATTTAACTGAAAATGCAAAAAGTAATTTTGAAAAAGCACGTAGTAGATATGCACATTTAATGACTTCTCCATTTGTTTTAGTGAAGATTCTAAAACTATATCAAAAAGAATATTATGATGAATACGTTTTACCTTTATTACGTAAGCCAAAAATAACATTTGATATCAAACTTGATGACTCGTTTTTGATAACAGATATTAGACGCAAGGCTGAAAATCATCAGTATAAAAACAGTTCTGAAGTAATTGAGGATTTATCACGTGTAATTCGTTTTGTAGATTGTGGAAACAAATACTTCATTCAGAAAGATTACAACATACACGACAAAATGAATCAAATATCATTTGTTCTTCAGTCAAACATGAAAGAGTCACTCAAAATGATTAAATTATTTAAAGAAGAAGGTAAAACCATAACAACATGGGATGTACTACTAAATCAATTGTCTTCATTAACCGTTAAGGGTGTTTGCTTTAAATCTGATTCCCCAGATGTTTTCTCAACGTTTCAGGGTTATAAATACAACATTCTTGAAAAGCCTGATTACTCAAAAATTGAGATGTTTATGAATTTCATTAAAGAAGCCATTTGTGATAATAACGATGAAGTGTATAAATACCTTCTCGGCTGGATTGCATCAATGATTCAACATCCTGGAATCAAGAATGAAACAGCAATTATTTTGAAAGGACTTCAGGGAACAGGAAAAAACAGATTTACAGATATTATTTCTGAACTTCTCGCTGGTTATTCATGTAAAAACATTACTGAAATAAGTGAGCTAACGGGTAATTTCAACTCAGTAGTTGAAAATAAAATGTTTCTTGTACTTAATGAACTCAAGAATGTAGGTGAAGACAGACTCGCAAACTTCAACGCTTTGAAATCAATTATAACGGATAATGAGATTAGAATTAATGAAAAGAATCAACCCAGAAGAACTGCTCAGAATGTTGCAAACTTCATTTTCGTAACTAATAACGTTTACCCTGTCAAAATTGAAGTTGGAGACAGAAGATACGTAGTTTTAAGAGTTAATGGTAAATTCAAGGGTCAATTTGATTACTTCAAGAATTTAATGGATTCATGCACAAAGGAATTTTATGATAACCTTTTAACATATTTTATGCAATATGACCTTTCATCATTTAATGTACGAATCATTCCGATGACTGAAGCCAAACAAGATTTAATCGAGTTATCAACAAATCCTTTAGATGAATGGATAAATACACATTATGATGAATTATGTGCAGGTATGACGTGTAAAAATGCTCTATTCTGCAAACCATCAGACATGAAAGACAAAAACTTTCAAATGAGCATTAAGGATAAATGTGAAAGGAAACAAAGAAAAATAGATGGTAAACAAACATGGTATTATGTTTTGAAAGAAGAAATGAAAGGATTATATAAACAAATTGAACCAGACGATAATGAGGAATCATTTACTGACGATGAAATACCTGTGAATGAAGCTTTATAAAGTATGATTTGAATTTATTTTTGCATTAATCCTGTGATGTTGTCAAAATGTCATGTTGTCACATTTTTTCAGAGAAGTTAAATGACCTGGTGACCTGGTGACCTGGTGACCCCTTCAGTTCTTCAAAAATAATTAATTATTGAATAACCCATGATGTTGTCAAAATGTCATGTTGTCACATTTTTTCAGAGAAGTTAAATGACCTGGTGACCTGGTGACCTGGTGACCCCTTCAGTTCTTCAAAAATAATTAATTATTGAATAACCCATGATGTTGTCAAAATGTCATGTTGTCACATTTTTTCAGAGAAGTTAAATGACCTGGTGACCTGGTGACCTGGTGACCCCTTCAGTTCTTCAAAAATAATTAATTATTGAATAACCCATGATGTTGTCAAAATGTCATGTTGTCACATTTTTTCAGAGAAGTTAAATGACCTGGTGACCTGGTGACCTGGTGACCCCTTCAGTTCTTCAAAAATAATTAATTATTGAATAACCTAAATCATTTACTCACAATATTTTTGTACAAAACGACCCCAAGCTTTTAACTTCTTTTCTGTAGTTCATTCATTACTTCATTACCTAATTAATTACAGACATAAAATATATTTTGTTCATTCGGTAAGCCTAAACCCTTTGGGTTAAGTGTGTTCATTGAACTCTATACCATGCGAATACAGTCATAAATGGTGGCATGTATTCTTTACTTTGTCCCGTTGTTTGTGTATATCCTGAAACGAAATGTGTATGGTTTCCTTCTCCCTGAGTGTCACTCCAGTAACAATTTATGGCAAACTTAACGTCGTCTTTAACATCATATCCTTTACCTTTTGTCATTCCTGACCAATCCCAATATCTATGCTTATGCCAACCTGCTTGAGATGTGCTTAAATCTATGTAGTGACTATGTGCAGGTAAATTTTCACCTGAAATCGTTTTACTTCCCCCTGTTTCCTTTGAAGAGTTTGCACAATACAAAAACCTGTCAACTATTTGTTCCCATGCACCAACACCAAACATTACTTGAGGACCTCTTGCATCCATAGATGTATAAATAGAACCTACTGGGTTCATTAAATCAAACATATGAGATATTATAGGATTGTCTCTTTTGAACTTAAAATATAGTGTAACTATTTCAGGTTTCTTCTGGTTTGTGTCAGAATATTTTTTATAATATAATCTTATGTTTTCAGGGTAGGTAAAATCTTGACTATAATATTTATTTCTGTCATCTGTATAATAATATACTATTCTCGTTTTTTCTATTGCATTATATCTTTTATATCTATAATAATCTAAATATAATGTTAACTTTTGTTCATCTACATGTGGTGTTCTGACATCATCTCCATAGTCATAATAATATGGTGCTGGAGCTGGGTCAGGCAATGTCATATCTGCCATTTCATAAACTCTTAAATATTTCTTTTGTTCGTCTCCATATAAGTTTAAGTAGCAGTTGTTGTCTAATGGAACTTTAACTTGTGTGTCATCATTCTTTTTATAACTTACATACATTTCATTGTTATTTTTCGGAATGAGTTTCCACCGTATACCATTTTTTAAGGAGTGTACAAACTGCCATCTAAAATATTTATTTTCTTCATTGACAGAAAAGTCGCCAACAATAGTTTCAATATTTTTTGTTCCTATCAAACTTTGGTATATTTCATCCACATATGTTTTATCTGTCCTCTTCTTTAACTCATCATTAACATATGTTTTATCCGCTTTAAGGTCTAAACATCCTGAAACCCATCCTGTATCAGCTTTAGTTTTTAAAATCTTTGATGTCCATTCATGATACCATTCAACCATTTCTTTAATTTCATTATCTTTTTCATCCACATATGTTTTATCTGTCCTCTTCTTTAACTCATCATTAACATATGTTTTATCCGCTTTAAGGTCTAAACATCCTGAAACCCATCCTGTATCAGCTTTAGTTTTTAAAATCTTTGATGTCCATTCATGATACCATTCAACCATTTCTTTAATTTCATTATCTTTTTCATCCACATATTCCTTATCTGTCCTCTTCTTTAACTCACTATCCACATATTCCTTATCTGCTTTCTCCATTATGTCATTTAGGAAACCTTTTATGAATTCCTCATTTAAATTAAATCTTCCAATCTTCAAAACTTTAGGAAATGCATTTAATGCGTAATATCTCTGTTCTTCTGGTGGAATTGATGTTATATCATCCGTTATTCCTTTAATTTTTGAATTCATAAATAAAATTTCTTTTATATTTGATATCACTGCACCACCTTTGCAAACGAATTCGAAATGGTCATTTTTCAATACTATCTCCAAATCTCCATATTTTAACCTTTGCGTTTGTTCTGCCGTCTTTGAATTATATGCATATATGGCGTATGTAATGGTCTGAGGGACCTGGGTGCTTTGTGCCTTAAGTTGTTGTGGTTGCTGTTGTTTAATCATTTATTATGATTTAAAAATAAATATTTAATCCGTTATCTCATCACCTATTTTTTCTATTTGAAATTGCCATAATATTTCATTCATGAATTCTAAATCACAATCAAATAGGTCAGTTACTCTAAATTTAATATTTGATAAATCTTTTGAATGAAGAATAAATGAATTCCCGGATAATTGAAACGGATATGATAAAGAAAATGTGTTTAAGTTGATGGATAAAATGTTTTGTATTGATGGGTAAGAGTTAGGGTCTAATGTTTGATGTGAAAATCTCATTGGGGTATTAACTTTATCACATTTGATTAAAATGAAATTGGAACCAGTGTCAGAATACAAAACATCCCCAACATCTTTTTCAAAATTTAATATCCCCAACAATGAACGAAAATGAGGAGTACAAAATTTAATTTTCAGCGGGAATTTAATAAGGTTATTTATTTCATCAAGTTCAAAAAGTTTATCAGGTTTTGATTTAAAATTTTCTTCATACCATACGATAAATGATTCATTTAAATAACTTAAAATCATGTTAATATCCCATTTCACTATCACATTATTTATATACATATCATACGTTTTTTCATGGTCATCTTTAATAAATGATATATAATCTGAAGGGTCTAAAAGAATGAGATTAAATTTACCACTCACAGAAACGAGAGTAACATTATAAATTCCGCTAACTGTTAAATTTAATTCACAACTATTATTCGAAATAATATTGATAATTGACATTTTTTATTACGATTAAAAATATGGTAAAGCGTTATTTTCCAGTGATAAATAAAACTAGGATAAGATTACCTCAAGAATTCATAAATTCAACGAATAAGAAATTCATTCATGTTATAAATTTTAGTGTTTTCAGAAAATATGAGTCAATGTCATATTCATCATCGGGTTATATTTCACTTCATTCAAATTTAGTTCAATCAAACCCATATAATGACCATTTCATAAGATTTTCAGATGGTATTAAAAATGTAATTGATAGATTAAAATATGAACAGATTGACAATATCGAATTTTTGGAATTTTGGTTTAAATATCCTGATGGAAAAAAGATTGAAGTTAAAGATAAAGCTGATACTATAACAAAAACAATTACAATGACCGATCCGGATAGTGGGGAACAAAAGAAATAAAACAAACGATAGAAACTGGTGAAAGGTCAATTATTATTGATTATGATTCAAAGGATTATTATTCGATAATGTTAATGCTTGAATATTAAATAGCCTTAAACAAAGAATTTTTCAAGTGATATTTTATATTCATCAACTATTTTATTATAAATATCATATATGTTAAATGAAGTTCAGTTGTTGTTCCGTTCTTTGATATCTTAATTGTGCTAATATCCTTTATAGGATTTATTTTTGCAACTGTTCCGCAGCATGAAACCTCATCATCTATGAAAAATTGAATCTTAACGTCTGAATCTTGAACATCACAAAGAATGGCGATAATGTGAATTAATGATTCATAAGGTAAAATAATTAAACCGGATTGGTCAATTAAATTTATTATTGAATCATAATTATTAATTATTATATCACGGTAAATTTTCATTAATTCAGAATTAATGTCTATTTTATATGGCGCATTGCGACTGGAATCGTAGATTCCTGGGTTCTCGATGTTTGATGAAAGAGGTGGGGGGTATGTTGGATAAGTGGGAATTTCAACAGGTTCTTTACCGGGTTCAGATCTTCTTTATTTTCTCCTCTCTTCTTTCGGTAAGTCACGAGTTAATAAATTTGGTTGAGTTGCTGACCTTGTTAATTCAGGACTAACATTAACTTTAACATTTTGAATAATTCGTGATTTATCATCATTTACGTTATAACCAACCGTAATCTCTGCTTTTGCGTTTGTGTTCTTTTGACTTGTGAAACGTCTTCTCATTTATAATTGAATAAAAAAAAGAAAAATATATTTAAAGTTTTATTTAGTTGTTACGGTAATATCCCAAGGTTCATCCTTGTTTGCTTATACTTTCTTTGTAACTGCACCAATTATGTTATTGATATTGCTTTGAGTTTCTTCCAGTCTTATTTTATCATTTACAATATCTTTAATCATTTCATTACATGCATTCTTAAAACCATCTGATTTTTCTAATTTACGTCTATCACTTTCTTTAATTAAATCAAAGTTATAACCTTGTTGAGAATAAAGTGGTTTCTTTATCAATTCCTTGAACGCTTCTGAAAGTGAAGATGAAGAAATTCTTGCCACTTGAATTGGTTTAAATTCTGCTTTCATTGCTTCTTTCTGTTCATTGAACACTGGATCGAATAAAGCAACTTTAAAGAATTTCTTAGCTGGAATTTCAGGTCTAATATTTGCATATTGACCATCAAACTGATTAACATATCGTGGTAATCCATCCGGTCCCTCTTCAGCATTTAATTCTTCATTGAAATAAGAATATGGATTATAAGACGGTATGAATTAATTGGACCATTTTCACCTTCTCCAATGTATTGTTTAACAGCTTTTCCATTTTCATCAAATTGCATAGGATAACGTTCATTATATGCTTTACGTTTAGGATAATCAGTCATTGTTAATTTATAACCATTTATGACTTTAATATTACCTTGACCATCAGTAACGAAAACTTCATTTATACCATCAGGTTTTCCATTTGGACCTGTAATGTCTGCTTCATGTGCTTCCCAATTTGGTCCATGACGTTTGGCATATGCTTGAGCTTCTGGTAATGTTAAAACGTTTCTCATTTGTTTAACATCTTTTGAAGACCGCAACAATATGAACTAATTCTTTCATTCCATCTGGAACTTTCATAGTTCTATTATATGCACCCTTTTTGTTTGTCCCTTGTTTTAATGGAACCTGTAGAAGATTTGCTATTTCTGTCATGTTTAATTATAAATAAAAAATAAAAATTAATTATAAAAAGTTAATCAAATTTAACACTCCTTTATTTAAATCAACTATTATTTTTCCATGTTCACCTAATTGTGATATTGTGTGTAAAGTTCATTAATGCTCATTGGTAAATTCACTTGATAAAGCATAACGTTCAACTGTTGACGACTAAACCCACTGAAAATGAAAAGGTTGATAGATTTGATTTAATGTTTGTGCTTAATGCTTTGAAATATTGAACAGCCATAAGAATGAACACTGAATGTGTCGACATTGAGTTAATAACTGATTAAAATATGATTTCTCATTAGTTATTAGTTTTGATTTCACGCATCATCTAGAAAAATGAGTGAATGCAAAAATTCTCTATCAAAATTTGAAATAGAAAGTGTTTCAAATAATTCATCCCGTTGTTTATCAATAATTTTATCCTCTAATCCTTGCTTCTTGATTGTATTATATAATTCTTTATACATTAAAAAGTTTTTTAAATAATCTTCTGCTTCTTCTTGTGATAAATAAATAATTGGAATTTTGATTAAATGCTTTAAAGATTCAAATGTATCATCTGAAGGTGAACCTGAACGGTTGATATAAATTAACACATGTGAATGGGGGAAGTGTTAGCAATAATGATAATTTGTTTTAATATCGTTAATGTTTTACCTTTATTTTGTTTACCAATTGCTGCAGTGATTGAATTTAAGTAACATTCAGAATATGGAATTTTCATTAATTTTTCCTTAGATAGAGCATTTCTATTATCACTCAATGCTTCATTAATCATATCATCTACGTATGTATTATATACTCCGCTAATTCTTCATAAGGGGTGGATGAATTTAAATCCATTTAATCAAAAATAAATTTATAATTTTAAACATTTCTATTCATCAATATTTCATCATATGAACTTCTATACTGTGGTGGTGTACCTGTTGGATGATATTTCAAACCTTCATCCGGTGTCCATGTCCAATATGTAGTCCTAGTAAACCAAACCTGAGGAGGATTTGTCACCTTTGAACAGTAAGTGTCATTTTCACCCTGAATGATTGGATAAGCTTTCACTTGTACTGTAACTTGTGAGTTGAAAGTTTCTAATCCATCAAAGAATATACCCGCTCCATCACGTTGAACTGGAATAGTGCATAAGAATGAAGTTTGGTCTTTCCATGTTCTAGCTAATGGCGTGCCATTATCATCATTCAGTGGTCTAGTTAATGAGTCCTCGTATTCTTCTGTGCATTCATTCACTCCATCTAAATCAGAAGCTTGAAGCATACGTGTAAAGAATATGTCACCCACTGTGGTCATCGCTTGATCGGGGAAGTTTCTGGAATCTATAGTGACCTGAAGACCTCGAAGCATTGGATTTTCTAAAACTGTTCTTTGCATTGCATTCTTCGGAAATGTTAACACAACATCTGTAACATTATGAAGAGCGTATGAGAAATCTGAGCTATACCTTCAGGAGTGATGCAACCTCCATTTAGTGAACGAACGTCAATATGTTGAGCTGGAATCATGAATGGATCTTCCTTACTGAATAAACGTGGTATTGCTTTAACTGATTCTTCAATTAAACCGTATCCTGGTGTAATGCATTTATCCTCTAAAACTTCCATCTTTGTGCATGAAATAATAACGTCATCAACTGTTGCGTCAGCAGATGTAGCGGCTAAGCTTGTAATTAATTTGGCAGGAAGTCCGATTTGTTGGAATTTGCGATCATATTTATAAACATGATTCATAATCTTTTCATAATTTTCATCAGTTATCTTTTCATAAACGTAATTTTGTAAATCAGCAACTCTTAACGGGTCAACCTGACAAAATACTAAAGTATCCCTGAAAACATAATATTTAAGAATGATTTCACCAAATGATTTAGGATAATCATCGAACGCCTGAAATGCTAACAAATCATTTACCGGAATAATCATATCAAAAGTGACATCAACTTCTTCATTTGCTTTCTTGAAAACTTCTGAAGGGTCAATATATTTACCACATACTGAGTTATCATATTTTTGAACATTATTATATAACGAATGAACAAACTTTTTAACTTTCCTTTCTGATTTTGGTTTATATGTTGCAAATGCGAAAGATTCACGGGCGCAATCCATCTGAAGATAACCGGCATCACCTCTTTCGGTTTCTACTTCTAATTGTTTAAAGCTTTGATTTGATGATTTGTAACCAACGAATAAACGCATGCATTTAAAAGCGGCATCACATGTGAAAGCTTTATTTGAAACTAGAGTTGCTTTAACTTTGCGTTTAATATATGTGTCACCTAATTGGTTCACATCATGAGCCGGATTTGTAATTCTTAAATGAGTTTGTTTATCATCAAAATATGGAGCATCAGAGTCATAGCATGAACTTTCAAGTTCTCTATAATATCTTCTACCGTCATTCTTTGCGAATATTTCATTTATCTTTTCGAATGAATGAAACACATTTCCATTAATCGGTTTAGTGTTTGGCACCAAATAGTTAGTCGTCATTTATTAATAAATAAAAAATCAAAATTAAAAGATGAAAATGAATTTTTAATTTTAATGAAATAATCAACTATGGCTGCAGGTATATTTAAGAAACTGTGGGATAAAGTAAAAAGAGGAGCGCATAAAGTTTGGGAAACAATGAAGAAAGGAGCAAATTGGATATTTAAGAATAAAGAAGCAATTAGTGACGTTGCTGAATCAATAACACCAAAAGCTGCCCCAATAAGAGAAATATTAAATAAAGGAGAAAAAGTTTATCAAAGACTACAACCGATACTAAGATAAAAATAATATTTATTTTTCCACTATCTACCTCCTATTTTATTAAGTATTCCTTCAGCAATTCCACCAATTGCGTTACCTGCTTGTGCTCCCATCGCCGGATTACCTGCTTTAGTACCTAATACTCCACCTATGATAGTTCCTGCCGTTTTCGCTACTGGTGCCAAAAAGTTTGCAACGGGTTTAATAATCTTTTTATGAACCCAACCCGCAGCTTTCTTAATTCCATCCCATAATTTTTTAAAGAATCCTGCCGCCATTTCTGATTTAATATTAATTAAAAAATATATTTCATCACTTATATTCTAATTTTTATTTAATGATAAATGAAACCATTTTAAAAATAAATGAAACAGAGGAGGAAGAAATAAATGAAAGTGAAAATGTTCAACAAAAAATAAACGTTGTTAAACCAATTACTGAAATAAAAATTTTTTCATCTGTTGAAGAATTTAATGACTATTATGCTAATAATAAAAAATTATTTGAAGAATTGACAACATGTAAATTGAATAAAATGTTTAAAGTTGATGGATTCAAAATTTCAAAAATAAAAGGAGTGGTTAGTTTGAAATCTATTCCTCAATCAAGAATCACCTCATTAATGAAAATTGATGATTTAACAAAAAGAATAGAAGAGATTGAAGAAAGAATAAATCAGATAATTGATATCATAAATCATGACTCGTTGAGCCCGGGTCCTTAAAGCCCATCACTGAGTTCAAGGTTATATTCATCAAATATTTCATTATTAAATGCAACTTCTGCTAGTTTATTTATTTTTTCAATACGATCATTTGAAAGTCTATCGTTTAATTTTTTCTGAAGTTTTTCATTTTCTAGTTCTGAAACTTTATTTGGATGATATTTAAACCCGTTAAATTCTTTTTCCTCAGTTTTGATCATTAATTTACAAAGAACTTTTGTGGTTGGAATTCGTTTAAACCATTTATCATTAATATTTGTTATAAATTCAATATTCGGAATTAATTCCCAAATTTTTGCATTTTCAATTAATTTATTATCAAATGCAAAAGCAATAGGTTTAATATTAAACTTACCTTTATAATATAAACTTTCTACATAATCATCGAAATAAACATCTACTTGTTTAACATTTTCAAGAATTGGTGAAAGAGCATCCATTAATTGATTGACGGTTATGAATCTTGATCCACTCATTTTCTTACGAATTAAAAAAAAATAAAAAAAATAAATTTAACTTAGTTTTAGTTTTACGTAAGAAGTCAATTTTTTAAAACTTGATTTATTCAAAAACGTAAGAATAAAAACTGTAAGAATCATACATTTTTTACTTCATATGTTAAAAAAAATGATACAAAATCGCTCGATATTGTATGAATTCTTACGTTTACAAAAAAAGTCACACAACCCGCATCATATACTACTAATTCAATATCCGGAATTAATTCCCAAATTTTTGAATTTTCGATTAATTTACCATCAAATGCAAAAGCAATAGGTTTAATATTAAACTTACCTTTATAAAATAAACTTTGTATGTAATCATCAAAATAAACGTCTACTTGTTTAACCTGGGTGAGAATTGGTGAAAGTTTATTCATTAATTGATTTACAGTCACGAATTTTGATTCACTCATTTCATACAAAATAAAAAAAATAAATTATTCAAAAATGTAAGACATGAATTTTTAAAGTTTATTTTTTATTCATGAAAATAATTATTTCTAATTTCTTTTACTCTCTCGTATATACTAGATTTAAAGAATTCAGAACATTTCCCATAATCTCCTAAATGTTTTCTTATCTTATTGGTTTTCCATTCATTATATGAAACTGTATAAACTTTATCTTTATCTTTACACCTTTCATCACTTCCAATATATTTATATCTCTAATGACTGTCTTAGATTATCTTTCTTGAGTGGAAATCCAGATATCATGAGTGAATGCATGAAAGTTGTTAAACCAGACAACCAATGCATGGAAGATGCAATTATTTCACATAATATTGATTTTGTTTGCTTCTTGATGAATGATTACTTTATTAAAATTCCCATAGTGAACTGTTGTGAATTCAAAAATCTCCAAGCATTTTTGGTTTATTTAGACCAAACGAATAATATTGAAGAAACATTTCCTAATTCATCACGTTTTAATATTCCATTTCTTTGCAAATATTTGCTGAATTATGATGTAAATGCTGAAGATATAATAGGACCACAGCAGAGGAAAAATACGACTCTTCACTACGCAATTGAAGGAAATACTGTTGAAACAGCAGAATTTCTAATAAATCATGGAGCAATCATCAATAAATCTCATGTTGTATTAACGGAGCTTTATATTGCAACAATGAATAATTGTAAAGAAATGGTAGAACTTCTTCTTGCTCATGGTGCAAAAATAGATGAAAAAAATCGTCTTATTTCAAATTCTTCTGAAAGCAATGACCATATGACTGCTCTTCATATGGCAACTGAAAGAAATTTCACTGATGTTGCAGTGTCACTCATTACTCATGGTGCTAATGTTAACCTAAGAGATGGTAATTATTACATGCCACTTCATTATGCAGTTAAAAATAACAATAAGCAGTTAGTTGAATTACTTCTTTCGCATGGAGCAATTGTAGATGCAACAAACAATAAAAATCAAACCCCTCTTCATTTTGCCGCAAAACAATCCAAAGAACTAGTAGAAATTCTCATCAAACATGGTGCAAATATAAACGCAAAAACAAAGATACACGACAATCCACTTTATTATGCTGCGTCAAACAATAAAAAAGAAATTGTGGAATATATTTTATCACAAGGTGTGGATATTAATTCACTTGTGAATTCTGTTTGCACAGCTCTTTATATAGCAGCTGAAAAGAATTATAAAGAATTATCAGAATTTCTTTTGTTACATGGAGCAGATCCAAACATAAAATGTGAATATGGAAATACAGCTCTTCATATTGCTGTAATGCATGGTTGTGGTGAAATCGCAATGGCTCTTTTAAAGCATGGAGCTGATATTAATGCAAAAGAATCAAGATCATTAACACCAGTATATCTATCTATAAAACCTGAAAATCAAAAATTTACATTAGATCTAATCGAACTTGGTGCCGACCTCTCCTTAATATATTCAAATGGATAAACTTTGCTTCACATGGTCACCAAAGCAAATTGTAAATTAGTTGTTGAAACTCTTATTTTGCGTGGCTTAAACGTCAATGCAAAAGATAATAAATGGAAAACACCACTTCATATTGCTACCGAAAATGGTTTTATAGATATCATGGATATACTTCTTGAAAATGGATCAGATCCTAATGCAAAATGCAAAAATGGCACTACACCTCTTTATTTTGCCGCAGAAAATACGTGTAGTACAAAAGAACTTGCAGAGCTTCTTATATTACATGGCGCAGAAATAAATACAAAACTTAATAATGGAATCAATGCACTTTTTCTTGCTGCTGAAAAAGACAATTTTCAAGTGGCAGAATATCTTATTTCAAAAGGAATTGATATCAATTTAACAAATATTTCAGGCAAAAATGTAATTCACTATGCAGTAGAAAATAAATCATTACACGTCATAGATCTCTTTGTTTCTCATGGAGTAAATATTAATCAGAAAGATAGGTACCAAAAAACACCTCTTCATTACGCTGCAGAAAATGATTACGCAAAAATAACAGAAACTCTCCTTTCTCTCGGTGCAGATGTTAATGTCAAAGATAAGATTGGGAAACCCCCGCTGCATTATGCATCAGAAAAGAAATATAAAGAAATACCAGATGACATGTTTGAAAAAGATACTTTTAAAGTAACGACAATTGAAAAATCAGTAGAAACAGCTAAAGTTCTTCTTTCTTATGGCGCAAATGTAAATGCCAAAGATAAATTTGGTAAAACTGCTTATTATTATGCACAACAAAGTGGTGCTCGGCGTATATATGATCTTATTATTTCAATGTTTTGGCTTGAATAAAATATTATTATATTTTCAATAAAAATATAGCAAAGTAGAATAAGGGATAATTCCGTCAAAATAAGATAAAGTATGAGCGATTTTCTAAGAACATGATTCACAAATAACCATGCGGAAGTAGTAATTCAAAATGTGTTATTTGAATATGAGCTTGATAAATAATCAGTATACTTTGATAAAGAAGTGTTAGTTTATGGATTTTTGATAGGAAACTTCCAATAAGCCGTATATAAAAGTGTGGAAGATCTAGATAAGAATGACTTATTTCACAAAAATTGATAGTTTTCGCATTTTGGAGAACAAAAATCAACTTTAAACCCATTTTCTAACGTGAGGTCTCCATATCGTTTTTCTGCCTAAGTATTGGGTGAGACTTTACGAAGGAAAAGTAGTTTAAGTGAGTCAGTCTCGCTCTTAATGCATTATGGGTTCACTTATCACTTTCTAGCATTCTCTCAAGTTTTTTGACATATAAGCCTTATATCCCAAATTCTTAAGGTAAAGAGTTAATATATTTGGTCGGGAAAAAGTTATTAAAAGTCACTATATAGTGCCTAGTATGATTGCTAGACTTTTTTTGCTATTCTAATAAAGATATACTGATTTTGTAAATGCATGTCAGAAAGCAGTAAGTGCATCCTTAATACAAATACAATAATATACAAAATAATAATTTGATTTATAGAGATAAAAACAGTTTATATAAATATACAAATAATATACAAAAATAACAAATTCAAGTTTTTCTATAGTTTTTCATCAATTTCTTCGTAAAAGAGTTGTCCAACAACAAAGCAGGGAAAGGCATCAAAACTCCGAAGAAATAAAGTATCATGTTATGCAGTTGCTTCAAACAGACGTGAGACAAATTCCCAATTTTGTAGCAATTGATGCAAAACTTGTTTAATTTTGCCACAAACTTTTTCTGGGAAGAAATTGTTTGGAAATTAGTTCTAAATGATTCCCAAAAAATAATAAACCCTGTTGCAACAAAATTAAAGATTTCTGATGCTTCGGAGAGCTCTTTATCATCAAGAGGATCGCATTCATAATTTCCAAGATCAACCAACAATTTTTCGTAAATTTTTTCAACAGATAAAATTGATTCAGCCGCATTTGGCATTTTTCCAATGGAATTCAGCAGTTTCAGATAGTTCAACTTGTTCTTTTGGTATTTTTCAGCGTTTTCGCACGATTTTCCAATGATTTCCAAAAATTTATTTATTATTTCAACTGGAAACTGGAAATCTGCGAATCTTAGGACCTTAATGATGTTGAATACGCTAATCTGCACTGATTCTTCATCCGAATCAATGCTATTTACCATAAATTCCAAGAAAAATTGAATATCAATTTTGGATAACAAGTTTTTCGGGACTTCGTACGCGTAGCACATCAACAACTCTGTTGCTTGTTCTTTGAGTTGTGGAATTTCAGTGTTTAAGCATTGTTTTATTAAATTAAATATTTCCAAATTAATTTCAACGTGAGGAGCGAGTCTTTTTGTGCACATTTCTATTACATTGATCCTAGAAACCAAATGTTCGCACTCTGTTTTGTTTATTTCGCTGGAAAGACCGGAAAATTCTTCTTTTATAATTAAATTGTTCAAAAACAGCAGCAAAGTTTCATTATAAGGCATACTTCCTACCAATATGTATAATGTATCATATACCTGCACTAATATGTCTTCGTCGGCCGAAATTGCAGGATGATATCTTAATTTCAACAAATTGTTGAAAATTTGGTCAAGCAACTGCGGAGTTAAGTAGTTCTGGGTCTGTGTGATGTCCGGAGTCAACGAGGAACAAAATCCAAAGGTTATTGAAATCCATCTCGAAATCTGTTGTTTCGTGGACGTTTCTTTGATTTGGATATGTGAATAAAGTTTTTCTAAAAGTGAAGAATCAACTTCCCTGACTATTTTTCTGTAATTACTAAAAATGAAAGTTAATGCGTACAAACAATACTCGGAGAGGCGAATATCACCTTGATCTAGGTACGATATCAGTATAGGGATGTTCATTTTGTTGAATTTCTCCACTTTTCGTGAAAATACTTTGATTATTGAAGAATTCGACAAATTTACCGAACAAATCGCCACAAGAAGCGCAAAAGTTCTGTCATTTTGAAGGGTGTTCTCGCATCTTAGCTGCCCACAGATTTTCGTGATGAATAAGAAAGTATTTTGCGGATTATTCCGAAAAAGTTCCATTAAAAGGTTAACGGATAATTCGGTTAGTGAAGTGTTATTTCCCTTGACCATCAGCTTCTCTGGCTCGAATTTTGTGATTAATGCGGTTAATTTGTCGTAAAGTGACTGTATAAGCAAATGAGGGATGATTGGATGGTCGTACACTTGCATATACTTAGGTCTGATGGGTCTGGCAAGTAAATTGGCGCATTTTGACTCGTATTGAGATAATTCAATCCAAAATACGAGACAAACTTGAATAAACTCGCATTTCGGATTGTTTTCATCAATGTACATCTCGTGGAACCTTAAAAAGTGTAAAACTAAGGGAGTTGAAGGATCAATAAATTTTTGAATAAAAATTTGGAAAAAATTATGGATTTCAATGAAGTAATCGAGTGTAAGACCTTCCATTTTGTATGTAATCATGTTTATGGCAAGATATCTGTTGTAAAGAGGGAAAAAAGTGTATGGATTTGTTTTGCATGCTTTTGTAAGGATTTTGTATAATTCTGTGATGTAAACGAAATGTTTTGGGTCTGTTTTATTGTCTGTGATGAATTGTATCATATATTGGAGAAGAGTTTGACCGAAAAATTCAATTTCTCGAGGTAAAGGTGTTTGTGAAACGAATTGCATCCACATTTTGATATGCTGTCTATATTCTTTGGTCCCTGGTTCTAGTGTTGCGATGTTATACATACGAAGATTGATTGTATCATGAACATAAACATTTAATGATGCTAAGAACTCACAAATGATATTGTTTATGATATAATCTTCAAAATTTTCGTCTTCGCATGCATCTAATAATGCAAAAAGTTTGTCAGAATACGTATTTAAATTTTTTGTTTTGAAAATGTTGGAAACAATATGCTGATAATAGAAATAACCTGTAAATAATCCATCTGATAACTCTTTTGATATAGGAATTTTAGCTTCATTCGTTAGATTTTTGTCTTGTAAAGATTTTATTAAAAATTCAATCCTTTCTACATATTTGGAATCTATTGTTTCACTTTCTATTGCTGAGATATCGCCAAGTTGCGTTTCAATAATACTCCGCAACGTTGGGGCATCACTCATCAAAAAAAAATTTTTTTTATCATTGAAAATAAGTTTTATTTTTAAAAGAGAGAATTAGCTTTATGTAACTCTAAATATTAATTTACTTCATTAATGTTTGCGGTATTTCCTATTATTTGAGGAAATATTGAATGAAACTTCTTATCTATTTATTATTTGAAGGTTTCAGTATAATATATTTGTCTATATTTTGTTATCACAATGTTATCAGATAGATATACCATATGAATCATTGAAATACAAAATATTTAATTTTAAAAAATCGAATTTCAAAAATTTGACGAGAAATTCTAGTACCCATTAATTTATATTATCTATTGGTAGTTAAAATTTTTCAAAATTTTTCCAAAAAAACTAGAAATTTTAAAATTTGATATAAATTTCATAAATTTTCATTTTAAAAAGTTAAAACTTGAAATTATTTTGAGATTTTAACAGAAGATTATATTAATTACAGTCCAGAGGCAATTAGATTTATATCGAAATTAAGTCTTTTTATTTATTATTAAAAATATTATGAAAGTTCATATAAAATTATCAACTAGTGTGAAAGGAAATAACTTTTTATTCAATAGTACGATTTAAAAAACGTATACGTTAAATGGAATCTAAACACAATAGCAACATCATCCCAAATTAATCACTTAACTCTTCATAAGAATCCAGGCATTAGTGATACAGAAGCCAACGGATTGTACTTGTTCGGATTTAATACTATATAGTGTAAAATTTGAAGAAATTATTGACCTTAGCTTGAAGAGAACCCTACATGAATCATGTAACATATATTTGCTTTGATGCGTGATGAAATTACATATGAAATTAGGTATTCTCGTACGTTTTGATTTCCTTATTAACATTCAATTTTGAGTCATAATAAAGGATAATATCTTGCTTTGTTTGCTGTTAAGCTTTGGATATTGATTTTTGATTGCAGCGGCGATCTTGTTTATGGTTCAATTCGTTATATAAGAAGTTGTAATTACGACTCAACTGATAGAACAAAAATGATTAAAAGATTAAATAATTATTTGTTTACAATTGTGTTCAAGTAAAGATGATCATATTTAAAGAAAATAAAAAACGTTATTAAATATTTTTAGATCAAAAGGCAACACTTCGAAGACTTCTTTTCTGGGTAAGCAGATGTTCCTGCCTTAACTTCAATGTTGAAGAGGGCCTTGCAGAGGGCTGGGAAGTCCATCTTGCCATCCTTACCATGTGTTTCGATAACCTTCTGAGCCTCTTCGTCTGAGATGTTCTTTCTGAACTGCTCGAACATGGACTTGATTTCGGCAGTCTCGAGTGTGCCAGAGCGGTCCTTATCGTGAGCACGGAAGAGAACCTTTGTAAGTTCGACCTTATCAGAGCCAAGGAGTGACTTTACAAGGCCAACGAACTCTGTCTTGTTGACACCATTGCTGCCATCAACATCTGCACCACGGAAAAGAGCTTGTGTATCTGTAATTGTTTGGCCGTCGCCGTTGATCTTCTTGATGAGGGCATCGAACTCTTCGAACTTAAGAAGTCCATCCTTGCCCTTATCTGCTTTATCGAAAAGCTGTGAGAACTCTGCAATCTTAGCTTCCATTTATATAAGTGAAACGAACTTTTCAAAATTCAGTTGTTCGGATGTTTTGATAGTCATCTCTTCAGAAAAAATTCATGAAATTTAATATTACGATTCATATTGTTATTTATAAAATAAGACTATCACTTATTCAAAAAACTCGTTATTAAAGCAAAATAACGGACAAACCGTTACACTCAACATCTGAAATTATTAACTTATATCATTCGATTGTCTATTAAAATTAGAATAAGATTTTTTTCAAATGTTTACACAGGCAATTTACCGACATTAAAATTTAATATTAGTAATATATACGAAAAGATATTCAATAAAAAATCGACATCCTCATCCATTGAAAATAATTATTTTCAATGGAACTTTTGAATGTGAACTAACGCAAAATTCGTTAAGATTTAAAAATAAGCTTATTTATTAATGTACAACACTTTGTAAAAATTTACTGATTTTATACAAGATTCATTAAAAACTAAAGATTAATAATGCAATTAGTCCATATATACTTCAGAATATTTTTTAAAGTTCATATCTTTTGAAAATCGCGTATTCATCTTTATTGCCTTTTTTCATTCTGCAACTCTTTAACGATAATCACCCAGTACCAAAGATATATTAGCATTTAGAGACATTCGAAATATTTTTAACGTTCAATATGATTTTTCCAAGATTTTCTTGAAATTTTTCTCCAATCAGTACATTTATGACTCACCTACTGCTCTCATATCAATAGAAATCCAAGAAAATCTATGAATATTTGTTCAAAAATAAATCCATACATTTGATATAGATTTGAAATATCTTTTTTTCTATTTGAACTCAATTAATTCATAATTTTGATATACGAGATGAAGTCACATGACAGGATATACTCTTTAGTTCAATATAGATATATTAAAATAATTTCATAATAATTTTATACAGATAAACACTTTAACCGTAGTGTCATGTGCTTTTGTATCATATCTATCCTTTGAATATATAAGAATGCGCTCATTTTTGAATGTCGTCAATATTTTCATCCATTACTTCTGCTTTGCAATATGCTTGGGATAAAGCAATAGGGAGTCACTTATCAATAAAATACACAGGCGTTGCATATATGGCATTAACAAACCCAACAGGACTAACTTTTAGCTACTTTTTTACTGCTTTTATGGAAACTCTTAAAGATCCAGCAAAATGTTCACCAGTGAAGTTATCTAAAGCTCAATTAAAATACTTTTTATTACTAGCAACTTTATCGAGTCAAGTTTATCAACCTCCTGAAGAAAGAAAGTTTCCAGAAGAGGCAGGAGAAATAATATACGAAGATTCACAGTCAAAAATTGACAAAGCTCCTTTCGTTGTTTTCAATAGTAACGAATTAAATAAAATAATTGTCGCAATTCGAGGTTCATATACATTTGCCGACTTTATTACAGACCTTAAAGCCAGTGCTATCGAAGTTGATGGCATTATGATGCATTCTGGCGTATTTTTCGCGGCTAACGCTTTATTTGTTCGAATTGAAGAGTTTATTGTCCAAAAGTCAAGAGAATTAAATCGTCCAATCGTCTTTACAGGCCATTCTTTAGGTTCAGGAGTGGCTGCCATCTCCGCAATCCTCATGAAAAAACATTATCCAGAAATTGATGTAACAGCAGCATGTTTTGCTCCAGTTGCAAGTATTAGTGGTGAAGAATGGATTGATACAACACGATACATTACATCTTTTTGCCTCGGCGTTGACCCAGTTCCATTTTTATCGTTGCATAATGTTGCCCAAGTTTCTCAGACAGGAATGCCAGAGATAATTAACGAAATCATACAAGATGCAGTGTCTCGAGATGTTACAAAACCAATTTTGAATCCATCAGATTTAAATTTTGAAGAAAATCCTTTCGAAAGTCAGCCACCAACCTTAGATCAGATCAAAGCTGATATAAAGATAGTTACCAGACGAACTACAGCTCTTTATCCACCAGGAACAACTTATCATCTTTCAATGGAAGGAAAAACATTCAAAAAAGCAAAGTTAGAATTAATAAATAACAACATAGAATACTTTGGAAGCTTCAGAAAAGGAATGGATGAAAAACACCATTCAATGGACTTATATCACGATTGTATTGAAGAATTATATAATAATTCTTAATTTTTAAGTATTAAATGTGTTTGTATTTCTAGAATTACAATTTTTACCTCTAATTACTGTAGCAATGGATCCAATTTTCACATATGAAGTGCTGTAAATTCATTAATATATTCACTGTTTCTTTGACAGTTTTTGCTTGCATAATGAAGATCTAGTATTCAATAATAGAAGGAATTATTAAACAGCTCTTCATTTTATAGCGGAAAATAATTGGAATAAAATAATTGAAGTCTCGGTGATACATGGAGTTAATTCCAATGATAAAGAGATAAATAACAAAAAATGTAAGTTCTTCTTTTACTTTCTTAACATATATCAATAATACCCATCAATTCAATTTTTTTGAGTCCCTTTTCCAATGAAATCATAATGCCCAAAACAATTTATAGTGATTGGTATTCCAATATACTCCAAACAATTTTTCGGAGCTTAGTAGTAGGATAGGATGGGTTGTGTGACTTTTTTTGTTACATCTATATATAGACGATGCATTAAAATATATTTATAAACCATTAAAAAAATTAAAGTTATTTTTTTATTCTTACATAAATGACCCAACAAGTAAAACCAGATAAAATAGATTATCGAATTTTAGAGGATGGTGTTCCTGTTTATATTCAAAGATTTAAAGGGAAGCAATATTATAGAATTGTTAATCCTGAATACATAAAACATTTATTTAAAAAGGAAGATTGTGAATTATTAAACGCTAATGAATATGAAAATGCTAAATCAAAACTGAGATATAAATATATTGGAAGTGATGAAAGGTGTAAAGATAAACTTTTAAAATTCATGTCTTACATTTTTGAATAATTTATTTTTAATTCGTATGAAATGAGTGTCAAAACTAACGATGTTAAAAAATTGGGATTCACAAACGAGGAAATAAAGGATATATTAGATGAGATGTGTTATGAAGTTAGTAAATATTATTTAAGAAATTGTCAAAAATTTGCCGAGTTATTAAATGATTTAGATTATGATGGAAAAATGAATAAAGATGATGTTATAAATTTCTTATATCCCACATCTGAAGAAGAAAAACCTAAAGAACCTGATGTTTTCCCTGAATATTATGAAGAACGGATTAAAGATGATGATGAATACAATGAAATTGAAAAACTGGAAAAAATAAGAGATGAAATAGATGAAAAAATTAAAGAATTAAGAGAAGTTGAAAAATATAATGAAAATGAAGTAGAGGATTTAATGAATATCCCAGCTTCAGAATCAGCAGTTCAGAAATCTCATGAAGAAAGATATAAAAATTATGTCTCAGAATCAACACAAAATTTATTAGATGGTGAAATAGACGAAACACTTTCAGAAGAAGGTACTAAATTTATTCGTAAACATAAGTTACAATTTATTGATAATGAAGAATACCCCTGTATCCTACTTTCACCACCTTTAGATTCCGAAAAATTCAAAAAAGCTCTTAAAAATGTGACATATGCAACTAATACGATTAAGAAAGAAGATCATGATATTTACACAAATTATTATTTAAATAAATGCACAGGTGTTGATAAAGTTTTTGATTTATTAGATAAAATATCAAAAGAAACCATTGGAACATATAAAATTTTGTGTGATTGTGGTTTCATTATTGAAGATACTAATAATGTTTCATATGAAAGAACAGCACCGAAGGAAGATGAAGTGGAAAGGTCTATACCATTCGTTATTAAGAATATAAAAGATATGAAAACGTATAAGCATTATATTTATTCATTTATTTCAGAAAAAATGGAAGCAACCCATAAAACATCATCTCATCATTTTATAGCTATTCATACATTCCTTTTCAAAGTTGTGAAATTAAATAAGACAGGAATTAGATTTAATGTATCAGGGTACGCATTCTTGAGTAAATTAAAATGTATTCGTCACGTCGCAGATGATAAAAATTTATGTGTTCTTAATTCATTTTATGGGCTTTAAAAAATAAACTTTATTTTTATTTATTTTTTATTCTTACATAAATGAACAAAAACGGAACCGCTAAAATGAATGATAATCAAATTAGAGCAGAAGGTAGAAGGTTATTTAAACGCTTCTATAACATTCCTGATGGTGTTAATCCTAAAACTCGTAGAAGCTATTTAAATGAAACAATAGATGCATATGAAGGGTTTGACATTTCATCAGAAAGTGAGAGATTAGCGAGAATGTTAAATGTTAATATTGATTTCTATTATTGTGATCCTCAACCAGAAGACGTGGACATAAATAAGGTAGACTTTCCATTAGTGGATTCAATAATGATAGATCCAGAATTTGAAACAGTAAATATTTTATTAACACAGAGTCCATGTGGAAAACTTCACGCTGACAGAATAACAGACGTTGAAGCACTCACCGGCTATAGAGTTTGTCCATATTGTAAAGAAGAAGTTTATTCTATCCGTGATGATCCAGAAAGGAAAAACCAAAGAAGATTTTTAAAGCATTGTGAGAAATGTAAAGAAAATAATGGAAGATTAATTCAAGACGTTCAGTTGCAAAAGACACAGCAACCATATGCACCACATATTACGAAACAGAAGATATATCAGTGGTTATTAGCTCATAATTTGCAGGAATATTATCAACCGACAAGATATTATATTACTTTTGACTTCGAAACATTAGGGACTAAAGAAGAATTACAACTTTCTGAGTGTGCAACTTTGAACGCTTACTTAAAACCATTCATGGTATCATCAACGGTTAAATTAAACGATAAAACATATACGAGGAATTTTTGCTTAACTTCGAGTGATTCTTTTATTTCTGATTGGATTGAGTTTTTATTTTCAACCTGTTCATTAGTTGCTAAATCAAATATTGAACAATATGAAGAATTAATGAAGTCCCATACATTAAATGAAAAACAGAAGGAAGCATTTAAAGAACTTCTAGATGAGGAATTCAATAAAGTGAATATCATAGGTTTTAATTCGGGAAAGTTTGATTTAAATTTAATTCTTCGTGATTTAAACACTGCAAAATGGAAAATAAAATCAATGCTGGGTTCATCTTCACAATTTAAGCAAATCATTGTAAAGAAAACAAACGTTCCATATGAATTGAGATTTATTGACATCAGAAATTATATAGCGGGTGGGACATTAGACCAATTCACTCAAGATTTCGGAAACAATAAATCACGTGTTAAATCCTTTTTCCCTTATCAATTCATCACATGGGAGAATTACGAAGAAGAATTATATAAAGAGGAACCATTCACTCAAGATTCATTTTATTCAGCATTAACTCAAGAAACTATATCAGATAGTGATTATCAAATATATCTCAATGATGCTAAAAATTTTAAGAATAGATTAGAATATTTTATTCATTATTGCAATAAAGATGTTGAAATTATGATTGACCCAATTGATAAAATTATTGAAGAAACATTTGTTTATAAAATTGACATGCTTCATAATCTTTCTTTATCATCGAATGCTTCAATAATTCGTTACGCTTTAGCATATAAAGACTTTAATCCTAATGAAAAATATCCTGAGGAAGAGATAGAATCAAGTTTTGAATTAACGAAAAAGTATTGGAAATATAAAATTGAATCATATAAGAAACAAGATGAAAAAGCAGAAAGAGATACTAAAAATAATGTTTCAATGGATGATTTTCAATACTATCACGATTTAATCCTTTCATCTAAATGCAAAATGTGTGGTAAAGCGTTTACATATGCAAATAAACCAACATTAGATAGAATCGATAATGAAAAACCACATACCAAAGAAAATTGTCAGTTAATGTGTTGTTATTGCAATGTCGTGAAATCAAATAAAGATGAAGATGTTCAACGTTTAAGAATCAATTTAAGAAATTATGCATTAAAAAATAATTTACCAATAACTTTAGATTCAGTTGAAGCTTATCACATTCTCCGTAATGGAATTACTGGTGGTTTATCAAATGTTCAACATCGTGTTAATCTTAAAGGAATCACGCACATTAATAAACTTTCATATAGTCCAGAAACTAAAACTGTATCAAATGAGGACACCACCAACATCATGACTCATTTCGTTGGTGTTGATTTTAATTCATTATATCCTTCATCATTTTCATCTAATCCTCATGATTTCATTCAATATACTGACCATAAAATGTATATGCCGGGAAGATTGAATGGTGTTATTATTTGTGATACAGCAACAAAGAAAGCAAAAGCACTGGGAATAATTAAGAAGAAAAATACTTTATTCGTTGCTGAAGTAAAGGGTCACATTGATGAAAAATACATTAATGATTACATAAACTTTTCACCGATAATAAGAAACTTAGATATTATCACAGATGAAAAAACAATTGGCAGTTTTATGTATAATTACATGAAATCAAACAATCTACCAGTTGACCAGAAACAGAGGAAATTAACTCAGTTAGCATCAACACACAACCAATATCAACCATTTTCTTCTTATTATCTTTGGTATCTAATAGACAGATTTCATTTTATCATTGATGACATTCAATCAATTTTAACATTTACGAAAAACACTTGTTTTAATGAATTTGCGAACGAATTTATGAACGAAAGACAAAAGGCTGAATTAGAAGGAAATAAAGGAAAAAGTTTATTTTGCAAGATTTCACTTAATGGATCATATGGTTACGATGCAATGAATACACAAAATTACGCAAAGACTAAAATAATGAATGCACAGAAGGCACGCGTTGCATGTATGTCAAATAAGTTTAAAAACATAAGAGAAATAGGTGAAGATACGTATCAAGTGATGCTTAAAGATAGATTTTATAGATGTGATACATGTTTACAAGAGGCATTCTTCACTTTAGATAATGCTAAATACTGGTATTTGGTTTTCATTTATGATTTTATGTATAAATGCATGGATGTTAATCGTTTTCATTTCATTGAAGGTGATACTGATTCATCTTATTGGGCAATCGCTGGCGACCCAAATCTTCCTAACACTCAAGCATTTCAAGCAATTGTTACTGATAAACAATTTTATGATAAAAACATTTTCAAATTCGCACCATTTGATTTCTTCTGTTTTGATGAGAAATTTAAACCTAAATTAAAGAATAAAGCTGAAGAAAAAGCACATGAGAAGAAGTTATTGGGTTTAGCAATTGAGAAACAAGGTGATAACATGGTTGCTTTATGTCCTAAGTGTTATACATCATTCAACGGTTCAATTGATGGAAGTGATTTTAAAAAGATTGCACAAAAAATGAAAGGTGTTAGTTTAAGACAAAATAAACAATTAACACCTAAAAATTATTTGGATATAATAAATGATAAATTGATATTTGATGGTCAGAATATTAATTTACAACTTAAAAATGGGTCAATGACTCGCTTAACAATCGGTAAGACTGCATTAACAGGAGCACACACTAAGGCTGTATGTTGTGAAAATGGATGTTGTATGCCATTTATTTAATACAATTTAAAATTTTATTTTTAATGAAATGCCACAGAAGAGACAAAAGGAACCGTTAATGATGGTTTTGATACTATGATTCAAAGAGGTGGGCACCCTTAAAACATTGATTTTATTTTTATATAAATGGATAACACAGATTTAAAAAATTTAATTGATGATTTAGTACTTAATCAAAATTTTCTTAGTTATTATGAATTAAAATCATATCTCCAAAAACATAATAACAATATAACGGGTGATGATATGGAATATTATTATCCATATTATAAAAATGAAATTTTGAAATATCATGATAGAATAATTTCTAAAATTAAAGACAAAATTAAAAATAATGAATATTCAAAGGGAAAAACTAAATCACAACTTAAACAGTTGAAAGATTTCAAAAATAAAGTATTAACAGAAGAAGATATTGATGAATTATATAATTTATATAATCCTGAGCCGCAAAAACCAAAGCCGAGGTCTAAAGTAGCAAATGTTCAACAGCTAAAGGAACAAAACGCCCAGGTCCTTCAGACCATAAATGATGCACAAGCTTTAATTTATGATTCATTAGTTAAACCATATTCAGCCCGACTTTTAAATGAAGATCAACTTTTGGAATTCATCCTTCAACATAAACTCGAAGCGGGAAAGTATATCAAACCTTTATATACAGCATATTTAAAACAAATGAATAGAATACATCCAGAATTAATGAAGGAAGGAATGAAGGAAGGAATGAAATCCAAAATCAAAGCAGATAAAATTAAACCACTTGCAATACCAAAACCTCCAACGACAGTACCGCCTCCTCCTTCAGTTAATCCTTCATCATTCACTTTATTATATCCATTTCAAACATTAAAGAAGCAAAAAGATTTTAAAAAGTGTTTCAAGATATTAAATAAACCAATTGACCCGAAAATTCAACCGTTAAAGGAAAAATTTAGTCGCCCTTCATTTGCTCCATATCCATATTCATACGAAATAGATCATCTGGAATATTCAAAAGGAAACGTTACTTATTTATTTGCCATTAACATTAACACTAGATATTTATATTGCATTCCAGTGAAAGGGAAAACAGAACAGGAAACAAGAAGAGCTATACAATACTTACTAGATCATGAAAGAGTAGATAATATCAGGGGTGATGGTGATAAAGGATTTCAGGCAGCTATGGCTCATTATTTCCCACAAATTAATTTTTTCTTTTCATCCTCTCCATATACGTTTCATAATAAAATAGTTGATGCGGTAATGAGAACTCTTAGAGATGCGTTAGGGGTTAACGGTCAGATATACTGGGATGGAAACCATGACTCCATCATACAACAGTTAGTATATTATTATAATAATACATGGCATAGAACAATAAACATGAAACCAGTGGAAATGAAAAATGATATTTCAAAAGAATGGGAATATATTAGAAAGCAAATGGAAAGGTTGAATGATGTTAAACGTGAACAAATTAATTCGGGGCTCATGAATTTTAAACAAGGGGATAAAGTTTTGATTCATCTCGATTATGGAAAAACTGATAAATCAATGACAAAAAGAAGACGAAGATTTGACACAATAGCTGAATTTGTTAGATATATTAACGGCAATGCATTAGTTGAAGTTGACAATAAATTAATAGAAATTCCAATTTATTTTATTACCCCATTATATTTAAATAATATTTAATTTTTTTTATTTCGTAAGAAATGAGTGACAACGAAGCAGCCAAGAGTCCTGACGATGAATATAAAAAGAAACTAAACAGAATTAAATCAAAAATATGCTATTACAAAAAGAAGCCACAATGTGGTGGGGTTGAAAACAATAAAACTAATGGAACTGAAAACGATAAGGAAATAATCGAAAAATTAGAAACTTACCGTTCAATCCTTAAACTGAGTGAAGCAAAAATAAAAGAATTTAATAGAATAAATAAATTGATTGGAAGAGATGAATTTAATAAAGATGAATTTTTAAACTCAATCCAAATTTAATTTTTTCAGTGCTACCATGTTACCATGTGCTACCAGGTTATTTAACTTCTCTGAAAAAATGAGACAACATGACATTTTGACAACAACACAGCAGGATTAATGAGGAAGGCAGTTATGAATTATTTTTGAAGAACTGAAGGTGCTACCATGTTACCATGTGCTACCAGGTTATTTAACTTCTCTGAAAAAATGAGACAACATGACATTTTGACAACAACACAGCAGGATTAATGAGGAAGGCAGTTATGAATTATTTTTGAAGAACTGAAGGTGCTACCATGTTACCATGTGCTACCAGGTTATTTAACTTCTCTGAAAAAATGAGACAACATGACATTTTGACAACAACACAGCAGGATTAATGAGGAAGGCAGTTATGAATTATTTTTGAAGAACTGAAGGTGCTACCATGTTACCATGTGCTACCAGGTTATTTAACTTCTCTGAAAAAATGAGACAACATGACATTTTGACAACAACACAGCAGGATTAATGAGGAAGGCAGTTATGAATTATTTTTGAAGAACTGAAGGTGCTACCATGTTACCATGTGCTACCAGGTTATTTAACTTCTCTGAAAAAATGAGACAACATGACATTTTGACAACAACACAGCAGGATTAATGAGGAAGGCAGTTATGAATTATTTTTGAAGAACTGAAGGTGCTACCATGTTACCATGTGCTACCAGGTTATTTAACTTCTCTGAAAAAATGAGACAACATGACATTTTGACAACAACACAGCAGGATTAATGAGGAAGGCAGTTATGAATTATTTTTGAAGAACTGAAGGTGCTACCATGTTACCATGTGCTACCAGGTTATTAACTTCTCTGAAAAAATGAGACAACATGACATTTTGACAACAACACAGCAGGATTAATGAGGAAGGCAGTTATGAATTATTTTTGAAGAACTGAAGGTGCTACCATGTTACCATGTGCTACCAGGTTATTTAACTTCTCTGAAAAAATGAGACAACATGACATTTTGACAACAACACAGCAGGATTAATGAGGAAGGCAGTTATGAATTATTTTTGAAGAACTGAAGGTGCTACCATGTTACCATGTGCTACCAGGTTATTTAACTTCTCTGAAAAAATGAGACAACATGACATTTTGACAACAACACAGCAGGATTAATGAGGAAGGCAGTTATGAATTATTTTTGAAGAACTGAAGGTGCTACCATGTTACCATGTGCTACCAGGTTATTTAACTTCTCTGAAAAAATGAGACAACATGACATTTTGACAACAACACAGCAGGATTAATGAGGAAGGCAGTTATGAATTATTTTTGAAGAACTGAAGGTGCTACCATGTTACCATGTGCTACCAGGTTATTTAACTTCTCTGAAAAAATGAGACAACATGACATTTTGACAACAACACAGCAGGATTAATGAGGAAGGCAGTTATGAATTATTTTTGAAGAACTGAAGGTGCTACCATGTTACCATGTGCTACCAGGTTATTTAACTTCTCTGAAAAAATGAGACAACATGACATTTTGACAACAACACAGCAGGATTAATGAGGAAGGCAGTTATGAATTATTTTTGAAGAACTGAAGGTGCTACCATGTTACCATGTGCTACCAGGTTATTTAACTTCTCTGAAAAAATGAGACAACATGACATTTTGACAACAACACAGCAGGATTAATGAGGAAGGCAGTTATGAATTATTTTTGAAGAACTGAAGGTGCTACCATGTTACCATGTGCTACCAGGTTATTTAACTTCTCTGAAAAAATGAGACAACATGACATTTTGACAACAACACAGCAGGATTAATGAGGAAGGCAGTTATGAATTATTTTTGAAGAACTGAAGGTGCTACCATGTTACCATGTGCTACCAGGTTATTTAACTTCTCTGAAAAAATGAGACAACATGACATTTTGACAACAACACAGCAGGATTAATGAGGAAGGCAGTTATGAATTATTTTGAAGAACTGAAGGTGCTACCATGTTACCATGTGCTACCAGGTTATTTAACTTCTCTGAAAAAATGAGACAACATGACATTTTGACAACAACACAGCAGGATTAATGAGGAAGGCAGTTATGAATTATTTTTGAAGAACTGAAGGTGCTACCATGTTACCATGTGCTACCAGGTTATTTAACTTCTCTGAAAAAATGAGACAACATGACATTTTGACAACAACACAGCAGGATTAATGAGGAAGGCAGTTATGAATTATTTTTGAAGAACTGAAGGTGCTACCATGTTACCATGTGCTACCAGGTTATTTAACTTCTCTGAAAAAATGAGACAACATGACATTTTGACAACAACACAGCAGGATTAATGAGGAAGGCAGTTATGAATTATTTTTGAAGAACTGAAGGTGCTACCATGTTACCATGTGCTACCAGGTTATTTAACTTCTCTGAAAAAATGAGACAACATGACATTTTGACAACAACACAGCAGGATTAATGAGGAAGGCAGTTATGAATTATTTTTGAAGAACTGAAGGTGCTACCATGTTACCATGTGCTACCAGGTTATTTAACTTCTCTGAAAAAATGAGACAACATGACATTTTGACAACAACACAGCAGGATTAATGAGGAAGGCAGTTATGAATTATTTTTGAAGAACTGAAGGTGCTACCATGTTACCATGTGCTACCAGGTTATTTAACTTCTCTGAAAAAATGAGACAACATGACATTTTGACAACAACACAGCAGGATTAATGAGGAAGGCAGTTATGAATTATTTTTGAAGAACTGAAGGTGCTACCATGTTACCATGTGCTACCAGGTTATTTAACTTCTCTGAAAAAATGAGACAACATGACATTTTGACAACAACACAGCAGGATTAATGAGGAAGGCAGTTATGAATTATTTTTGAAGAACTGAAGGTGCTACCATGTTACCATGTGCTACCAGGTTATTTAACTTCTCTGAAAAAATGAGACAACATGACATTTTGACAACAACACAGCAGGATTAATGAGGAAGGCAGTTATGAATTATTTTTGAAGAACTGAAGGTGCTACCATGTTACCATGTGCTACCAGGTTATTTAACTTCTCTGAAAAAATGAGACAACATGACATTTTGACAACAACACAGCAGGATTAATGAGGAAGGCAGTTATGAATTATTTTTGAAGAACTGAAGGTGCTACCATGTTACCATGTGCTACCAGGTTATTTAACTTCTCTGAAAAAATGAGACAACATGACATTTTGACAACAACACAGCAGGATTAATGAGGAAGGCAGTTATGAATTATTTTTGAAGAACTGAAGGTGCTACCATGTTACCATGTGCTACCAGGTTATTTAACTTCTCTGAAAAAATGAGACAACATGACATTTTGACAACAACACAGCAGGATTAATGAGGAAGGCAGTTATGAATTATTTTTGAAGAACTGAAGGTGCTACCATGTTACCATGTGCTACCAGGTTATTTAACTTCTCTGAAAAAATGAGACAACATGACATTTTGACAACAACACAGCAGGATTAATGAGGAAGGCAGTTATGAATTATTTTTGAAGAACTGAAGGTGCTACCATGTTACCATGTGCTACCAGGTTATTTAACTTCTCTGAAAAAATGAGACAACATGACATTTTGACAACAACACAGCAGGATTAATGAGGAAGGCAGTTATGAATTATTTTTGAAGAACTGAAGGTGCTACCATGTTACCATGTGCTACCAGGTTATTTAACTTCTCTGAAAAAATGAGACAACATGACATTTTGACAACAACACAGCAGGATTAATGAGGAAGGCAGTTATGAATTATTTTTGAAGAACTGAAGGTGCTACCATGTTACCATGTGCTACCAGGTTATTTAACTTCTCTGAAAAAATGAGACAACATGACATTTTGACAACAACACAGCAGGATTAATGAGGAAGGCAGTTATGAATTATTTTTGAAGAACTGAAGGTGCTACCATGTTACCATGTGCTACCAGGTTATTTAACTTCTCTGAAAAAATGAGACAACATGACATTTTGACAACAACACAGCAGGATTAATGAGGAAGGCAGTTATGAATTATTTTTGAAGAACTGAAGGTGCTACCATGTTACCATGTGCTACCAGGTTATTTAACTTCTCTGAAAAAATGAGACAACATGACATTTTGACAACAACACAGCAGGATTAATGAGGAAGGCAGTTATGAATTATTTTTGAAGAACTGAAGGTGCTACCATGTTACCATGTGCTACCAGGTTATTTAACTTCTCTGAAAAATGAGACAACATGACATTTTGACAACAACACAGCAGGATTAATGAGGAAGGCAGTTATGAATTATTTTTGAAGAACTGAAGGTGCTACCATGTTACCATGTGCTACCAGGTTATTTAACTTCTCTGAAAAAATGAGACAACATGACATTTTGACAACAACACAGCAGGATTAATGAGGAAGGCAGTTATGAATTATTTTTGAAGAACTGAAGGTGCTACCATGTTACCATGTGCTACCAGGTTATTTAACTTCTCTGAAAAAATGAGACAACATGACATTTTGACAACAACACAGCAGGATTAATGAGGAAGGCAGTTATGAATTATTTTTGAAGAACTGAAGGTGCTACCATGTTACCATGTGCTACCAGGTTATTTAACTTCTCTGAAAAAATGAGACAACATGACATTTTGACAACAACACAGCAGGATTAATGAGGAAGGCAGTTATGAATTATTTTTGAAGAACTGAAGGTGCTACCATGTTACCATGTGCTACCAGGTTATTTAACTTCTCTGAAAAAATGAGACAACATGACATTTTGACAACAACACAGCAGGATTAATGAGGAAGGCAGTTATGAATTATTTTTGAAGAACTGAAGGTGCTACCATGTTACCATGTGCTACCAGGTTATTTAACTTCTCTGAAAAAATGAGACAACATGACATTTTGACAACAACACAGCAGGATTAATGCAAAAATAAATTCCAATCATACTTTATAAAGCTTCATTTACAGGTATTTCATCGTCAGTAAATGAATCCTCATTATCGTTTGGTTCAACCTGTTTATATAATCCTTTCATTTCTTCTTTCAAAACATAACACCATGTTTGTTTACCGTCTATTCTTCTATGTTTCCTATCACATTTATCCTTAATACTCATTTGGAAATTCTTGTCTTTCATGTCTGATGGTTTGCAGAATAGAGCATTTTCACACGTCATACCTGCACACAATTCATCATAATGTGTATTTATCCATACATCTAAAGGATTTGTTGATAATTCAATTAAATCTTGTTTGGCTTCAGTCATCGGAATGATTCGTACATTAAATGATGAAAGGTCATATTGCATAAAATACGTCAGCAAATTATCATAAAATTCCTTTAATCAAATTGCTGACCCTTGAATTTACCATTAACTCTTAAAACTACGTATCTTCTGTCTCCAACTTCAATTTTGACAGGGTAAACGTTGTTAGTTACGAAAATGAAGTTTGCAACATTCTGAGCAGTTCTTCTGGGTTGATTCTTTTCATTAATTCTAATCTCATTATCCGTTATAATTGATTTCAAAGCGTTGAAGTTTGCGAGTCTGTCTTCACCCACATTCTTGAGTTCATTAAGTACAAGAAACATTTTATTTTCAACAACTGAATTGAAATTACCCGTTAGCTCACCTATTTCGGTAATGTTTTTACATGAATAACCGGCGAGGAGTTCAGAAATAATGTCTGTAAATCTGTTTTTACCTGTTCCCTGAAGTCCTTTCAAAATAATTGCTGTTTCATTCTTGATTCCGGGATGTTGAATCATTGATGCAATCCAGCCGAGAAGGTATTTATACACTTCATCGTTATTATCACAAATGGCTTCTTTAATGAAATCCATAAACATCTCAATTTTTGAGTAATCAGGCTTTTCGAGAACGTTGTATTTATAACCTTGAAACGTTGAGAAAACATCTGGAGAATCAGATTTAAAGCAAACACCCTTAACGGTTAATGAGGATAATTGATTTAGTAGTACATCCCATGCTGTTATGGTTTTACCTTCTTCTTTAAATAATTTAATCATTTTAAGTGACTCTTTCATGTTTGATTGAAGAACGAATGATATTTGATTCATTTTGTCGTGGATATTATAGTCCTTTTGAATGAAATATTTATTTCCACAATCTACAAAACGGATTACACGTGATAAATCCTCAATTACTTCAGAACTGTTTTTATACTGATGATTTTCAGCCTTGCGTCTAATATCTGTTATCAAAAACGAGTCATCAAGTTTTATATCAAATGTTATTTTTGGCTTACGTAATAAAGGTAAAACATATTCATCATAATATTCCTTTTGATATAGTTTTAGAATCTTCACTAAAACAAATGGAGAAGTCATTAAATGTGCATATCTACTACGTGCTTTTTCAAAATTACTTTTTGCATTTTCTGTTAAACCGCAGAAGTTATAAACGTTATCGTATGCTTCATTAATTAAATGATTAGGTAACGAATTAATTGCTTGAAACAGTGTGAATAATGTTATTTCTTTTTCCAAATTCATGTTTCCACCGTCATTATGTACTTCAAAATCACTGATGCCATCAACTATGCTCTGGGCAAGTTTATCGTCAATGTTTACATCTTTGTTTTCATTCATGATAGTCTTTATTTCTTCGTTCTTCTGTTCAACTCTTACCTTAATATTCAAATCATTTAATATATCGTTTACGGTTCTAGTTAATGTTGAGTCATAACTTCCACGAATGAATGAGTATGTATTGATTGGTTCTGTTGCATTCTTGCGAACTCTTGAATCAGCCATAACTACTAAAGAACGCTTTGATTCATCCATAGAAGTCATTATGTCAATATCATAATCATTGCAGGAATAACATTTAATCATTCTGTTCGAAACTGAATAGAAGAAATTGGTGTTGCAATAAATGTGAAGACCTCCTGAAGCGGTTTTAACGATAACATCTTTATCCGAAAGTTTTGATAAAATATCTTTTCTAACTGTTTCTTTAAGTTCATCATTGTATGATTTATTGATATCAACATCTATAATCGTTAAATTTGAAATTTTATTTACTAATAAAGCCATACCAGTTTTCCTTCCTCTTCCTCCATCATGTTTGAGGTAGTTATGTAAATCAATCTTGTTTTCACCAATTCTTTCGTTGAGGGTTTTAGTTTCTACCACAACTAATTCCTCAGCTAATGAATCAATAACTTGTTCATCAGAAACGATATAGTTGCTGTTGTTTGTTGCTGTCATTTATATAGGAATAAAAAAATAAAAATAACTTTAAAACTAACGTTATTTTTGGACTGCATCATATTTCCAGGACTGTTGTCAAAATGTCATGTTGTCACACTTTTTAAGAGAAGTTAATTAACCTGGTAGCACATGGTAACATGGTAGCACCTTCAGTTCTTCAAAAATAATTAATTATTGAATAACCTGAAACCATTAACGTAAACATTAACGATAAAATATATTTCCTATGTTGTTGTCAAAATGTCATGTTGTCTCATTTTTTCAGAGAAGTTAAATAACCTGGTAGCACATGGTAACATGGTAGCACCTTCAGTTCTTCAAAAATAATTCATAACTGCCTTCCTCATTAATCCTGCTGTGTTGTTGTCAAAATGTCATGTTGTCTCATTTTTTCAGAGAAGTTAAATAACCTGGTAGCACATGGTAACATGGTAGCACCTTCAGTTCTTCAAAAATAATTAATTATTGAATAACCTGAAACCATTAACGTAAACATTTATTTCCGCAGTTCATTACCTAATTAATTACAGACATAAAATATATTTAGTTCATTCGGTAAGCCTTGACCCAAAGGTCTGGGCTCAAGCACATTCAATGAACTCGGTACCATGCGAATACAGTCACAAATGGTGGCATGTAATCTTTACCAGAGCCTGTTGGATTTGTTGTGAAAGTGTGTGAATGATTACCTGTGGTTCCACAGAAAATACCTGTGCTTGAATCTACTGGGTCAGTTGTGATATCATATCTATTCATTCCCCATCTATCCAAACCCGCTGCAAGATTTATATAACCTCTTTTTGTTATTGAATGTGAATGATTTCCTGTTGTGTTTGTAGTTCCTGTATGAGTGTGCGGTGGAAGGTTTGCTTCTTTAATTTTCTTCGAACCTCCTGTTTGCTTTGAATATCTAGCACAGTATAAGAATTTATCTACAATCTGCTTCCACGTACCAAAACCTAAAACTGTTGATGGATTTGTTGAGTTCATTGACGTATAAATAGAACCAACAGGATATAATGTTTGAAGTATTTCTGTCTTTAATGTTTGAAGCTCTGTTTTGTCAGCTTTCTTATCATATAAATCTTGAGCAGTGAATTTAACTTTATTTTCATCATCCATAACATAAACATTTTTACATCTAATTTTTTTCATCGTTGTTATGTTTTCATTCGATGTTAAACCTTGTGGAAAGTTAGGAGGATTATAATATAATGCATCCCCATCAGTTCCGTCAACCGTTCCTTCAATACTTTCTATAGCAACAGTTGAGAAGAAGTTATGTGTATGGTTCTTATCTGCTTTAAGGTCTAAACATCCTGAAACCCATTCTGTATCGGCTTTAACTTTAAAAGTCTCCAATGTCCATTCATGATACCATTCAACCCTTTCTTTAATTTCATTATCTTTTTCATCAACATAAACCAAATTTGCCTTCTTCTCTAACTCACTACATATTCCTTATCCACCTTCTTCATTATGTCATTTAGGAAACCTTCTATGAATTCCTCATTTAAATTAAATCTTCCAATCTTCAAAACTTTAGGAAATGCATTTAATGCGTAATATCTCTGTTCTTCTGGTGGAATTGATGTTATATCATCCGTTATTCCTTTAATTTTTGAATTCAGAAATAAAATTTCTTTTATATTTGATATCACTGCACCACCTTTGCAAACGAATTCGAAATGTTCATTTTTCAATACTATCTCCAAATCTCCATATTTCAACCTTTGCGTTTGTTCTGCCGTCTTTGAATTATATGCATATATGGCGTATGTAATGGTCTGAAGGACCTGGGTGTTTTGCGCCTTAAGTTGCTGTGGTTTAATCATTTATTATGATTTAAAAATAAATATTTAATCCGTTATCTCATCAGCTATTTTTTCTATTTGAAATTGCCATAATATTTCATTCATGAATTCTAAATCACAATCAAATAGGTCAGTTATTCTAAATTTAATATTTGATAAATCTTTTGAATGAAGAATAAATGAATTCCCAGATAATTGAAACGGATATGATAAAGAAAATGTGTTTAAGTTGATGGATAAAATGTTTTGTATTGATGGGTAAGAGTTAGGGTCTAATGTTTGATGTGAAAATCTCATTGGGGTATTAACTTTATCACATTTGATTAAAATGAAATTGGAACCAGTGTCAGAATACAAAACATCCCCAACATCTTTTTCAAAATTTAATATCCCCAACAATGAACGAAGATGAGGAGTACAAAATTTAATTTTCAGCGGAATTTAATAAGGTTATTTATTTCATCAAGTTCAAAAAGTTTATCGGGTTTTGATTTAAAAATTTTCTTCATACCATACGATAAATGATTCATTTAAATAACTTAAATCATGTTAATATCCCATTTCGTTATCACATTATTTATATATATATCATACGTTTTTTCATGGTCATCTTTAATAAATGATATATAATCTGAAGGTCTAAAAGAATGAGATTAAATTTACCACTCACAGAAACGAGAGTAACATTATAAATTCCGCTAACTGTTAAATTTAATTCACAACTATTATTCGAAATAATATTGATAATTGACATTTTTATTACGATTAAAAATATGGTAAAGCGTTATTTTCCAGTGATAAATAAAACTAGAATAAGATTACCTCAAGAATTCATAAATTCAACGAATAAGAAATTCATTCATGTTATAAATTTTAGTGTTTTCAGAAAATATGAGTCAATGTCATATTCATCAACAGGTTATATTCACTTCATTCAAATTTAGTTCAATCAAACCCATATAATGACCATTTCATAAGATTTTCAGATGGTATTAAAAATGTAATTGATAGATTAAAATATGAACAGATTGACAATATCGAATTTTTGGAATTTTGGTTTAAATATCCCGATGGAAAAAAATTGAAGTTAAAGATAAAGCTGATACTATAACAAAAACAATTACAATGACCGATCCAGATAGTGGGGAACAAAAAGAAATAAAACAAACGATAGAAACTGGTGAAAGATCAATTATTATTGATTATGATTCAAAGATTATTATTCAATAATGTTAATGCTTGAATATTAAATAGCCTTAACAAAGAATTTTTCAAGTGATATTTTATATTCATCAACTATTTTATTATAAATATCATTATATGTTAAATGAAGTTCAGTTGTTGTTCCGTTCTTTGATATCTTAATTGTGCTAATATCCTTTATAGGATTTATTTTTGCAACTGTTCCGCAGCATGAAACCTCATCATCTATGAAAAATTGAATCTTAACGTCTAGTCTGAATCTTGAACATCACAAAGAATGGCGATAATGTGAATTAATGATTCATAAGGTAAAATAATTAAACCGGATTGATCAATTAAATTTATTATTGAATCATAATTATTAATTATTATTATCACGGTAAATTTCATCATTAATTCTGAATTAATGTCTATTTTATATGGGTTCTCGATGTTTGATGAAAGAGGTGGGGGGTATGTTGGATAATTGGGAATTTCAAAGGTTCTTTACCAGGTTCAGATTAAAATGATTGGGTCTCCATTCTCATGGTTTTCTTCATTCTCCTCATTCTTCGGTAAGTCACGAGTTAATAAATTTGTTGAGTTGCTGACCTTGTTAATTCGGGGCTAACATTAACTTTAACATTTTGAATAATTCGTGATTTATCATCATTTACGTTATAACCAACCGTAATCTCTGCTTTTGCGTTAGTGTTCTTTGACTAGTGAAACGTCTTCTCATTTATATTCGAATAAAAAAAAATATATTTAAACTTTTATTTTGCTGGAACTTTTGAATCTATTATTCCCTGTATTTGTTCATGAAGTTGATTTTTAGCATTTTCATCGAAATTAATAGACCTAATATATTCATTAATTGCATTCTTATAATCATCTGATTTCTCAAATTTTCTTTTATCTGATTCCTTAACTAAATCATAAGTTAAACCTCGTTGCTGATATAATGGTTTCTTAATTAAATCTTTGAATGCTTGAGATAAAGCACCTGATGCAAATTCTTGCTACTATAATTGGTTGGAATTGCTGTTTAAGTTCATCTTTAACATTTGCGAAAACTGGATCGAATAAAAGCAACTTTAAAGAATTTTCTTAGCTGAAATTTCAGGTCTAATATTTGCATATTGACCAATCAAACTGGTTAGAATATTGTGGTAATCCATCCGGTCCCTCTTCAATAGCATTTAATCTTCATTGAAATAAGAATATGGATTACGACGATATGAATTAATTGGACCATTTTCACCTTCTCCAATTATTGTTTAACAGCTTTTCCATTTTCATCAAATTGCATTAGGATATAACGTTCATTATATACTTTACGTTTAGGATAATCGACATAGTTAATTTATAACCATTTATGACTTTAATATTACCTTGACCATCAGTAACGAAAACTTCATTCATTATACCATCAGGTTTTCCATTTGGACCCGTAATGTCTGCTCGTGTGCTTCCCAATTTGGACCATGACGTTTGGCATATGCTTGAGCTTCTGGTAATGTTAAAACGTTTCTCATTTGTTTAAACATCTTTTTGAAGACCAGCAACAATATGAACTAATTCTTTCATTCCATCAGGAACTTTCATAGTTCTATTATATGCACCCTTTTTGTTTGTTCCTTGTTTTAAATGGAACCTGTAGAAGATTTGCTATTTCTGTGTTTATATTAAAATAAAAAATAAAATTAATTATAAAAAGTTAATCAAATTTAACACTTCCTTTATTTAAATCAACTATTTTTTTCCATGTTCACCTAATTGCTGATATTGTGTGTAAAGTTCATTAATGCTCATTGGTAAATTCACTTGATAAAGCATAACGTTCAACTGTTGACGACTAAACCACTGAAAATGAAAAGTGTTGATAGATTTGATTTAATGTTTGTGCTTAATGCTTTAAGTATTGAACAGCCATGAAGAATGAACAATGAATGTGTCGACATTGAGTTAATAACTGATTAAAATATGATTTCTCATTTGTTATTAGTTTTGATTTCACCGCATCATCTAGAAATGAGTGAATGCAAAAATTCTCTATCAAAATTTGAAATAGAAAGTGTTTCAAATAATTCATCTCGCTGTTTATCAATAATTTTATCCTCTAATCCTTGCTTCTTGATTGTATTATATAATTCTTTATACATTAAAAAGTTTTTTAAATAATCTTCTGCTTCTTCTTGTGATAAATAAATAATTGGAATTTTGATTAAATGCTTTAAAGATTCAAATGTATCATCTGAAGGTGAACCTGAACGGTTGATATAAATTAACACATGTGAATAGGGGAAGTGTTAGCAATAATGATAATTTGTTTTAATATCGTTAATGTTTTACCTTTATTTTGTTTACCAATTGCTGCAGTGATTGAATTTAAGTAACATTCAGAATATGGAATTTTCATTAATTTTTCCTTAGATAGAGCATTTCTATTATCACTCAATGCTTCATTAATCATATCATCTACGTATGTATTATATACTCCTGCTAATTCTTCATAAGGGGTGGATGAATTTAAATCCATTTAATCAAAAATAAATTTATAATTTTAAACATTTCTATTCATCAATATTTCATCATATGAACTTCTATACTGTGGTGGTGTACCTGTTGGATGATATTTCAAACCTTCGTCCGGTGTCCATGTCCAATACGTAGTCCTAGTAAACCAAACCTGAGGAGGATTTGTCACCTTTGAACAGTAAGTGTCATTTACACCCTGAATGATTGGATAAGCTTTCACTTGTACTGTAACTTGTGAGTTGAAAGTTTCTAATCCATCAAAGAATATACCCGCTCCATCACGTTGAACTGGAATAGTGCATAAGAATGAAGTTTGGTCTTTCCATGTTCTAGCTAATGGCGTGCCATTATCATCATTCAGTGGTCTAGTTAATGAGTCCTCGTATTCTTCTGTGCATTCATTCACTCCATCTAAATCAGAAGCTTGAAGCATACGTGTAAAGAATATGTCACCCACTGTGGTCATCGCTTGATCGGGGAAGTTTCTGGAATCTATAGTGACCTGAAGACCTCGAAGCATTGGATTTTCTAAAACCGTTCTTTGCATTGCATTCTTCGGAAATGTTAACACAACATCTGTAACATTATGAAGAGCGTATGAGAAATCTGAACTGATACCTTCAGGAGTGATGCAACCTCCATTTAGTGAACGAACGTCAATATGTTGAGCTGGAATCATGAATGGATCTTCCTTACTAAATAAACGTGGTATTGCTTTAATTGATTCTTCAATTAAACCCGTATCCTGGTGTAATGCATTTATCCTCTAAAACTTCCATCTTTGTGCATGAAATAATAACATCATCAACTGTTGCGTCAGCAGATGTAGCGGCTAAGCTTGTAATTAATTTGGCAGGAAGTCCGATTTGTTGGAATTTGCGATCATATTTATAAACATGATTCATAATCTTTTCATAATTTTCATCAGTTATCTTTTCATAAACGTAATTTTGTAAATCAGCAACTCTTAACGGGTCAACCTGACAAAATACTAAAGTATCCCTGAAAACATAATATTTAAGAATGATTTCACCAAATGATTTAGGATAATCATCGAACGCCTGAAATGCTAACAAATCATTTACCGGAATAATCATATCAAAAGTGACATCAACTTCTTCATTTGCTTTCTTGAAAACTTCTGAAGGGTCAATATATTTACCACATACTGAGTTATCATATTTTTGAACATTATTATATAACGAATGAACAAACTTTTTAACTTTCCTTTCTGATTTTGGTTTATATGTTGCAAATGCGAAAGATTCACGGGCACAATCCATCTGAAGATAACCAGCATCACCTCTTTCGGTTTCTACTTCTAATTGTTTAAAGCTTTGATTTGATGATTTGTAACCAACGAATAAACGCATACATTTAAAAGCGGCATCACATGTGAAAGCTTTATTTGAAACAAGAGTTGCTTTAACTTTGCGTTTAATATATGTGTCACCTAATTGGTTCACATCATGAGCCGGATTTGTAATTCTTAAATGAGTTTGTTTATCATCAAAATATGGAGCATCAGAGTCATAGCATGAACTTTCAAGTTCTCTATAATATCTTCTACCATCATTCTTTGCGAATATTTCATTTATCTTTTCGAATGAATGAAACACATTTCCATTAATCGGTTTAGTGTTTGGCACCAAATAGTTAGTCGTCATTTATTATTAAATAAAAAATCAAAATTAAAAGATGAAAATGAATTTTTAATTTTAATGAAATAATCAACTATGGCTGCAGGATTCTTTAAAAACTATGGGATAAAGTAAAAAGAGGAGCGCATAAAGTTTGGGAAACAATGAAGAAAGGAGCAAATTGGATATTTAAGAATAAAGAAGCAATTAGTGACGTTGCTGAATCAATAACACCAAAAGCTGCCCCAATAAGAGAAATATTAAATAAAGGAGAAAAAGTTTATCAAAGACTTCAACCGATACTAAGATAAAAATAATTTTAAGCCGCTAAGTGGCGAGATGATCCATAGGATCTCATATTTATTTTTCCACTATCTACCCCCTATTTTATTAAGTATTCCTTCAGCTATTCCACCAATTGCGTTACCTGCTTGTGCTCCCATCGCTGGATTACCTGCTTTAGTACCTAATACTCCACCTATGATAGTTCCTGCCGTTTTCGCTACTGGTGCTAAAAAGTTTGCAATGGGTTTAATAATCTTTTTATGAACCCAACCCGCAGCTTTCTTAATTCCATCCCATAATTTTTTAAAGAATCCTGCCGCCATTTCTGATTTAATATTAATTAAAAAATATATTTCATCACTTATATTCTAATTTTTATTTAATGATAAATGAAACCGATTTTTAAAATAAATGAACAGAGGAGGAAGAAATAAATGAAAGTGAAAATGTTCAACAAAAAATAAACGTTGTTAAACCAATTACTGAAATAAAAATTTTTTCATCTGTTGAAGAATTTAATGACTATTATGCTAATAATAAAAAATTATTTGAAGAATTGACAACGTGTAAATTGAATAAAATGTTTAAAGTTGATGGATTCAAAATTTCAAAAATAAAAGGGTGATTAGTTTGAAATCTATTCCTCAATCAAGAATCACCTCATTAATGAAAATAGATGATTTAACAAAAAGAATAGAAGAGATTGAAGAAAGAATGAATCAAATAATTGATTTCATAAATTCAAATAATCATTAGTTTCTTAAAGTTCAATGTTGATTCTGAGACATGAATTTTTAAAGTTTATTTTTTATTTCATTATGGTAGTGAATCTTTTATTCATGAAAATAATTATTTCTAATTTCTTTTACTCTCTCGTACATACTAGATTTGAAGAATTCGGAACTTTTACCATAATCTCCTAAATGTTTTCTTATCTTATTGGTTTTCCATTCATTATATGAAACTGTATAAACTTTATCTTTATCTTTGCATCTTTCATCACTTCCAATATATTTATATCTCAGTTTTGATTTATTGGTTTCATATTCATTAACGTTTAATAATTCACAGTCTTCCTTTTTAAATAAATGTTTTATGTATTCAGGATTAACAATTCTATAATATTGCTTCCCTTTAAATCTTTGAATATAAACAGGAACACCATCCTCTAAAATTCGATAATCTATTTTATCTGGTTTTACTTGTTGGGTCATTTATGTAAGAATAAAAAAATAACTTTAATTTTTTTAATGGTTTATAAATATATTTTAATGCATCGTCTATATATAGATGTAACAAAAAAAGTCACACAACCCATCCTATCCTACTACTGAGCTTTTCTGTATGTTTATTTCTTTATGTTAATTAAAAATAAAAGAGAAAAGCTAAATGAAAAAGGTAAACAAATAATAAAATATTTCTTTTTACTTTCAAACAAAATTAAATCAAATGAAAATGGAAATTCTGCTTCACATTTTCCTAAAGAAAGCAATGAAAGTGTTAGATTAAACGAATCTGTTTTCATTTGTTCCATATTAAACTCCCCATGAGGAATTTGTATTGCCCAAATATAAAACTCTTTTACAGTTAGACTATCTCCACTACAGTTAACAATTGTCATAATACCACCGTTACCTATAGAAAAAACAATTTCAACTTTGTTTCCAAAGAAAATACATTTTGAAACCGTAATTCCTGAAACTAATCCAACAATAAGAAAATTACATGAATTGTTTTTGAATACTGAGCTTTTGATAAATGAACGCATGTTTTGATGGAACATGGATCTATAACCTGAATTTTTATTATCATTGGAAATGAAACAGCAAAAATTCATTTCACTTTGACTTTTTTGTAAATAATGTCCCGATAATTCTTTACATTTTGTTTGAGTGATGTTTACAGAAATAAGACTTAATGACTCATCACTATTGTAAAAACTACTCGATCCGGTGTCGTTGAGACCACAATGATAGAGGGAACTTAAATTTACAATATTTTTGGACTCAATTGAATAGGAATGCAATCCAGATCCTGATGTATAGCATCCAACAGAACAAAAGCGGTCTTGGACAATGCATTAACCTCTTTCAAAGCAGATGACCCCACCATTTCCTGAATTTCGAGTAATATTTGTGTATGTACATATAGAATGCAGTAATTTAATTCCTTCACAGTTGCAATTAATGACATTATCTGAGAAATCCTTAAAATTTGAAGAAAGTAAGAAAAAATCAGAGGAAATAGTTGGCTTCGAGTTATTTTTGAGGGATATACATTCAATTGAAGGTGGTCCATAGTATTCTTCCCATAAATCTTTTGGAACTCTAGCCTTATTGAAAACTCGCTTTTATATAGATTTTAGAGGAAGTAAACAAGTTACTTCACTTTGTCAAATTTTTGTAATCAATTAGAACTGATTCACTTTTGTGAGATTGCCTCAATTTTATGGATGAATAATAATTAAGATTTATTTCTTGGATTTATTTTTATGTAATCATGTTGAGTTATTTGTAAAATTATGGAACCTGAAAGTTAGCAACGTTAAGCTCATATAGCTTTTAACTAACTCCATCCCTTACTTAAACCATCAAAATGAGTTGATCATTTCATAGAAAACAAGCTTATATAACATTATTGCTTTCATTCTATAAAAAAGGGGAACTTCACTTTGTCAATTTTTTTCAAAAGAAAAATTTACTCTAACATTATTGCTTTGGATCTATAAAAAAACAATAAATAATAAATGACAATTATTTATAACAAAATGAAAATAAAAAATAAATTATTTTGGTAATGATGAAGATAAACAGTTTTCATGATAGAAAAGACCATCAGGAGTCCTAACAAAGAAGTTGCTGCCAATAGGTTTGTGGCAGTTTTCGCACAAAGTATGGTTATCTACAACGAATGAAACAGATTTTGCCTTTTGGAGCTGATATTTAGCTTCAAAACGTTCTGCTTCAGCGCTGGCGCATGATATCTGGCTTTTCTCGCGCTGGATGAGGAGATCTCTGTATAAATCTGTGATGTAGTCAAAGATCTCTCCAATTTCTCCGAAATCGAGAAGCGGAACGAAGTCATTCGGATTAATGATCCCAGCGTTCTCTTTGAGAACGGATCTGAGTATTTTCTTGAAATCTTCTTTGGATAAAGAAGATTTCATCATCGGAAGCGCAACTCCGAAGGCGGATGTTGGGTCTTTCGCCTTCTTGCAGATGTTCAAAGCCTTCTCGATGTCTGTTTTGTTGTTTGTCCAGATAATTGACAAAGCTTCTTTGTAATTTCCATCTGCAAGGTAGATTTGGTACTTTAAGTCCTTGAATTTGCATGTTTCTGCAAAGGCAAGAATAGCTTGTCTGTTAATTTCATCATAAAAAGTGTTAATTAAGTATAATAACCTTTCTATCAGTTCTTTCTCGGATTTATCGAGTAATTCAGGTGTCATTTCTTTTGCACCTGACAATACAACGCATTTCAACCATAAAATGCTGCTAAATTCGAAAATTGGATTTCGAATATTCGTCAAAGTTTCGCATATTTGGTCAGCGAGTGAAGAAACAACACTTTTATGGCCAGACAAGGAACTGAGTCTTACAGCGCTGATGAAAAATAAAGTTTTCAAATGAACAAAATTTTCTTCAATAAAATTCGCTATTCTTGCGATTTCGAAGTCATCAACACTTGTTATAAACTCTATCGTTTCGATTGGCCACCTATTGATGAATCTTTTCAGATATTTAATAAATGAATTCCATTCGTGGCTGAATTCCTTGAAAACGGACAAAGCGAGCTTGATTTCTTCAGGTGCTGGATCTTTTATCAGCTCAAAAGCCTCCAAAGCTTCTTGTGGCTGCTTGGAAAACACATTAATTATGAAATTAACAGTTGGATAATTAATAGAAGCTGCGAAGTACTTGATAGATGTTATATCAATATTCTTTGTATGTTTCATGAACTTCCTGACGTCGTGCGTCATGTTAAGAAGAATTAAAATTTCTAATATCGCTGTATTGAAGTCTACGACCTCTGGGGTGTTCTCTGTTGGACAGTACATCTTTAGTTTTGATAAAAGAATGGGATAGGATGACTCTTTGTCGTCAATTTGCGATGGCAAATAAAAATTATTTGTTTTTACAACGATTTCGGATCTTCCTGACCTTGGATCAACAATTTCCTTGTAGAACCTTAATTTTCCGAATATCTCCAGAACGGAACTGACGTTTTTTTGGACTCCTGGGACACTCAAGAAGTTTAGAGCGTTTTCTCTGTAAATGTACTTATCATTCACGCTTGAGTTCCACAGTAGTTCGAAGAATTGGCAGAAACTTGTGATTCCGTTGTGATTATAAACCATTTCGAAGGCTTTAGTGTATTTTCCGTTCAAAAACAGCCTGAATGTATCGGAATAGTCTTTGACTAAGTAAAGCTCGTTTTCAGTTGCGTAGAAACAGATGCCAAGTTCGTCATTTGAAGTAAATGAAATAAAATCTTGAATTGGAAGCTTATATTCGCTTGAAAAGTCGTAGAAAATGGCGAAATTATCAACAACAGACATATACGCTTTGTTAAAAGGCTTCACGAAGTAGTTAAACTTTGGAGTTGAATTAAAAACAACTTGTGACTTTTCGCAGGACAATCTGGAGTCAACATACGTAGCAGAGTGCTTGTTGTATAAAATAATCGAGTCGTAGTCGGCTGAAATGAGCGTAGAATCGGGTTCAAGTTCCATATTGATAAATGGTCTGTAATTTCCTCCCCTGAGCTCGATATCAATATTAATTTGCATGAGACCTTTTCGGAAGATTAAGTATACGAAAGGATATGTTAAAGCAACCGATAAAATATCTTCATCTCTTACTGCATCAGCAAAAAGTGGATTTTCACTATTCATATCATCAATTACGAATAAGTTATTACCTCGGCAGATAGCAATAGTGTTTTTTCGTTTGTTTGATGAATTTGTTGAATAACAACTTATGTTTTCAGCCAAAACATTGATATTTCCTGCAGGATCAGCAAATATAAGAACACCAGGAGTGGTCAGATCGTATTTTGTGAAAAGAAGAAAACCACCCATCAAAGATTTTGCCGATTCTAAATAGTAATTCGAAAATCCGATAGTCGGATACGATTCTGGTATTTCGTAATTAACTATTCCGGATACAACTGTGATTGGACATTGAAGAATATTAATTTTTTTATCTTCTCCTTCCAAAATTATAACTAATTTGTCGCCATTCTGCTCGAGAGAATGAATTTTAAGTCCATCCAGATTGATCTTTGATGAAAGATTCAGAGACATCGATAAATAAGGACCAACTTGACTCATTTTTTTTTTCTTGATAAAAAATTAAAAAATATGGAATATCAATTTTGGGGTCTTACACCTTCATATTCTGAGAGTATAGATCCGTATTTTTCCCAAGTGAGCGGGGTATCTCCAATCCCAGCTCTATCGTCCTCCCAGTGTCAGTTTTCAATATAAAATCCAAATTTTTTTTGAAAATAAAAATTTCGAGAAATTTTTCTGATTTTTTTTCTTTGATTTCAATAATTCAAAATAAATTTGGGAGTAAAAAGACGTTATTTAATGAAATTCATATGAGTGAATGTGGATAAATACTCTCAAAACATACAATTTATCTATTTTTTCTTTATATTATCAACTAATTAGTGATAATTTTTTTTGAATCAGATTTTTTTTCATTAAAAACATAATATATAACACAACAATGATGCACACATACGTATCTACACATCAAAATATAAAGCTTGTTTTGGTCTGGGCATCCCAACCCAAAATTCTTTAAAAATTGAATAAAATTGAATACTTGGGGCTGGGATACCCATCCCAAAACCGAATTGAATTTTTTGAATTAAAGAATATATTTATGTATTTATAATATACATGTGATGTCTATAAAAAATACTAAATTCTAAAAAAAATTCAATTTATTCAAAACGTATACTAAGTGATCACTTCATTAGTAGGATCAGCAATCCTACTAAATGGTGAGAACGCCACTAACTAAAAAGGGAGTCCTTGGAGCTCTTGATCTCTTGTCAGTAGAGTTCATAATGAGGCATGGCATCTACTGATTAGAGATCAGAGCAATCCTACCTTACCTTCAGGAGCTACAAAGCTCCTAATCGTTACGAGAGGGAGCCTTGGAGCTCCTGAAGCTCATCAGCAGAGGCTATTTAGCATTTGGGCCTCTTCTGATGAAAGATGCGAAACACGTCTACGAACCAGGAGCTTCAAAACTTCTAATCCTTACTAAAGGGAGCTTTGGAGCTCCTGAGTCTCCATCAACAGAGTCCCAGATGGTAAATGTCCTTTGCTGATGAAAGATGCGAAACACATCTACGAACCAGGAGCTCCAAAGCTCCTAATCCTTACGAAAGGGAGCTTTGGAGCTCCTGAAACTCCTTTTACTATAAAATAGGACAGTTTTCTTCTGAGGTTCTTATCAAATCTAAGACTTCAGAAGAAAGCTGTCCTATCAATGTATACTTACACTCTCATGGACTACAAGTGTACAATTTTAAGGCAGAGATTATACGAGGCCTCTCATCAAATGAGGGACCTCGGATAATCTCTACCTTAAGTAGTCAAATAACTTTTCTCACTATTTAGGAACAAAAGAACAAGAGTTGGAGTACTTTAAGGCAAGATTCTTCCGAAATCTCTCATCGAATGAGAGACTTCGGAAGGACCTTGCCAAATCCTTGAACGCCAATATCCTTGGAACTGAGCTAGAACCAGGGAGAAGTAGCATACTATAGAGCACGATGGTAATCTCGGAAATGCTTATATCGCCCCAAGCACAATATTTAAGAGGTCTAACTCATATATACAAGAAGTCAGGCTGAATAGATATTGTGCATATGGTTTGCAGAACTCTCATGATATTTAAAATTCATGTTATCCCAAAAAGGTGACACTTTGGGTGTATCGTCCATCCCAGGGATGCAAAAATCACATCACCTTGGATCTATACTGAGAGCATAAAAAGGTATAGTCCAGCAGAGATATGTCACTATATATTACCTTTGAGCAGAGATATGCATAAATCACAGAGAAAATTCTAATGTTAAAATGAATTTTGCTCAACATCTGGTTTTTGACTTATGACTTAAAGGCTCACAGTCCGGCCAAACGAAGACTATCGTACTATTTCTACACTGACAAATTGTGTACGAAAGAAGAATATATGTCTCACTTTACGGTCAAAGTTCCACAATCAGTTGAAGTTTGGGGGACGTTTTGCCAACTGCAAAAAATCTAAAAAAAAAGAGAACATGAATATAAATTTTTATTAAATAGACAAGCATTATTCAGAAAACTCTACATCAAACATACCTGCTTCCTGCTTCTTTTCCTTCTTTTTACAAACTTGCTTGTGAACTACTAAGAAATAGACCAAAAATGCAATGAAAGTACCAGAAACAATACAAATAGATATTACCAGGAAAATTTCGTTCTTCTTAAGTCCGAAAACTCCCCTAAAATCAGAGTTTGCGTAATATGGCTCAGTTCCACACTCTTTGTAGTTCGGTTCCAAATCCATGATCGGGAACTTGTAAGAGCTTTTTACATAAGTTGTATAATCAAAGTTAATCAATTTATCATAAATTAAATGGTTTCCTTCAATGCAAAGACTGTAAAGATACTGAGATTGTATTAAACTATCATCTTTGATGTATAAAACTGAAGAAGGAACTTCAACTATCGGTGCTCCTTCACTTCTCATTGAGAAAAATCGTTCATTTGCGTCCACTCCGTTTAAAACAGTATCACCATCAATGAATACGGTCTCATTAGGCAAAGTTGCCTTCTCATCAAAGTATGTTGATACGACTAAAGCTTTGGTATTTTTATTCAAAACACCATTTGTCGTAGAAATGAAAATAGGATTGCGGGAATCAATTTTAACTTCAAAGCTATGCGTAATACATAGGAAAGCACTTGATTCTATTTTTGAAATTGTTTCAGGTAAAATTATTTTCTTCAATGAAGTGTATGAGAAAGTCATATCCTTCAATTCTGTTATACCAGGTCCTAATGATACAGTTTCTAACTCTTCACAGTATGAAAATGCATATGATTCAATATTATAATGGAAATTAGATTCAATTTGAACATTTTCAATGGCTGTCCATAAGAAACATTCCTTGCCAATGCTTGTTAGCTTATTGGAAAATGTTATTTCTTTTAGTTTCTTGCAGCCGAAGAAAGAATTGTCTGAAATTTGTCTGCAAGATGAAAGATCAAGTGATTTTAAGCTTGAACATCTTTCAAATGCTCGAGAACCAATGAATTCAACGCTTTTTGTATCAAAATCTTCTAAAGAAGAGCAATTAAAGAAACAATCGCTTCCAATATAAATGATTGGAGCTTCAGAATTAATATCCTCTAAATTGGAGCAGTTTGCAAAGGTGGAATCTAATAGAGAAAGAAGTTTTGTATTGGAATATTCAAATTCTTCCAAATTTGGCATTGAAAAGAAAGCTCCAGCACCGATGAGCACTTGATGATCAATAGTTATTGTTTGTAAATACATTTGTGAGTTAAAAGCATAAGGAGAAATTGTTGTTATTTCATTTGGAACTTTATATTTCTTGTTCTTGTTTGTTGACAAATAAGCTATTAATGTGTGACCACTTTGAGTTGTTAGAATTCCATCAGAGAGCTTAAAATGAGAATTTCCATCTAATTTTATATTTTCGAGTGAAGTACAAAGTGGAAATAGTCCAAAACTGAATGTTTTGACATTTTATGTTAATGTTATATCTTTGAGTGCTTTGCATTCTAAGAAACAATTACTTGTTTGAGAATTAAATTCAATATCTTTGTTTATTTTCAAAGATACAACGTTTGAATATGCAAAAGCATACTGACCTAACTCTCTAACATTATTTAAGTCTATTCCAGAGCTTAAATCACAAAAATAGAACGCATATTCTTCAATTTTCGTAATTGTATCTGGAAATACGATCGATTTCAGATTTATGCAACCAGAAAATGTTTGTGCAGGTATAACTTCAAATCCATTACCTTTTAAAGTAACTTTATCCAAGTTTATGCAACTTGCAAAAATTTAAATGTTTGTGAATACGCTATCTATTACTAATTCATCTATATTGTCACAATACATGAATGCTGAATCACCATTGATCGTAAATTCTTTCGGAAGCGAATTAAATTTTAATTTTTCGCAACAATAAAAAGATTTCTCGCCAATAGTCATTTGTTTTGCATCTGGTAGCAATTCAAGATTGAAACAGAATCTAAAAGCCTCTTTTTCAATTGTTAATTGTTCATTTGAAAATTGAATGGTTTCAAGGGAATGACACTTATAGAAAGCTTTCTCATTAATAATTGATGCATTTGGAACAATGACTTTCAGTAAACTTGTGCATTTTTCGAAACAATTTATGGGAATAAATTCAATTTTTGCGTAACAAACAAATTCTTTGAGTTTTTGACATGTAGAGAATGCATCATCACTAAGGGTAACATGAAAGTTTGTATTTGAAGAAGGGAAGGTGATTTTTTCGAGATAAATGCAAGATTCAAAAACTCCTTTATGAAAATCAATGTCATTTGACCTTTCTTCGAATGTAACTTCTTTTAACTTTGAACTTGTAAAACAACGGTATTCCAATATTTTAACAGTAGATTTTATCACAAAATTTTCGATCTGACAGCCTCTGAAGGCATAAGCTGCAATAGATCTCAATGTAGACTCTCCAAAATCGAATTCTGTCAGTGAAGTACAATATTGAAAAGCTTGGTAACCAATTTCAACTGTATTTTTGCCTAATTTAACGGATTTTAGTTGCCTACAATAACTAAATGCGGATTGTGTTATGGATTCAATAGTATCTCAAAGAACAACTGATTCTAATCCAGAATTTTGGAAATACACTGTTTTTGCATTCCGGATGTTAATAGATGTAAGTTTAGAACAACCTAAGAAAGCTTGGTTATCCATATCAATGACATTTTCGAGATTTATAGAATTGATCGAAGAATATGCGAAAGCACCACCTCCAATTTTAGTTATATAGGGTGAAAGTGTAACTTTTTCAAGAAAAACACATTGGTAAAAGACGCCTGAGGTTATTTCTGTGATTGATGTTGAATCAAAAACTATTTCATGAATCATTCGATTAAACTCGTACGATGTATACTTACTTATCGTATTAACTTTGATAATAACTTTATAAATTGATCTTTGCTCCATATCTTTTAATATATCTGTTGAAGATAAATCATTTTCATCGGTAATTATGATAGAATTATCACCTACTGTATACTGTGAACTTAAACAGATGTGCTTCTTTAATAGATTGGCAGTAAAGAATGTTAGTAAATTCATTGAATTGATAAAAATTATTATATGAAAAATATTATTTTTATTTTTATCAAAATTATTGTACATTGCACGTACATATAATAATTAGAATTTTTCAAATAATTGTTTTCAATGAATAACTTTCGAGTGCTCACAATTTTTGAATATGAAATAATTTTGAGAATAAGGAATTTCCATTATTGTTATATTATCATTAAGGGTGCACCCGTATGTACGTTTATTTGAGAGGAGGAGGATTACCCTCTCAATTTTGAGGGATTCGTTAGTTTATTTTCTCGATGAATATGCAATAAAATTTGATTTTTACCTTATCAATATACTTCATATAATATACACATGTTCATGTAAAAACTTTTTTCCAAAATCCTCAGAAATTAAGGGATTTTTGAATTTTAAGAATTTTTTTCGAATTTTTTCGAAAAAAAAATATTTTCAGAACAGCCTTAACGGCTAAGATTTAGGAACAATGTTAAGTATCAAAAAGAAAGGAGGTCTGATATAGACAACATATATCGTTGAAGGTTGAAAAAATCTCTAATATTTGAGCCCAAAATTTCAAATTTTAATTTTTTGAAAAAAGAGGCCACCCGTATGTACGTTTATTTGAGAGGAGGAGGATTATATTTTTGAAAGGGTGAAACATTATGAATATGTTAATTATATAATAATATGTATTATTATAAAAAAGAAAAAATAAAGAACGTTAAAATTTTTCTTTCTTGATTTTTTACAAAATCTACTTAGAATTATGCAAAATATGACTAAATAATTATAAATTTCAAGTTAAATTTTAATTTTGATAAATAATTTAAATTTCAAAATATCAAGTTCAGTTCGACTATGTATGTAGTAATTCCTCAATAAAGTGCCAAAACCCTATTAAAATATATGAACATTTTCAACATTTTAATGTTTTTATTTAAAAATTTGTTGGAATATGAGCTTCAAACAATTATTATGTAAATAAAAATAATTAAATATATGTATTTATTCGTATTACAACCGTAGTAAGTCGATTCTTCCTTTCTTCTACTGAGTTTTGAATTTGATTGCGAATTGTAAAGAGATTCAAAGGGAAAATACTAGCGGATAAAAACTACCTCCATGAAAGGGTCATAATGGAGTCAAGTTGTATTTTTTGATATTTTTTGCTTTTCGAGCCTAAATAGGTAGCCAAGATAATGCCTAAAAATAAGGTTCTAAATTCTGAAGTTTACATGATCCTCTCGTGTGCACCCTTAATATATCCAAAAAATAAAAAAAAACTTTTCCAAATAAACTTTCATTTTGGTGTTGTTTACCATTTCAAATCATTATGATAGTCATTCATTTAGGAAAGGAAACTAGAAGTAGCCTAATCATTAAAATCCATCAATCATTTAGAGTGAGAACCACAAAAATAAAAAAATTATGGTTCTCTTTTTGAAATATGAAGAAAATAACATACTCAATTGATAGTATAACAATAGCATACATAACAATTTATAAAACAAATATACAAATTAATCAATAATTTCAACGGATTTGCTCCGACCTTTTCTCCTTGATTTTTTTGCTTTTAGCTGGAGATTTCGGAGAAACTGGAGCCTGAACAATAACTTGGATTGGAACTTGTGCTGCTTCAACGGTTTTTCCACGACCTCTTCTTCTTCCTCTTCCTTTTCGCGGAGATTTTGCTGGTGATTCAGGAGTTGGTGATGGAGCATTTTCATCTAATGAAACGGTTTTTGTTGGTGACTTTCTGCCCCTTCTAAGTCTTCTTCTTGGACTTTTTGTTGGAGTTGGAACTTGAGGAGTTGTTGGGGGAGTAATAGGATCTACTGGAGTTTGAGGAGCAGGCATATCTGGGTCAGGGTTATCAATAAATACAAATAAATCTGAAATCTTTAGGAATCTATAAGTGTTTTCCGCTGGAATGAATTCTATGGAAAGTTTGGGACGATATGATTCTTTTTTATCTGTCTTCTTAGGTTTATCATCATTTTCTTCTTTATTTGATGGTTGAGTTATATTATTTTGATTTTCTTCAGGTTTTTGTTGCTCTTTTTGGTCACTGATTGTTTCAAACGACTTTTTCTCAGCTGATTCATCACTAGAAACAGCCTGATTTTGATCTGTTTGATTTGGTATTTTTTGTTCTTCAGAGTTTGTGTTCGTAGCTTGAGATTCCTGCTTTTGTGTTTCTAATTTATCATTTTCAGCTATTTCCAGCTTATCAGATTTAGGAGTTATTTCAGAAATAACTTTTGGTTCATTATTTTCAGGTTCTTCAGGTTTTTCTGCAGGATCTTTTGATTCTTGAGACTCGTTTTGTTCTTCTTGTTGGAGAGGAGTTTCTTTTTTCTCATTATTATTTTGATTTGATTCAATTTCTTTAGAATCATTATTTTCATTATTGGGTTCCTTTTGGGATTCATTGTTAAGCTCCGCTTTTACAGCTTTTTTGGTTTTCTTGGGTGGAGAATCTTCTTGAAGCAAATCATCAACAGAAAATTGATTATTCCGCTTATTTTCTCCATCAGCATTACCAGCAAACTGTGGCGGAACAGTTTTTTCTGGATCGTAAATCGAAGTTAAATCTAAAATTAAGGGTTTTGGATATTTATCCTTTGCAATGCCAAAATTATCAATTATAAATGAAGAAACAGCCCATGAGATTTGGGATGGTTTATCTAATGATGAGTTTGCCCATTTTACAAACGTTTTAATAATTTCTTGACTGTGACCATTCAATAAGTTGAAGCATTGCCTTATTTCTGGGAAAAGATCATCAAGGACAGGTACCGTCCATTGAATCTGAACACTGTAATCTAATGTACATAATTTTCTGAAGAATTCTGAAATCATTTTAACGCCATGCTTCATCATTCTCTTATTATATCCAGATTTTATCGAAATTACTTGCAAAAGTTGGCTCGAAACTGAACTAGGCAAACTTGGCAAAATAATTACTCCAAAAAAGAGAGATAGAAGCTTCTGATAGAGGACATCTATATCATTCTTGGATGTTAGAATAGTGTAGTGACTGTAAATATAGAAAATAACACGTACAGACTGCGGCATTAGAGATGCAGAGTCACAAATATACTTTAGAACAGTAAAAATCGCCTTTTCATCAAGAAAATCACCTTTTGTTGCTATGTAATTCTTCAGTTTCTGAATTATTTGCGTGTAATACTGTTGACCATAAGATGAATAACAATATTCAAGTAATTCTCTCGTAAGACCTTCAATATTTTCCGTAAATTCCATACTGATGACATTTGAAATGAAAGATTCCATTTTCTGTCTGTATTCGAAAATTTTTATCAGTGGTTTGCAAGTTTTTGTTAATTCAACGAAGGTTTTGACAAGACAGTAATCAGGAGATGTGATTGAAATATAAAACGCGAGCTCAAGGCAAGAAGGATAATTTAAATTTCCTAATGCACCAAAAAATCCGAATGAAGTATTAAAATTTCTGGATGCTTGTCCCCACATCGTGACATGGGATGGTTCCGAAGGTTTAAATTTATATAAAACTTTCTCATTAAATAAAACTGAAACTAGTTGCTTTTTCTCGTCAATTTTAACAGAAGTTGTGTCACAACATGGAAACTCTTCAGGTTCTGGTTTATCCAATAAAGTTTTAATGTAATAAAACTTTTTATCTGCAGTTAATATAGCCCATTGTTGAACAGTATTAGATTTTTTGGATGAAGCAATTAAGCTACAAGCAAGAACCGGGCTGTAAACAATTGCATCTCTGATTTCCTCGTTATAATATCGAAATAACGAATGTCTAACATAATCTAGAAAGAAAAAAGGCTGATTAATCCTATGGGTTATATAGATTAGTGATCTTGCAACGTTATATATTGTTTTGTCGATTTTTGGTACTCTGAATGGAATATAATTGTTTAAGCGAGTAATTAGCTTTATAGGGAATTTAGATGACACCATCTTATCTACTTTTTCAAATAATTCGCTGTTGTCTTCATCCATGTCGTCAGTATCCAAATTATTTACCTCTGAGATACGGTCTTCGATAAATGTTTGCATTGCAGGTGAAAATACATACTCTAACATCTCATTATCATCCGCCTGCTTTTTTAAAAGCTGTGAAAAATCAATCGAAGACATGAAAATTTGAATTCCATAACGCCTTTTTTTATACAATTTGACAGTTGGGTCTCAAAAAAATTTTAAAGTCAATGTATTTTGATCCAATAGCAAAATATTCTTAATTATTTTTTTAATTGGTTGAGAAACCATTGAAAATTAAATTCATTGTCGAATTTCGCAATGGATGCCCTATTAATAGGGCGGTTTCCGAAATGAATGATTTGATTATGATTAGTAACTTCCTTTCCAACATTGAAACATATCTAGAGTGGGTTTGTCTGATTCGTTTTAAAATCATATTTTCTGATTGATAGAAATAGCGGATATCTAAGCTCCTAAAGAAGCACAAGCTAACAATATTGTTCTCCAATATAATATTCATTCTCGCAAGTCTAAAGTTCTTTACAATTTTTTTTTATTTCTAACAAAATATGAATATTTTTAACCCCATCCCTTACATTGAGCATTAAACTTTGAATACATAAACAGGATCATATCTATTTGTATCTTTTCGTTAATAAGTTTAATGAATAGTGAACTTCTGTTATTTGTTTTTATGATTTCGGATATGACTATGTTTCAAGATTCTCATACAATGTCGTTTGTCTTACAAAATATGCCCTAAAATGTACTCTTGGCCTAATTCAGGATCAAAATTATTCAAAAATTAAAAAATTATTGAAAAAGTTGATACATTATAATTATGTAATATCATCCCTTTTAATTTGAATTAATCTGACACTAACTGATTGTCAAAAAATATACTCAAAAAAGGTGACTCTCAAAATTTAATGTCTAAATATGAAGCTTCAACAGCAATAGATCTCAAAATAGTTGTACTAGGATCAGCAGGTGTTGGGAAAACATCTATTATTTACAGATATTGCAATGGAACGTTTCAACCTGGCACAATGCCAACAATTGGAGCAGGATTCTTCACTCATAATATAGAAATCGATAAAAAAGACGTCAACCTTCTTTTATGGGATACAGCTGGTGAGGAGCGCTTTAAATCTGTCACGCCTTCCTTGCTTCATGGTGCAAATGGAATGATTTTAGTCTACGACGTCACATCGAAAGTGAGCTTCAAAGAGCTAAGCGATTATTATGAGATGTTCCTTGAAACATGTGAGTTCAAAAACGGAGAAGATTTACCAATTTTAGCTTTCGGCAACAAAATCGACAAAGAAGACTGGATGACAACAGAACAAGAATTTGATACCTGGTGCGAGACTAATAAAGTACCGTTTCATGCTATGTGTTCTGCAAAAACTGGAGAAGGAATTGCTGAACCAATTAAACAACTTGTTGAATTAATATTAACACCACAACGTATAACAAAAACACCAGCTCTCCAAATTAGACCATTCCCTGATGACGAAAAGAAGGGATGCTGCTAATTTCTTACGTTTCTCATAACAGTTACAGAATTGATTTAGCATACCCATATCAAGCTTTGTTTTCAACAAATATTACTATACGAAGATTGCTTATACTATTAAAAAATTGTTATTATTTTTATATTAATATCTTTTTTTAACGATTTACTTGATGTTTCTCTAAATGGGTCAATGCTATTGAAATATCAATAGATATGAGTTGTAACTATTCTATATTTTTTTTATATTTAATTTCAGAGATTTAATAGGGGTGAATCTATCATTATTAAATCAAAATATATCAGACATCATTTGCTACAATCGAATTATTGCATTTTAAATTTGATAAAAGATTCAAATTCTCACAAATAGGGCAAATAAGCACAATTATAATAAAATATAAACATTTATTACAAACAAATAATACAAAACATCTAATCGCAATTAGGATTGCGAGACAGCAATGAAACTCAATTTTCTTAGACTTTTAAAGTAACTGGCTTGGATAACATGTCCAAATTTTCTAATTCCAGTGAGCTTGAATCCTTCAGAAAATGACCTATTTACAAGCTCAAGCCAACTACTCTCTTTGAATTCCAATGTGTGAGCTAAAGACTCTTTGGGTAAGAAGAAAAAAGGTAATAATCTTGAACCATCGAGAGATTTAATTGTTGATTTGAGACCATCTTCTATTTTAAACTCACAAAATCCTGGTGTAACATCTAAAACTTCATGAAAATCGTTTATATAAACATCAAGATTAGCATCTCGCATGTGTTGAATAATTCCTTTATATGAATATGTTCCACAACCGAAAATGATGCCTTTTGATCTTTCAATAAAAGATCTTTTATATGTGTGAAGGAAAACTGAACAATCTGCTGAATTTGCAACTCTACATTGTCTGCAAACTGCAGTCACTTGACAGTTATTGCATTCTGAAATTAATAACATATTCATGGAAGTTCCTACTGCAAATGAGCAATCTTCACAGTTTTTAATATCTACTTTGTCAACAAGATCATTAATATATACTGTGCATCTTTTCAAATTCATCAGAATAATCTTCTTACATGATAAAATTCCTTGATCAAATTTATACTGTCTGTTGCTTCCGCCTTTTATGATAACCTCTCCTGGAAAGCAAGTAAGAATCATCCCCTTTTGATTATCTTTCATTGCAATGTCTTGAATGGAAACTTCACAACCCATTTGTGCAGAAATAAAATGAAGAATTTTCAAAATTTCAAAGCGCCGTTGAAATTGCTTATCTTAAATTTTCAAATCACCATCTACAATTTCTTGTAGTTACTATCATATCAATTAAATTACATGATGCAAGCTGACTTACTCAGAATATTCAACGTGCTTTTTCTCTCTTCAATTTTTCAAAAGTATTGAAATGATTGATAGTATTTGATCTTACGCCGCTTGGCAATTTTTATATCGAATTCAAAATTATCGAAAACATTCTCAAAATTATCGTTATCGTCCCGCCGGAATTTTATATCACCGATCCAACATAATAAATCTCTTCAATACTGCTTAAGCATATTAATGTTAAGATAAAAATGCTTTTTAACAGTGTTTTAATATAAAACTCGGGACAAATTTAATAACAAAGATAATATTATATTATTTTGGAATAACTAGATAACATATACACGTAAATACAACAGTATTGATGTTATATCTACTCTTCTTGAATATTTTCAATATGTTTCAATATCCATATTCGAGATCGAAAAATTCTTGATATTACCTGTTGCCTTACGATAATCCTACCAGAGATTAACTTATTCTCAGTATATATTTCAAAAATATTTTAATTTTTATAAATATAATTTACATAATATAAAAACAAATACAAAATCTCTACATAAACATATCTTCCCAGCTATTGAAAATATCAAATCCCTCATATTCGTTCTGAATGAAACCTTCAGTAAGTTGATCAAATAAATCTTGAACGTCACTTGAGCTTCCATCAGATGATGGAGGAGAAGAAATCGGTGATTCTGATTGTGAGAGGGCATTTAATATATTACGTGGCTGTCTACGCTCAAGTATGGTCTTCTTATGAGGAATGCCATGGTAACGCGATAAAGCTCCGTTCCATCTGTTCTTGATATTGCTTCCACTACGTCCTGGAAGGAATTCCGAAATCTTTGACCAATGTGGGCCAAATTGTTTATATTTTTCAACAATAATTTTATCTTCTTCTGCAGTCCAAGGTTTCGAAACAACGCTTGGGAATAAGTATTGATTGTATCTATCTCTGCACTGTGTTGCACTTCTTCCTGGAAGGTGTTTTGCAATGTCACGCCATGTCTTGTTCGTGTTGTCTTTAGCGAGTTTACGGAGAAGTTCATCTTCCTCTGGGGTAAAACGCTTCCTGTAAAGAGCTGGTGTTTTCTTGCTCTCAAAGTACTTGCTGCTCATCTGCAATTTCTAAAAATGATTGGTTATTTGCGCTATCAAATGTCTAGATTTTTTCAGAGGAGCCTCCTTATGAAAAAATCGAGGAATTCTATGAGTTATCAAAAAGAAGCGTATAAAACGTAAATTAAAATTTTTGTGGATTTAGATTCATGAATGTGATTCAAGCTATTTATATTTTATAGAAAAATTTTTAACCAAAATTTTATGAAAAAGCGTTATAATTAAATTTTGTGTTCATTGTAATCTACAATATGTATACAACAATGTTTTAATGCCTCAAACTTTTCGATAATTCATTATGCATTCAATTTTTTTGACACTTAAATAATTTGTAAAGTGATCACGGGCATTGAAAAACCTGACGATGTAAAACATAGTTGGCATTTTTCGAGACGCAAATAAATAATATTCCGAATCTAGTCAAGATTAATATTATAGCAGCAAAAACTGGTTAATCACAATGGATCATGTATGAAAAAAATGCATCAACTAAGTTATTAATAATTATATATTTTCACGGGCAATCAAATGATTAGATTTGGGCTCTATTCCTTCCATGCATTAGCTTAATTCGATAGGATTTCGCCAAAATAAATATTTGATATCAAAATATTAAATTCAAAAAATTAATTACAGTTTTATAAATATTGAATAAGATTTATCACCGCGAATGGTCAAAAATTACATCAAAATTATCAAATTCAATTTCAAAATTATTTTTCCAAAAAGTTTAAATACATTTCACCATTGAAACAATTACTCTTTGAACATATTATAAAACCTATAACGAAATTTGAATTTTTTTTTAATTGATTTTTCTTCACAGTTTGTAAATTGCAATCATTAATCTCGAGTTATACCAGATCATCTTCATATAATTTTTTTTTCAATTTATAAAAAATTTAAAATGATCAATTAATGAATTATTATTTTCATAACTGACCTTATTGGTGATAAACATTGTAATATTTTGACTGTTAACCTTTAGGTTAATAATTTTTTTGGAAGGTTTAAGAAACTGTTGTTTAAAACATTATAAATTACAAAGCAAAACTATTTAATCAGTGGTAATACTAAGTATTTTTATAGTTTGAAGCAATATATTTTTTTATATTTTGAAAATATTGATCCAAAACAATGAAATAGATAAATGTAGAATTAATTATTTAAAACATACAAAAATCAATAATCAATTTGTTATTTTCTCGAAGTTAAGTAAGGAATATAATGAACATCTCCATCAGCGAAGCAAATAACCAATGAATCTCCCATCTTATTCAAAGCTACATCATGAACCGAGCTTGTTCCTTGAAATTCCTTAATAACCTCTCCATTTGCAACTAATGTCACCTTTACATGACCATTTCCATCTCCTGTAGCCACAACATCTCCAATATCAGAGAAGCTTGCGCATAATATTGGCGAATCATGGTTCACGACCTCTCGATCTGAGAATCCCAACGGAATACACCTCAAACTACAGTTATCTCCCCAACAGAACAGAGTATTGTTGGTCCATTTCAATCCATGTAACGGGAGATTATTCGAATAAATGTTTTTGCACTCCCAGGTTGTTACATTAAGATATTTCAACGAACCATCTTCACAACAAACGGCCAAACAGTTACCATCGAACGACCAAGCGACTCCACATATTCTCTTCGTTGATAATCTGAGGAATGATGCCTGTGGCTGGTTCAAATCGAAAATTCCAACTGTTCCATCAGCAGAAGCAGTTGCTACACAGAAATCTCCACGCCAGGCAGCATCAACAATTGTGTCTTTATGACACCCGACGGGAGATTTTATCTGTCTGAAGTAAGGGGACTGGAAAAAATAACAAGTTCCGGAATTACATGCGACAATGTTCTGTCCTGATGGAGAGAACCTCACGCAAAAGGATGTATTGCTGCCGCGCTGCATCAAATTGACTTTCTGACCATTCCTATCGTAAACAATGACGTCGCCGTCAAAATCTGCAATAACAATTAAGTCATTGCTAGGAGAAATGTCAATTGAAGTAATAGCACCGGATATTGAGCCATTAGATGTCATGTTTATCGAATTAAAAACTGTATTATTACGAATAAGATGAATATAGGCTTTTCCTTCGTCGCCGCCCGAAATAAAGTAAGTACTATCATACGACCATTTACAGCAATAGGCTGCCGTGTGTAAATTAATACATGTTGAAGATTGCACGTTGAGTTGGTTAATTTTATTAATTGTTTGCTGTAAATTGATGTCTGGTATGGGCGTATCTTCTTTTGGTGCTGGATCGGGCTCTTTGACGATCTTTTCTTTGTATTTCTCGATTAATTCAACGATATCTTCGTGAAATTCGTTATTTGGATCTTTAAGCGCGCATTTTATCTTTTTCTCGTATTTCATACTTACTAAACTTTTCTGCAGGATAGAAATTAATGAGCCAGGAGGGATTCTTGTGCTTGCTAAATTTGATGAAGTGACCATTGATTCATTTTCAAAGACAAATGCAGTATGGACGAAACCACTCTCACGGAGGTAATGTGATATTAGGAAATTTACCTCGTCTAAAGAGACCGTCATATACTAAAATTTTAAAGTAATCGTCACTTCACAAAATTTGAGATGATTGTAAACAAAACGTAATATAAACAAATGATTTTGTAAGATTAGGTTATTTGTACACAAATGATTTTGTAACTGTGCGTAAAAAGTGACAAACTTTTTTATCAAAGCTTGCAGATCAAAAGAAGCATTTCCCAGATTTATTTCATTATAGCAAATATCCTTATTTCACAATAAAAAACTGATTTTATTAGAAAACACACTTAAATTAACATTAATCTAATGTGAGTGATTTTTTCACCAAATCATAAAGCAACAAGCTTTTGAGACCTCATTTATGAAGTGAAAGGATAGATTGTTTATTGAGTAGCACCGAATACAGAAAAATCCAAGGAAAAACTAATTGGATACTGATATTTTTCTGAAACATTTGAACTTTAGTACCAGGAAAGACTCCCATGAAGTCATACATGTTAATAATATAGTGGTTAGTGGGCAAACCCAAATTTTAGCTAAAAGTGACAGGAAAAAAAACGTTTAGTATTAAAAAAAAGACCGATGAGAGCTTCGTTCGAAATATAGAGGGAACTGAGAATGCGCAACCATTCTCAGGGAATATTGGATGCTATTCCCGTTCCCTCTGTATGGAAAATTGAGGTTTTCAAAGGGAGTTAAAATAATATCAAATTTATACTAATTTACTTCAAAATACAAAAGTATTTGACAGCTAAAATTAGTTACTTTAGCAAGCCTATCAATACCCTTTTACGATTATTGCTACTTTTTCGAAATAAAATAAATTTATTATCAAAAACCTTTTTTTTCTTAGTAAAAATAAACGAAATTTTTTACCTTATGAACTTTTGATGGAAATATGCAAATTTAAAATAATAAAGAAAGCCGCGAGCGAAGCGATCGGCTTAGTTCGAAGATTTTGATTCAAATCTTTGCTGATCTGTAATTCGCGGAAGCCGCGAGCGAATCGAGCGGCTTAGGTCTAAGATTTTGATTCAAATCTTTGCTTATATTCCTTAAATTCTTTATGAAACTCGCAACAGTTCCATAAAAAATTTTAAATTCTAAACTGTCGAAATTACCGATCGGTAATCACACCCTTCATGGGTGTGTCACTTTTAGCTAAAATTACCCCTACTCGTGGTTAGTGTAAATGCTTACTATCTATATTAAGAAATTTATGTTCAGTAATTTTGATGATGTTTACAATCATTCAATTTTTTTATTTGATTTTTTCAGTCTTGTTTGTTTAAAATTTATTTATGAAAAGCGTGAGGGGGCCTCCGCTCTTTCATTACACGCCTGTGTCACGTCTTCTTAAGTCGATGGCTTTGAATATATTCCCTTCAGAAACTCCTCCTCTCATGCGAGAATACATTTTTCACAATGTTCCAAAAGAATACTTGAGAAGACGGGAGCTAGTCTTCGATCCAAATGTTCAAATACCACCAAAGGGATTAGCATTCTCTGGTGACTTTGAGTCAGGCAATTTGGGCTGTGTTTGGAAGATTGCTCCAAGGATTTATGAAATAAATTTGTTACCTGATCCTTCAAGAATGTATTCAGCTACCTGGTTTTACTTCAAGGTCGACAACATCACTCCGGGTGAGTACTCTTTTATCATATCAGGTTTCTATAGGGATGCTCAGTTACATAACCAAGGTGTTCAACCTGTTGCGCTCTCAATGAACAATGTGAGACGAGGTGGTGGCTGGGAGAGAATAGGCAGCAGACTGAATTTCTGGTGTAGCAAAACAAGTAGAACTGCTCCGGAGTACTCATTAGCGTTTTCATTCAATGTAATAGCGCGAGATACGATGTACTTTGCTTATCTTTACCCGTATACATACAGCGACCTCAGATCTTTCATAACTTCGTCAAAATTAAATGCAACTTCGATTTGCGTTTCTTCTGGTGGCATTGACGTCCCTGCAATCTTCTGGGATGCAGATGTCAGAAACTTCGTAAGACCAATCAACAAAATCTTCGTCAAAAAGAAAAATTACAATTATAAGCCTTTAATCGTTATAGCAGCAAGATTACATCCCGGAGAGTCGAATAGTTCATATGCAATGGAAGGCTTCATGGCTAGACTCTTCGATGGCAGTAATAATTCGAAATCTTTGTTGAATAACTTTTCCTTCTTACTTTTACCGATGATGAACCCTGATGGCGTTATCTGTGGCTACTTTAGACCTCAACTTACAGGAACAGACATGAATAGAGTCTGGAGACGTCCAGATAAACGTCATATTCCGGAAGCAGCTTCAGTTGTTGCACTTTTGGACGTGTTAAGTCAAACAAGACCGATCATGTTCCTTCTAGATTTCCACGGACATACCGCTCAGTGCAATGCTTTCACATACGGAGTCAGGGACCCGAGAACAAGGTTAAATGAGTATGAACCGTTATTCCCGAGAATTGTTGGCAAGTATACATCATTGTTTGATGTAAATGAGTCAATTTCTTTCCATTCAAGAGAATATCCAACGACAATGCGAGTTGCATTGCATCACAGATACAATATTCCATTTGCTTATACATTGGAGATGAGTTTTGGCGGATTAAATATTGGAGAAAGAGCTGGAACTCAATTGACTGAAGATTCTTACAGAGAAGTTGGAATTGCAACCGTTGACGCTATTGGAGAACTGTTGCTTGTATCAGCACCAATAGAAGAAATCACAAGTTGCTACATTCCTCCTCAATTATTTTAATTATTTTTTTTTTTATTTATGTATTTTGTTTATTATATTTTGTTTGTAGTTAAATCATATCTATTTATATGGAATTTTTGCTACATATATACTGATTTAGATTATTAAAATGCAAAATCTTAATAATCGAAACTGATTAAAGGTTAAATACATTTAATATTCTAATGTTGGTATTAATATTACTTTAATCAGTAAAAGACAATTCGAGAATTAAAAAAAAATTTATACATTTATACTTGAGCAGGTTGTTGTGCATTATATTCATAAGGGCCAGGTTGATCAGGCTGGGGAGGAACATAGTACTGTCCAGGTTGTTGTCGATTTTGATCAAAATCTTGAAGCTCATTTGGTGGGTCTCTGAAACCATGTTTCCTTCGTTGCCTTTCTTCAAATTTTCTTTGTTGTTCCGCCATTATTATTTCTCTGAATTGATCCCTTCTCTCCTTCTTTGCTCTGTCGGCATCTTCCGGAGACATTTTTGCATACTCTGCTCTTCGATTTTCATTTTCCTCAATTATTTTATCCATATTTTCTTCGAAGTATCTATCCTTATCGTTTGGTGTACCGCATGTACAACATGAGACACACAATAGTGTGAATGGGAACAAAAGATATACAACCAAAGTATATATAAATACAGGAGCAATGAAGAATATTCCGCAGAAACTCAGAAGTAAATATTCACCTTTTGTGCAGCATGGGCAGCTCTCTTTGCATCGAAAACAACGACAATGAGGGTCTTCATCATGGGAAATCGTGCAGCAGCATACTTCTTTGCAGCAGTGTTCATCATCCTGGCATTTGCAATTGTAGCCACAGCAATATTCACAATGAATAAGTGGATCTTCACAAACTGCTTTTTCATGTGGGCAAGAATCGCATCTTAAGTCACAGCAACCACAGCATTCACAGACCCAACAACTAAATATGTATGTTGATTATATTATCTTTAAATCTTTATATAATCTTTTTGAAGATAATAATAATCAGTTGCAGCATTGAATAATCCAGGGAATCTCGAATAGCAACAATAGAATAGACATCCAAAACGTATTATTCTATTCGGATGCTTTGAAAGCGAAAGGCAAAAAATTATAATTGCAATTATTCCAAAAACAACATAAACTGCAATAACAATGATCGCAATTTTGACACCATCACTCATTTCAAGAGCACTTCTCTTGATGTTGATGTATTTTTGTGATGATAAAGTATTTTTGATATTTCGGGTAATTTTTATTTTTTTCATAACAATAGATTTTGTTGTATTATTTGTGGTATTGGATGGTGTAAATATGATAAAACCTTTGGTTTGATTTAGAATAACTGTCGAAGATTTGATTGTTGTGGTAAATTTGATTTCTGAGTTGTCTGAGTCATATACTTCTATTGTGTAGTTATATGGTGATGCAAAATTCATCGATAAAATGTTATTTTTAGGAATATTATTTTTGAAATCGAAATTAATGCAGAAAGATTTATCATTGGTATTCAGTTTATATGCCATATTATCTAAATTATAAATTTTAAACTCTTTGGAGCAGATTTTTTGCTCAGATACTGCCAAGTACACATGCAAAAACATCAATTCAAAATCTGTATTGAAAATCAACGGTCTTTTTCACAAAAAGTAATCAAATTTTCTATCCCACAAATCAATCATGTGTACAGCGTTTTTCAAAAGGTGTCATCAAAAATAATCAATTCAATACAATTTGTTATCTTATGAAATCAATTCTTCTTAGTGTTATATTGAAAATGCAAGTAAAATTTAGAAACTATAAAAACGGTTTTTATCAAACTTTTTTTTTCAATATCTGGGATTTTTGAAATTTTGAATTATGTTTGACCAATATAGCTAGGAGCTTTTAATTAGGTTTCACAAACACACAGCTGATAGTTCTTCAAAATTTAATTTTATCATTCAAATAACTCAGAAAATCAAAATGAAACAATCAATTTGAGTAAATTACTCTGAAATCAAAATGAAATGATTCACTCATTTATTATCAGCTCTGATGACTTGTAATAGCAGAAATATCTTGCAATATTTTCAAAATTTATTTTATTATGAATTTAAATGTTACTAACGAAGAGGAATGATCAACATTGAATCCATCAATCTGATCCATCTATTAATTTGATCAAATGAAAAATAATTTTTTTTTTAATAGATTTGGATACATTTTAGAAAGTTTTAAAAATTTTAAAGATAATATAATCAAATTAATTTATTTTTAATTTTGATTTAAATATTTTATTACATTTTGGCTTTCAAACATTTGTGCAACGTTTAAAAGCGAATCTCCTAGAGTAGTCTTTTTGTTTTTGTCAGCTCCATTCTCAATAAGATATTTCAAAAATCTTAAATTGTTATTTGCAGCGCATTCATGAGAAGCAGAAGCATTTTCGATCTGAGCATCAATATCATATCCATTTTGAACGTAATAGACTAAAGCTCGCGGGTTATTTGCCGCTCTGGAGATATAATTATTTGTATCAAATCTTACGTTTTCCTGGAGCCAATCAAAGATAAGATTTTGGTTGTACTTAACAGCAACTTCATGGCAGTTCGAAACCAATAGGTTTTCTTGGCAGACAATTCTAATTATTTCCAAATTTCCGCCAATAACTGCACATTTATCGACACCTACTGGTTTTTGATTAATATTTCTAATTAGATACTTAAAGCATTCAACTGATCCATAAAGAGCTGCAAAATTTAAAGGAGAATACCTTGTAGTCGCAAAAACTCCATCAAAAGCATTGACATTGCAAGGTTTGTTAATATCAATGGTAGAAGCTGCAACTTGGTCAATCAATTCGTTGATCAAATCATATTTTAGGATATATTCGTATGATCCTTTTGGATAGCCGTATTCAATGATTTCTTCGAACTCTGTATCTGTTAGTTCTTTCTTGTCTGTATAAAACCAAAGCGTTGGCTTTAAATTTAACTCTTTTGAGAAAATAAAACTGATTAAATCATCAGTTTTTGCTTGTTTCTTTATTACATCGATACCAATCTTTCCATTTTTATATAATTTGTATACTAATTGCTTTGGCATGTTTGTGATAAGACATGAATAATCAATATTGTTTATTTTTGATAAAAGATTAGCAATGAAATCATGACTCCTATAGTTGTCTTCAAATAATACAAAAGCCATGTTCAAAAAACTGATTTTCTTGTCTTCATCATCAATTTGATTAATTTGGTTGGAAATTTCATCAATTTCATCGAGATTCATTCTACGTAATGACTCTTCCATCTCAATATCCCATTGAAGTAAATTGTTCATATCAATATCATACATTAGAGTTATTTCCGACATTTTTATCTTAAAAAATTGATCGAAAATTTTCCAAGACAGAGTTGTCACTTTTATAAATAGCTTGGAAATAACGTCACTTTTCAGAATATATCATGTTAATATATTGATCGAATTAGACATGGTTATATTTTTACAAAAGTCACTTTTCACGTTTCGAATTTTTTCAAAGCTTTTCGGGATGTCAGCACGAGAATTTGAATCCCGATGGGTAAAATTTGATGGAAAAGAAGTACTTGTACCACAATTCAGTAAATGGGAAGAAAAATGCCATTGTTGTGGTTGTCATGTAACTTATTTCCCGATTATTGATCAATATTTTTGTAACCACTGGGAATGTCATTTCGGATATCCTATGATAGTTATCTTATTGGTTATTGCATCATTTATATTCGGAATTTGGTCAATAGTAGATCTATTCGAAGACAAAAATCTAATTATTTTCGTTACAATCTTTAGTGTTTTCTTTTTACTCTGGCTTATTTCATTTTTACTAGCAATGTGTAAATCTCCCGGTTATTTGCCATGGTATTGGGCTGTTGAGAAAGGAACAGAATATACTTTTCAAGAACAAATGGATGGAATTATTACCAACGAAAATCAATATAACTTTGCATTGCAGAACGCTCGTCCTGAACGAGCAACTCTTACAAAGAAAGGCCGAAGATTTGTACTCAGAGCCGATCATATTTGTCCATGGATTGCAAATTGGCTTGGCCTTAAGAATTACAGGCATTTTATTCAGTTCCTTTTCTGGAATTTTTCACTATTTGTTTGTTTTTTCGTTTTATTTGTTTATCAAATTTACGATGCAGCCAAGAACGGATGGAAAACAAGAGCTTCCACCATTGGTACGTTTATTTGCGCTCTACCTGACATTCCGTTTTTCATTTTCTTTTTAATAATTTTATTCAGACATTTATATTACCTTTGTACGAACACAACAACCCTTCAGGAACTCAAAGCTCATAACGGAGATGATGAATCAGAAGAATATTATAACCCATATAATAACGGATGCCGTAATAACTGCGCTGAAGTAATGGGACCACATTATTGTTGCTGTTTGTGGTGCTGTCCATTTGTTTGTCTTCCTTATCTCAATTCCGGAATTTTTTGGCATCAAAATGATGAAGATGACACAAATGTTGATTATTCGAAGCCAGTTCCTAGAAAGAAAGCTGTATTTGTGCACGAACCTAAAACAATTGACCAGAAAATACAGGAACAAGTCACGAATTCTCCTAAGAAATTAAAGAAAGTCAGAAAAATCAGAATTATTGATTTTGACCAAGATGATTTACTCGAAGATACAATTGATCCTTTCGATGCAGTAGTAGAAAAACCAAAATCAAAGGCTCACAGATCAAAGATTTGATTTTTATATTATTTTTATTCAAAAAACTGAATTAGTCAGCTTTTAGAGTCTTTTTCATATAGCTGAAATATGTTTTGTTATTTATTTCTCTTGTTTTATTAAATATCTGTTTGTAATTTTAATTTTTCTTTTTAATTTACTGCAAACCATAATAGAAACGCTTCTTTCCTTCTATAATCGGTATTGATACAATGGTCTCTTTCAGATCTCAAGTAAATAAGAAATTTTTCTTTGAAATTCAGCCAAAACATATTTTTTCATCGGGAAAAATATTTTTGAATCACTACAAAATGTTAAATTTATGCGAATAATTGATTTTATCTTGAAATTCCATACGTTGAAAATTTCCATGTAAAGCATTCAATTTTGTTAAATTTTAGTAGATTTTTTTTCTGCATTATCCATGACAGACGGTACTGAAAACGCAGTATCTGATCATTCAGATAATGCTGAATTGAAAAATGAATCAACTCCTGATTTATCTGGAATTCTTTCTTCTTCAAGTGAAATCAATCCAGAAACAAACCAAAATAATGATCCAGGAGAAGCAGAAAGTTCTTTAGTTAAGGGAATTACAGTTGATAATAATACTAATCAAGAAAATAATCCGCAAGAAAATAATCAAAAACCGACATTAAGTTTATCTAATGCTATATTAGAGAAGCTTAATGAAGAAAAACCTCCAGAAAACAATGAAAATCCCCAAGCAAATGAAATCACTCCGCAGAAAATTTTTGAAAATAGTGATTCTGATTCAAATCCTCCAAAAATACCAGATTTGATGAATGACAATCAATCTACAAGTACAATGCAATATAGTAACAGTAGCGAAACCGTAGAAAAATCAGAAATTCAAAATAACGTATTAACGGAAGAAGAAAAAACAGCTACAAACACAGAAAACACTCAAAATACGGCTGAAAACAATGACACAAATAAAGAACTCGGCCCATTATCTTCAATTATCCATGATAAAATTGATGATTCTCCATTATTTCATACAGAAGCGAACACTCAACCTAATACACCACATGAAGAGAATAAAACAGATGATAGTACTCCAAAACCAGAAAATCAAGAAAATTTACAAGATAATTCAATTAAATCAGAAGAAGAACAAAAAACAGATCAACAAAATGACCCGAAGCCTGTTTCCAAACTTGATCTTAAGTCATCTTTGAATCTTGATTTTGCAAAATTATCAAATCAACAAAGATCTCAAACGACGTTAGCTTCAGATCGTAAAGGAAAGACATCAAGACCATTTGTAACCAGGAAAGAAGAAAAACCTCAAATTGCTCTTTCTTCGCCAAAAAAGAAAAGATCTCTTGCCGAACAACTTGAAGCATCAGAAAGATTAGCACAATGCAAGAAATACCCAGAGCCTCAACATAATAGAATCATGGAACATGCACAAACAAGTCGAAAACCAAGACCAAAAACGATGCTTTACAATGACCACAAAAGAACTAACCATGAAACAGAATTAAAAGCTCCACCTGAGTTTATAGAAATGATTACAGGAACACCATTAAAGAAAGAAGATCCTCCTAACTTGTTATCAATTAAGAACAAAGAAAAAGAAAGCAAAGTTTCATCAGAAGAAGTCATTAAAATGACAGATAGAATATTAAGTGGACAAAAACTTAATCTTTATGATCCTGCAACGATTGCTGATATAATTAATGAACTTTCAAACAGAAGAATACAAGCATTAAGAGACCAGGATTATGAGAAATCGAAAAAGATGGAACAAGTAGTTAGTAGTCTAAGAATAGATTACAGAAAGAGAGACAGAGATTTGTTTTATCAAGACTATGTTGATGATATCAAACAAAGATATGATGAAGCAAAAGAAAACCTAAAAAATACAGATCAAGATTGGAAAAATAAACTAAAACAATATGATGAAATGTGTTTAGAAGAACTAAAAGCATTGCAAGAAAAACAAGCAGGACAAAACGCAGATCTCGAAGAATATTGGAAATCTGATGAAGCTTATAGAAAATTTAATAAAAAGAGTCCTCATTTGTTGTTAGCGCTCCAAAATCAAAAGAATTATGCTTTGACAGGAGATTTAACTGGTGCTGCTTTTCTTCAACGAATTACAAGGAAATTAGAAGCACAAGAAGTTGAAGAAAGAGCTACAGAAATGCAATTATCATATGATAGAGATAAAGCTTCTCTTATTAACTCTCAGAAGAATGAGATAACAAATCTGAAACAATTCCATGAAGTACAAAGACATAGACTAGTTAAACAATATAATAATGAAATGGAAATTTGTAGAAGTCGTATTAAAACTTTAGAAAAAATGGTTGAAGAAAGTTCGGATTTTGACAAATTTTGTGCTAAAAAATTTAAGAAGGGTGCTGATTTTGTTGTTCCAATGAGCGCAACAATAAATGGCGGAACTGATATCCCTACATGTGGTAAAATGAGAGCAATGCCAAGAAACAAAAATATTTTGAAATCATTTAGGGAGTCGGTTGTGTCATCCCCATTGCAATTGCCTGGTGTTAAGATGAGTAAGCAGACCCTAAGAGTTATCGACAAAAAGCCGAAAAAGAAACAGCCAGAATTTTAATTTTGTATTTGTTTTTTTTAATATTTATAAATTGTATGTATATTCGCTCAAATTGTTATATTTTTGTGTACAGAATGGAATCCCTATCATGATATTGAATAAGCTTTGCTAGAAAAATAAATATTTTATATAATCACAAAAATTATATGAAATAACAATAGACATGTACTAAATGAGTCATTTTTAAATAGATTTACGAAGTACAAATAAAAATATTTTAATTTTGAAATTTAATATTTTTAAAATATTGCACATTTTCTAATTTGTGTTTCTATTCGATCTTTGATTTCTTTCGATAATTTGAGTTAACCATATATTCAGTCCGATATATGACTTATTTCGGAAAATGATCAATAAATTATTCCTCAATGGATGTTTTCATTAATAGGAATTCGATAAAGTTGTAGTTATTGACGTACACATTATTTTTCATTTTGAAAAAATAAAGAAAGAGGACAATTGATTTCATGTGAAATGACATTTTTTTCGAAAATAGAAAATATATTGTTGTAAACAGAAATTCATCAAAAGTGACACCTCAGAAAAGCTAAAATATTGAATTTTTGGAACTTTTGATAGAGCACGTTTTTAAATATTAATTAAAGTAAATGTATATTTTGTAAAGATTCTTTTTAATAAAAAAATAAAATTTTGAAGAAGAACACAAAATCTTCTGAAAAATAATATCACATAAACTCATATTATTTTCTAATATATAACTATTTTATATAAAAATCAAATTCAATGATCTTAAAAGCGAAGGATAAACCTCAAAATTTACGAATATAATGAGTGGGAATATAATGCTTATCTATCATAAAACCATATGAAATATCAATTTTTGCTTTACGCCTAATTTTTGACGACAATTAGCAAAAAATGTTAAATGTTAACACTCAGTCCATTTGAATATGAAAAATAAAATTGACTTTGATTAAATGTTTTTATTTATCATGCAATTCTTCTTGCGACCAAAGATTTGAATAAAAGTTCAAAAAATAAGATAGCTTAAAAAATAATATACGGTAGTGTTTACTAATAGATGAATAGTATATAAATTCTATTAAAATGGATTTGATCAAAAAAAATATATAAAATTTGATCATAAATAAAATCGTTTTAAATTACTTCTTCATTTAAATTATAACAATTATTTTTGGTTTTATATTTTTTTGGATCAAATCCATTTTAATAGAATTTATATACTATTCATCTATTAGTAAACACTACCGTATATTATTTTTTAAGCTATCTTATTTTTTGAACTTTTATTCAAATCTTTGGTCGCAAGAAGAATTGCATGATAAATAAAAACATTTAATCAAAGTCAATTTTATTTTTCATATTCAAATGGACTGAGTGTTAACATTTAACATTTTTTGCTAATTGTCGTCAAAAATTAGGCGTAAAGCAAAAATTGATATTTCATATGGTTTTATGATAGATAAGCATTATATTCCCACTCATTATATTCGTAAATTTTGAGGTTTATCCTTCGCTTTTAAGATCATTGAATTTGATTTTTATATAAAATAGTTATATATTAGAAAATAATATGAGTTTATGTGATATTATTTTTCAGAAGATTTTGTGTTCTTCTTCAAAATTTTATTTTTTTTTATTAAAAAGAATCTTTACAAAATATACATTTACTTTAATTAATATTTAAAAACGTGCTCTATCAAAAGTTCCAAAAATTCAATATTTTAGCTTTTCTGAGGTGTCACTTTTGATGAATTTCTGTTTATTACAGATTATTGTTTCAACACTCTTTTAGCTATTTGCAATTTTAAAATACATGAAAATCGGTTACTCTCATTTTTAGTGAACAGTTATACTCAATTGATTTCTATTTATTTCAAGAATCTGACATTTCGGTTGTAATCATATTTATGTTTGCATCAATCCTTCTCTTAAGGCTGAAACTCAACCTCGATAATTTCACCCTTAAAACATTGCTTACAAAGAAAGGCATAGACCTTTCTCCGCTTGATCCATATCCATCAGTCAAGAAACTTGTTAGCCTTGCTGCAGATTCAAAAACAAAAATATCTGATTTGATCAATGAAATGTCCCCGATAATCGGCGCTAGCTATGATGCTATTCAAGCCGGATATCAAAAATCCGAAATGCCAAAATTCCTCACAAACAAGACTGCTTTAACAGAATTGATTAATGATGACGTTATCTCCTCAGAAACAATTGATACCATCTTCACTTATTGGACTCATGTATCCAAGCTCATTAAACTGTTTGGATATAGTGATAAGAAAGTAAAGTCCCTCTTACAAGCCATTAAAGACAATAACAAGAAGTATACAGTTGAAGATGCACTCGATGCTTTTGATCTCCCATCTGGATACGCTTACTACATTTTCGAGGCTATCGATAAAGCTATGAACGATAAAGATTACACAATTGGTGATATTCCACCACATCTTTTCATTCCAGTTGACGACTTCATGACAGCACTAAAACAGATTCCTACATTAATTGCAGATGACCACGTAACACTTGATGAATTCGTTAAAGAGCTTGATGCCCTTATTACAACAGGAGTAGCTACAACATTAGGTGTTAGAACCATTATCGGAAAGACAATTTATCTTTTCCTTTCACCAATAGTCAAGATGATTCCAAAGTCTTCTAAGGATGTCAAATCATTCGTCAGCGACTTTGTTGATTTATATGATGGCATTATTGCTGATACATCTGTTCCAGTTGATGTTGTTAATAAAGTCAAGGAATGGAGTGTTGTAGTTGAACTCTTAAGAGCATCATTGCAAACAAAGGAAATCAAGATGCCACCAAACGCTGTCGAGTTCGCAAAAACCGTACTTCCATACTTTGACTCAAGAGTTCCATTATCTTCCAACTTAATCAATGATTATAGTTGGGCTCATTACATTGGCCAAAACTCTTTCCCATATGTTATTGCAAAAGGAGATGTTCCAATTGTTTATGCAATTCTCACAACGATCTTAGAAGAAGAAGTTACAGAAGCCAATATTAAGGAAACAGTTGAGAATATTCGCGCCACGCTCAAAGAAAAACTTGACATTACAGAAGATATTAAAACAAAAGTTATTAACTATCTTTATGCATATTCATCTCATGTTTCAATGCTCGATCCTAATGTTACTCTTAATGATCTTGTTCAGGCTGTTGAATTTGAGCCATATGATCCAGATACAATCAAAGCCACAATTGATGCTTTTATTCACTTGATCAACAAATATCAGAGCTTCAGTACATATTCAACAACAGTTGTAAACAAATTGAAAGAAATCAAGGGTGTTATCACAGCAAATACAAAGGTCATTGATATTGTTAAACTTTTCCCAGCTGGAGACTTCATTTCCTCATTGCTATCATGTGCTAACACAATAGATTATGAAGCCAACGAAACATTTGATGAAAAGGCAGCTCACTTCAATGATTTAGTTGCATTTGGCGTTAAAGTTGTTCCAACATTAGATGCCTGGGTTGCCTTAGATAGCGCAACAATCAGTCAGATGCTCAATGCTGTTGTCACAACATCAGCTGAAGGCAAGCAATTTGTCAGCAACATTGTCAAGGCTCTCAATGAGTTCGACTCAAATGCCCTTCATTTCAATGGAAATGATATCGCTGACATTTTTGGAGAAGACTATACTAATTTAGCAAACAGCGTCAAAGAAGTTACAAAAATCCCATATTCAAACACTGCAACTGTACTCTATTACGCTACCCTCGTTAACTTCACTGAATCAATCGATTCACTTTACAGCCTTGCATTAGAAGCATCAACAGGCACACTTAAATACGATACTATTGGCGAAGCTGGCAGCCAAATAAGTAATCAAAATGAAAAGTTAAATGAAGAATATAACGGCAAACGCGGACTTTCAGGAGGAGCTATTTTCGGTATCGTATTGGCTGTTTTGGTTGTTATTGGTGCTGTCTGCTTTGCTGTTTGGTTCTTTGTCTTCAGAGGTCAAAAGAAAGAATCACAATCCGGTACTGAACAAATAACTTTAGTATAAATTTAAATAAGAATTTTTACTCCAAACTTTTTAAGGGTGCACATGAGAGGATCATGTAAACTTCAGAATTTAGAACCTTATTTTTAGGCATTATCTTGGCTACCTATTTAGGCTCGAAAAGCAAAAAATATCAAAAAATACAACTTGAGTCCATTATGACCCTTTCATGGAGGTAGTTTTTATCCGCTAGTATTTTCCCTTTGAATCTCTTTACAATTCGCAATCAAATTCAAAACTCAGTAGAAGAAAGGAAGAATCGACTTACTACGGTTGTAATACGAATAAATACATATATTTAATTATTTTTATTTACATAATAATTGTTTGAAGCTCATATTCCATCAAATTTTTAAATAAAAACATTAAAATGTTGAAAATGTTCATATATTTTAATAGGGTTTTGGCACTTTATTGAGGAATTACTACATACATAGTCGAACTGAACTTGATATTTTGAAATTTAAATTATTTATCAAAATTAAAATTTAACTTGAAATTTATAATTATTTAGTCATATTTTGCATAATTCTAAGTAGATTTTGTAAAAAATCAAGAAAGAAAAATTTTAACGTTCTTTATTTTTTCTTTTTTATAATAATACATATTATTATATAATTAACATATTCATAATGTTTCACCCTTTCAAAAATATAATCCTCCTCCTCTCAAATAAACGTACATACGGGTGGCCTCTTTTTTCAAAAAATTAAAATTTGAAATTTTGGGCTCAAATATTAGAGATTTTTTCAACCTTCAACGATATATGTTGTCTATATCAGACCTCCTTTCTTTTTGATACTTAACATTGTTCCTAAATCTTAGCCGTTAAGGCTGTTCTGAAAATATTTTTTTTCGAAAAAATTCGAAAAAATTCTTAAAATTCAAAAATCCCTTAATTCCTGAGGATTTTGGGAAAAGTATGTTGTATCTAGAAGAAAATAATGGACAGTATGTTTTGAATAAGAATTTCATCATTAAAATTAAAAATGAATGAAATGAGAAATATGAATAACTAATTGAGTTTATAATGAATTACATGAGAAAAATATTGAATATCACAAATGAAATAAAGAATATAATGATTTTGAAAAAGAATTGCACTATGAATTCAATAATTAATGTATTTGGAAATGTAGTTCACGTTTGCTCCTTTTTCAATAAGTAACTCACATAATTTAATTGAGTTTTTCTTAGCTGCAAGAATTAGAGGAGTAAATTGAACACAAAAATGAACATCATTAGTAATTATATTGAATTTCATAATAACACATTGAACAGTATGAGATTTTAATAATGAATTCTTTGATTTTTTATTGAATTTCATAAATTTATAATGAATTTCATAAATTGAGCATAGAACTACATAAAATTATATTTAACTATATGAATTAAAAGTAAACACAATGAGTTTACATAATGAATGTCATTATTTTAAAATTGAATTAAATAATTGATAAAAAGAATGTCATTGAAGTCAAAAGAATTAAATGACAAGAAACACAATTCTATTAAAATATATATTGAATTGTATGAATCATTATAAAGAATTTCATTAAAATTAATTTTGAATATAATGGAAAACAGTGTCGAATTCTGCACCATTTTCAATAAGTAGCTTGGATAGATCCAAATACCTTCTCTCAATCGCAAGCGTAAGGGGAGTAAAATGAAGAAAAATAATGAATATAATAAACAAAAATATTGAATTTTTTGAATAAACAAATTGAACATTATAAATGACAAAATTGAACTGAATAATACCGAAAAAGAATTCTTTGATGAATTTGAAATGAACATTATGAGAACAATATTGAATTCTATGATTACAAGAACGAACAACAACTACATTTACATCAGCTCCATGAGAAATTAAGAATTCTGTCATTAATGTATTACATTGCATTGTAGCAACTGTTAGAGGTACTTGCTCATAATTATAGTTTATTATTTGCTTTGTATTCAAGTTAACACCATTTTCATATAAGAATAGAAATGCTTTCATATTAAACCATAATAAAGATTCGCTAGCAGTAAACATCGGACATTGATAGTTATGAAGCAACCAATCAAATATTTGATTATGATGATATTCACAGCAGATACTAGACAACGTGTTGAAGGATGTCCCATTTTGAGCTAGAATACGAATGATTTCCAAACTTCCTCCTTCAACTGCATATGATGAAGTGAAAGGAGATTGAGATGCACCATTCATTATTAAAAACTTAAAACATTCATTGCTTCCAAATTTGCAGCTGATATCAAGTAATGTTAAGGTTTCATCATCCATTGAATGAATTTTAGCCGAATCATTGATATTAAATTCAGTGTCGCTTTGACAAGACAACAAAAATTGGATATCATCAAATGCAACTGCACGAAAAACAGTATTTTCAGGGAAAATGTTGTAGATCTCATCAGGGTGTTTGGATGACCCATAATAGGATGTTTTAATACCAATATCACTGAGGACCATTCCAAGATCTGGATTAATTTTGAGCGATGAAAATTTTTCTTCGAAAATCTTTGAAAATAAATTGACATAAATTTTCATGTTTTTGAGTCGTCTCTTTGAAACAAAGTCAATAAGCCGTGCAACATAATCGTGTGGAACTTTATTGTTTTCTATAATCATATAAATAGTATCTACTTCATCAAGACTTGTTGCATTCCAAATCGCATTTTCAACTTCATATATTGGAACAAGGCACTCGGGAACGGGAACATCAGCTATACTATCAACATTGAGATATTCAACATGTATAAAATTCAAATCATCGTCGGGATTTGCCATTAAAAATGTCACATCTTTACTCTCAAAAAACATTTAATCTCACAAAACTGCATATTAGATAGCAAACAATTGTTTTGATTTTTTTATACGGGTGTGAACGAAACTGTAAAAGATTTTTTGGAAAAAGTGACAATATAAAGATTTTTTTTGCTAAAAAAATGATTCAAATGTTTTTAATTTCAATGAGTCTTCGAGGTGAAGAACTCAGAAAAGAACTACAAAAGAAGTATAGAGATCATAGAACAACAGATTATTCATCAGCAAGAAAAAATTTATATAATGATGTTGACTGCTACAAAGATCAAATCTATCGTTTATACGCTGATACAACATATCCATCACCATGTCATATTATCAAAGATATTCCTCATGCAACAAATGAACTTTTACCAGCAAATGCTGAACACGTAGTTCCTCAAAGTCTTTTTTCAAAAAAGACACCGTTTGTATCAGATCTTCATCATCTTTTCTCTGCTGGCCATCAAGAAAATGAAAACAGAAAATCTTACATGTTTGGAGAATTTGATCCAAAGACTGCAAGCATCTGGTGCAGAGATAACGCATGCACAACTAAATTACCTGAGAATCCAGAACAGTATTCATGCCTATCAAGTACTAAACCATTTTTATGGATGCCAATTGCCAAAGACCGTGGAACTGTAGCTCGTGCTGTATTATATTTCCAAACAGTTTATCCAGAAATTAATATATCATCAGTCAATAATGTATCTTTATACTTGAAATGGAATAGAGAATTTCCTCCAACAGAACGTGACAAATACAGAAACGAAATGGTTAATATTACTCAAGGAAATCGTAATCCTTATGTTGATAATCCGATTCTTGCTGATTGGGTCTTTGATCCTCAATACAGATAAATTATATTATTATTTATTATTTATAGAAGTACATAAACATTATTCTTTATCTTTAATTAGAAAAAATACTTTCGGTATTTTTTTATATTTTATTTCTCATAAAATCAATTTCTAGCAGTTCGACATTATTGGATTGAAAGCATACACACCATGATTTACTCATTTTTTGCAGAATCTTAGATCATTTTAGAAATCCTCTGCATTTCATATTTATTACCGTGAACTTGCTAATTTCATATGGGAGAAATCAAATACACTAATAGATAAATATATTTCATATGCACATAATTATTGAATTTATACATGAAGCGTAAAATTATTTATTGTTGAATTTAAATTTGATTGGAATCTAAATTAAAACTGTGATTGCAGTCGAGATCATTGTATCCTATTTAATCGTTCTAAAATCAGATTTATCGACCTTAATTGTTTCTCTCACTCTGAAATTTGAAAAATTTGATGAATGATTCTTTTACGTTATTGGAAGAACCATTTTCATCGATTTTGCGCCTGTGTAAAACAGTCGGAGTATGCGATGTAGCTAAAGGGGATCCGCTCTATGAAATTTTAACTCAAATTAAATTTCCAAACTATTCTGACGAAGAAATTGATAATTTTGAGAAAAATCTACAAGAAAACGATAACATATCTGCATGTATCAAACAAATCAAGTTCATTTACCCCTTTATTCATCAAATAAATCAATATGCATTAGATGAGCCTACATCTCACGGAAAATGCTATGCTCTTTCACTTTATTTCTCCTTTATGGGCTGGATTTCATATTCTTATGAGTCATCTGACTTCAGTTTCGCGTATCAATTCTTAAACACTTTTCTTTCAGACACTGCGTTGTTATATCCATCACTAGCAGTATCATGCTTCTATTATCTATACAAGCTCGTCATCCAACGCGCAAAAGAAATTGATTTACAGTATATATCCGTATTAAAGTTCTTTTTCATGAGTTTAGCGCCATATCCAAGTAAAACATTAGATCTCATAGACATAACATTCAAGAAAATACTTGCTAGAAACATCCAAGATGAAACAAATCACATTTTTTTTTCAAATTTGATGGAAGTTACTGCAATTACATTGGAAATGCATCCAAACATATTCGATAGGATTCACGCTGACGAAATTATCTCCTACATCTCATTTCGTGTCTTAAATTTAGAGCCAATCGCATTAAAAATTTATTCACAACTTTTGACGGTTTCATCACAAGAGGCACAAATAAAATTCATTCCTACTCTCGCAGGAAAATTTGCCAAAGAAATTTCGAAAATTGATAATTTTAAGTGGCCGGAAGAGAAACAAGTACTTGTTCTACCATCACAAGAGCTGTATGAGGCAAGATATACATTCAGCGAAGTCAAAACGTTTCAAAATGGTTTCAATCCGAAAAGAAAATATATTTTCAAAAAAATTAAGGACATAAACCAACTAATACCTAAAGATGAAGCTTATTATGTCGATATGATTGATAATCTACTAGAAAACAACCAATTTTGCGTTCAAGAATTTATTATTTCATTTTTCAGCGAAAATTCACAGTCAATTGTTTATTATGCTGTATTTCTTCACTTGTTCAACAAATATCACGAACAGTTACCCGTGTTACAATGCACAGAAATGATAATTAACTCTCCATTGTTTGATCATGGCATTACCTTCTATAATTGTGATGATTTCGAGATGATTAATACACTACGAGACGAAGCCTTCCAAAAGATCATCACAGATGATTCAGAATCCTTTGCAAAAGCTTTATCATTTTTCCAATATTGTCCTCTGTTGCTCGCAGAGCTTTTTATTAGATGTGAAAACAATCTATTTAGGTTCGCAAAGATAATGGTCAACTCCCAAGTCATTATTCGAATGATTAGAGATATAAATTTATTTTTAAGGCAACAAAACTTAACAAATCCACATCCAGATGAAATAGAAGTTGCTAGAGAAAGAATGTATTCCCTTTTCATGGCAATTCTTGAGAAATCTAATATGAGAAACGCAATTTTAAGAGAATCAATGTTTTTACCTGCTTTTGTACTTGGTTTCTATGAAGAAGAGTTATGGCCTGAGACCACAATTGTCATCCAGAACTACGTTTGTGATGATATTCAAACAGATTTAGTTATTGAAACAATTATGCAGAGTATTGGTAGTCATTTCTCATCATCCAAGTTCTCACAGAGATATCTGAGACTTATTAAACATATTTTGCAGTTGTTTTCCAATCTATTAATTGTACATAAGAATATCTCAAATTATTTGGGGCCATTTGTCAAACATATCACCACAATACTATCAATTATACCTGAAGATCCAGAAGCTCCTAGCACTGTTCGCCAGTATGCAAGTTTTTTGCTTGATTTCGGAGAGGAATGTCCAATTGAACAAGAAATCCTCTCTCATATACCGAAAATCTTTGAAAGAGTCTTCAAAAAAGACTATTCCAATGACTATTTGTCCATTTTTGAGAAGATGATTGTTGGAATAAACTCAAAAGTACCTGATCCAAGCAAATTGATCATCATGATGCCTCAACTTGTTCCTGTTGTACTTAAAATAGTCGATCAAAGCCCAGTAATGACCAAAATTCTTTCTTTTTTAGTAGATTTGATGAATTTCAGCATCAAAAACACAATAAACCTTCATAACGGTGAAGTAGATTCATTACTTATCTCATTCCTATACGATGCCCGCACAAACAACAAGTATTCCAACGAACAAGTCGATGCAATTTTAAATGTCATCTCAAAAATCGCAATGGTTGTATCGAATCCCAACGTTGTGAAGCAGTTTGTGTCCTTATTATGTCCGCTCACAAATTTGTGTCTTTCCACTTATCATCCGAAGTTTATAAAAATTTTGGACCAAATTTTACTAGATGTGTACAGAAAACACGAGATTTCTGCATTTAATGACCACGAGATATATTCCTGCGAGCTGAATCAGGAAATAAACGAAGGATTGAGTGCAATTTGTTGGATTTCTTTGAGAAATATTTATTCATTCACAGTTTTCATGACAATGAAGTTCGAAGACACTTCTATTGCGTTCTCAACGACCAACGAACAACTACAGATGACAATTCTAAGGCCAACACAGTCAAATTCCGTTTCAACTGAAATTGAATTGACAAATGACCTTTATTATCTGGTAATTATCACAATAAAGAAGGCGAAAACAAATAACAAGTACGTTGTATCTATAAAACTCAATAATTCTCAGATAAATCTTGGAGAAATTAACCAAGATTCATTAAAACTGACAGAATTCAGTTTAGGATTCAGAAAATCCTGTGACGTATTCTCAAACTTCGAAATTATATCGGGAGGAGTGTTTCCGCTGCTTTCTTCCCAACAATGTCAGATATTTTCATTTAATGGGCCACTTTATGACGGTTATCCAACGGCTTATGCGTATTTCAAGTCAAAACCAAAGCCTGTAAATACTGTTACGGAGTATGGCTCATCATTCGCGAATATTTTAATTTCATTGTGGAAATTTGACTTAATTATACCTTTATTTGCTTTGTTTAACTTCAATTTCGCTGACGGACAGCTATACGACCTTGCTCCAACCTATAGCTTGTCTATAATCATAAAAGCAGCCTTAAGTACTGAAGAAGGACTTCGAGATTTTGCCAAAGACAACAAAATAGGCTACATATCTTATTTATTGACTCTTTATGACCAGAAAGTGTTGACTTACGATTTATACCTTCAGTTCTACACTTTCTTCCAACTTTCCACCATTCAAGAGTTGAAAGACCAAATTTTCTCTCAAATTTTAGCGAACATGCAAATTTGGTATCCATCAATAGACTTACTCCAAATCCTCAAACATTGGTCACAAATTTTGGTCGTCGTTTATCCGAAAATTTTTGAATACTTTACATTTTCTGATCTTTTAGAAATTTTGAGAGTTTACTTATGGTATTTTCCGAAAGAATCAGATATTATTGGTACATATCAATCGAAGAAGCCGAGATACCCTGAATTGGACATTGATTCGTGCAGACACCAAATTGCACAAATAATTGACACTTTACAAAATTTTGACTTTACACGGATAGATTTGACACTTATTTTGTCAAATTCTTATAAGATCAATGATGTCAAACAAGTCCAAGATTTATTGTTTATCTTTGAGTTCATTGTACAAAAAATCAACTCAAATTTGAACAATTTTGTTACTTCCAAACACATTTTGAATTTAATTGACTTGATTTCGACCAAAGACGAAACAATCATAAGAGGAGTGATCAGAATCATTGGAATATTACAACTAAAGTCCATTTCTTCCCAAACAATTTTGAGTTCCTATGTAAATGTCATCATAAACAGTATTGATCCAGAAATTTTGACTTCAGAATTATTCAAAGAAGTTTCTACATTATATAATGCGAATGTTTATTCATTTTTACCTTTTCTGAGTTGGTATGGTTCATTTAAAACATATACACAACAAGTAGAAGAGATAATAAAGAACACAAAACCATTAGAAAACTACAAATTTGGTCCTGCATGGTTCATTTGGCCAATTATTTATTCCGCAATCAATGAAGATGAAAAAAGAAAGACAATGTTGTTGTTTTTAGTACAGATCTATTCTAATTTCAAATCATTGTTAATAGCTATAGATATGACATGTGGTTCTTTGGGAGAAAAAGGAAGAATAATGAGAAATTCTTTGTTTTTGACTTTTTGCGAATTAATTAAAGATAAAAAAATTAATTTACAAAAAAGTGACAAAGATGAAATTTGCCAATATATTTTGTTTTGTTTGTTATATAGATGGAATCCTTCTACACATCCTACACTAGAAGAGAAAGAAGAAATCAAAGAAGAAGAATTAGTTTTGAGCGCGTCAATTTTATTTGAAAACATTTCAAAACTAAAAATCCAAAAATACAGAACAAAATTTGGTTTCACTTTCGATAAAAACAACAATTGGCTGGATTTTAGTTTAGCTCTATCTTTGAATCAGATTTATAATAATTCATTTTTGTCTTCTATCATTTCTCATTACGAAAAATTCCAACTTTTCGAAGAAAAAAGTGAAGATATGGATATTTCTGACGATGATGATAAAGCAATCAAAAGTGAAGTGATACCTAAAAGTGACAGTTTTGGAACTATTACACCAGTATTCCAAACAGGAAGTTTACCTGATAAATTAATCAATAAAAGTGACAGTTTGCCACGAATTGGCAGTTTGCCAAAACCAGATGAATTTGATAATTATCAAGAAAAGATATCAAATGATTTGGAATCGATAAAAGAGATGTTTAAGTCTCTTTTCGACAAGTATTCCAATTTGTTGAATGAAAGTATAAGTGATTTGTCAGATTATGCCACTTTTGTAATCAAAACATGTAATGAACATCCATTTATCAAAGAAATGGAGAATTTCGAGTCATTTTACATCAAAAAACTGTTTGAAGACAAATCATTAAACCACGAGAGATGGATGAGATTATGGAGTGCGTTGAGATCTGATGGAGGTCCGTGGGATCCTTCAAGAAATTCTGTAAAACAATCACCTCACTTCAAACGTGACAACATTGATTGTTTTGCGTATTGTCCATTCAGACTGAAAACTAATCATCATTACACAAATCACGCTGATGCTGTTTGTAGACGATGTGATAGAACAGAACCAATTATCTTAACGAAAAAGAAAAGAAATTCATCATCTTCTATTAATTTGATGACTGATGTTGATACTGAATCTTGTTCACTTTTGGTTGGAAATCAACAAACACCAATTTTATCTGGTATAACTCTAAAAGAAATCCTAAATCTGCCATGTAAAATTGTAAAACCAAAAAGTGTCAAAAATGCAATTTTCAAATTTTATGAAAATAAAATTTACATTGTCAAAGAAGATTCAGTTATAACTATTAACCATGATGATGTGAATCATATTTACTTAAGATCAAGATTCCACAGATTGACAGCAATAGAAATATTTAGTTGTTCGAATTGCCCTTTGTTTTTGGATTTTGAACGGCCAATTCTCAAAATTTTGTCAAAAATTTATGATTATTTGCCACGTAAAGTTCAGAAATTACCATTTGCACAGCATTTCAACCAGTTAAACATTACAGAAGACTGGGTTAATGGCAGGATATCCAATTTTGCCTATTTGATGCTGTTAAATGTATTAAGTGGTCGCAGTTTTAATGATTTAGCACAATATCCTATTTTTCCATGGGTTATTTTCGATTCTACATCGAAAGTTTTGGATTTGTCGAAACCAGAAACATTCAGAGACTTTTCAAAACCGATTGGTGCACAAAACGAAGATAATTTGCAGAAATTAATTGCATTATCACATGAACAACCACCTGACCAACAAAGATATTTGTTTTCAAGTGGTCCTGTTTCCAGATTAATTATTTGTCTTTATTTGTTACGTTTAGAACCATTTGCATCTATCCACATTGATTTGCAAAGTGGACATTTCGATGTTCCAGAAAGATTGGTTTGTAGTTACCATGATTCTTTGAAAGTTGTTTTGAATATAATGCATGACAACAGGGAACTGATTCCTGAGTTTTTCTTTATGCCAGAATTTCTTGTGAATTCAAACAATTTCAATCTCGGAGAGAGAAACGGGAAAAAAGTTGATGATATCGAGATCCCGCCATGGTCATCGAAACCTATTGACTTTGTTTATAAAAACAGAAGAGCTTTGGAAAGTAATTATGTTTCGCAGAACATAAAGAACTGGATTGATTTGATTTGGGGATACAAACAAAGAGGAATAGAAGGAGAAAAGGCAAATAACTTGTACGAACCAAAACTTTATGAAGATGTTTGGCAAAGAGAAACGGATCCTTACAATGAACAAGGTTTAGAAGATTTCTTATCAATGATCGGCCAAATGCCCGCTCAATTGTTCACTTCACCTCACCCGCAAAAGAAAAATGTTCAACAGAATTTTTTGCCATTTTCTGACATTTGCACATTGAATCCATATTTGTTTTGTTCATTTGATGAAAATTACGGACAATTAGGAGTTGTTGAAATAGATGGAACTTTTTCTGTTTACGCTGTTAAACAGACTAGTTCGAAAATAGAATTAATTTTAAGTCAAAAATTTAATTTACATAATAATAACTATTTGAAGCTTTTTGAAAGGAAAGATTTGTTGTTGTTTAGTGCTAATGAAAAAGGTTTAGTTTTCGTTGGAAGTGAACAGAGTAGATCTGTCTTTGTATTGAACTTTTCAGGGAATTTGATGACGATTCCTATTCCTCAATACAAACCAATCAAACTCTTCAGTTTGTGCAATTGGTTTTTAGTGTCTGGAAATGATTCAACAACTTCCATTTTTAAGTATGTAAACCATTCAAAATTCCGTCCGGTTTACACACTTCAAAGTTACAGAAATAATGCTGTTTGTTGTTGTTTGAATGAGACATTTAAAGTCCAGATAATTGGCTGTGATGACGGCACATTAACTATTTCATCACTGGCAACTGGACAAACAATAAATGTCATCAATCTCGGACAACAAACAACTCCGAAAATGATCGGAGTTTCTCCTTCTTGGGGATTCATTGTTTGCGAAATGACAAGAATTGTTAACTCAGAAACAATCAGTTTGTTGAGTGTCTTCAATATCAATGGTCTTCCAATCAAAGAATACAGATTGGGATCAAAGATTTTGACATGGACATTTTGGGTTTCTCCTCGTGGATTCGATTATATCTGCACAATCAACAAGAAAGGATCAATAAATGTCGCTGAAATTTATTATTTGAATTTCACTCAGATTGGAAACATTTTCCAGAACGCTGTTTACGTTAAATACTCTACACAATTAGGTGCAATTGTTGCAGCTAATACCGATGGTGTTGTTTCATTCATTCCTTACTGTGATAAGGAAGATTGGTAATTTTATTATTATTTATTTATTGTTTATGTTTGTTTATTAAATATTTGTATTTTAGCATTATAGTTTTAATATTAACTAAGTTATACAGTGTCAATGGTTTAAGTTTTAATTTGTTAATTAATTTGACAAAATCTTTCAAGGCTCCAGCCACACCCTCTCAATTTTTAAAAGAAAATATATCCATCAATTAGAGATTTCTTGCAATGCTAAACCATGTATAATAATATAATATTATAGCTTATATTACACAAATATAATAACTTTAATTATAAGTCATGAAAACTCTTATTGATGGATATATTCAATTTTAAAAATTGGCGTGGGATTGGCCTTAGCAGTTTTCTTAAGTAAATTAGATTGTATAAAGAAAACTTTAAATTTCCTATTATAATTGATGAATAATATTGAACCGTAGATTTCATGAATATGATATTCTCACTAGAAATGCCTTAAAAGGATTCATATATTATTTAATTTTCAAAAATGTTTTTTTTTTGTTTATGATTCAAAATAAAATAGGAATTAAAAGATATGAAATTGATATTGATTCAAAACATTTTAGATATTTGATGCAAGATGGTATTTTCTCAAGAGGAAATTCGCTCAATACTGTGACAATATGTTTGCAAAACATGTTATCTTTGTAATTAGGCAAAACGTAAATAGAAATAGATGAAGAATTCAAATTTTCTAGGCATTCTAATTCAGATCCGCCATAATAAATAGTTTTCAGCTTTTTTGCATTGCGAAAAAGTAAGTCTGCAATCCTATTAACTCTTGAAGGGATGATTATCTTTGTTATTGTAGAATTCACCGCGAAACTATTATCAATTTTTGATAAACTTGATTCTCTATCAAATTCAATCTTTTGGAGAAAGTTGCACCAGTCAATGGATCTGAATTGGATTTCTTCAACAAATTTTCCAATTCTTAATGATGTTATCATAGAGAATCTCAATGCGCAAACGCCAATCCTTTTGACAAAATAATATTTATTATTGTAAAGGATTGTTGGTGGAATGACGACGTTATAACTAGTGAAATCTGGGTTAATGAATGCATTCTTATTCGCAGAATGATCAGTAATAATTGTGTTATTAATTGTTCCGAGGAGTGCTTCATTATTTGCCTCATTTATCAGATACTTGAAGATACCATATGTGATAATCGTCATTATTTAGTCTATATATATTTCATTCGAGAATAAAGCAAAATGCATAGTAATTGAATTTACATTTTAGCAAAAGTGCCAAAATCTTACGATAAAAAAAATGATATGTATGGTATAAGATATTTTTTAAAGCATCTTTTTAAATGGCTTTGTAGGCGTTGAGTTTGGCTTCAATTTTACGGTTCAAATCATAGTAGATCTGAGTGATTTGAGCAGCTGAAAGTGGATCATTCCATGCAATACCCAAGAAGATATTAGGAACTGAAACCTCATATTCGCTATTTATATTGAATGAATTTAACCAGTTTCCTGGACAGAGGATTGCGTTGATACTTACCTGGCGACAAATTACAGTATATACTCCATTGGTCTTAGTTATTTTAATAACCGTGCCACCAAGGTAGACTGCTCTACGATAATTTGAGCGCAAGTTAAAGTCAATCCTGTTGAAAAGCTGTTTAGCATAAGATGCATGTCTGCTGCGTCCTAAATACGCTTCAACTCTGTCTCTTTCTAAATGGAAATCGTTAGAAATTTGATCCACAAGTGAAAGTAAATCTGTGGTTGAATAATCCCGTTCAATATTGTCAATCTTGTCATAAAGAAATCCAATACGACCTTCCCAGACTCTTGAATTTACAAGAGCAATGAGGTTTAGTAGAAATATCATATTGTTTTGTTATATCGTGTCATTTGACATTTTTGACACTGAAAAGTGTCAAATCAGATTCATTATCATTATCATTTTAATGTAAAATTATAATTAACTTTGCATGTGTAAAATGATTTTTACAATGTTTACAATTAATTTTTAAAATAAAGTGAATTCTCAATACTCGAGAAAAAATGTAACATATCAGAATTGAATTAATGTGTATCTGCATGGAAAATATTTATTTTCTCGATACAAAAATGCAATGGAGTATGTAATATTACAGCTTTTCGCATGTTAATGCTGAATTTAAAATCTTATATGAGTAAACATGAGTTTTGATTCAGCGAATAATTAATAATATAACAACTTATATTGCAAAATTTATAATTTTAAAACATTGAAAATTTCTTGAGGTATAAGGAAAAATTTCAAAATTTTTGTAGACTCTATAGATCAGAGAATTCATGTGGCAGCAAATGATAGCTTTATTTACTAATTTCCTACCTTATTGCATACGGTACAATTGAGAATTAGTAAGAATGTGTCATTGTTAGATATCATGAAGTTGAAATAAATTGAGTACATTTAAATGGTCGGTCTTAATCCTTAATTTTTTTAATGTCTGATCAAGACAATCTTCCAAATGAATACAGTGAATTGAGAAGTATGTTTAAATATCACATTGATGTATATGTTGCATTGTATCAGTTAAAAACGGAAAACGAAGAAGATTTAAACTCAATTTACAAAATGATCAAAACAAATCTGATTGATTCAAAGAAATGCTCTCCTCAAAACATTATTGAACGTATTTCAAAAATTATTCCACATAACAATCGCTATATAAAGTCATACTTGACTCTAATGAAACTCATCACTGATGGCTATAATTTAACAGAAGTTAGAGATATTCCAATCACCTGGGCCTTCCTCTTTTATAAAGAGTATGGGATTAAATTAGACAAATATGCTAATTTTGAAGAAATGAATTTACAAAATATCGATATTCATTCAGAGAATACGATTTACAGAGCAATTATGAATAATGACCTAGAAACATTTATTTTTATCACTGAAAAAGAAGGATTTGATAAAAATCAACAACTTCAAAGCAGTTTATATCCAGAATCTGAAGAAGGATATTCATTACTTGAATTATGTTGTTACCATGGAGCAGTTGATTGTTTCAAGCTATTAAGGACCAAATTTAATTCAGAAATAACTGAACAATGTCTTTGGTTTTCATTTTTAGGAGGAAATCAAGATATCATGAGTGAATGTTTGAAATATCAAGAACCTGATTATGAATGCATGGAATATACAATTATTTCACACAACATTGATTTCGTTACATTCTTAATGAATGAATACGATATAGATATCAATATAAGTGATTGTGCAGAATACAACAATCTTGAATCATTTTTAGTTTATTTTGATCAAACTAATGAAGTTAACCAATGCTTTATTTATTCTGCGTTATTTGACAATCCATCTCTTTGTGAATATTTCCTTTCGCTTGGTGCAAATGTCAATGAAAAAAATATTTATGGAGCAACCGCTTTGGACAATGCAGTAAGAAATAATAGTAAAAAGACAGCTGAATTTCTTATTACACACGGTGCAACAATCAATACGCCAGGAAAATATAGTGTCCTTCATGTTGCAGCCATTAAAAATAGTAAAGAAACAGCCGAGATTCTTATTTCACACGGCGCAGATATCGATGGAATAGATGAAAATTACAACACACCTCTTATTTATGCAGCGAATAAAAATAACTCAGAAATAGTCGAACTTCTTATTTCACATGGTGCAAATGTCAATAAAAAAGATGAATATGGATTCACTTCTCTTCATTTTACAGCACGTGAAAATAATGCAAAAATGGCTCAACTGCTTATTTCTCACGGTGCAAAACCCAACAAAAAAATGACAGCAGAAAAACCGCTCTTCATACTGCAGCAGCTAATAATAGTAAAGAAACAGCTGAACTTCTTATTTCACATGGTGCAAATATCAATGAAAAAGATAATTATGGACGAACCGCTCTTCATTTTGCAGCCATGTATAATAGTAAAGAGACAACTGAACTTCTTATTTCACTTGGTGCAAATATCAATGAAAAAGATAATTCTTGACAAACTGCTTTTCATCTTGCAGCCATTAAAAATAATAAAGAAACAGCTGAACTTCTTATTTCACATGGTGCAAATATCAATGAAAAAGATAAAAAGAAGAAAACCACTCTTCATCTTGCAGCCATGTATAATAGTAAAGAGACAACTGAACTTCTTATTTCACTTGGTGCAAATATCAATGAAAAAGATAATTCTGGACAAACCGCTCTTCATCTTACAACCATGAATAATAGTAAAAAGACAACTGAACTTCTTATTTCACACGGAGCATAATATACAAATATAATGGGTTGAAAATTAAAAAACACATTCTCAAAAAGAGGAACACATGTGTGAATATCCATAGAAAATAAAACCTTAAATAGGAAATATGAGAGTGTGTCAAAATCCCTCAATTTTTTGACATTCTGGATTTTTATCCAACTTTTCTAAGGTAAAAAGTCATTAACTTTGTTCGGGAAGAAGTTATTTTAAATCACTACTTAGTATCTTATATTACTGTTATACTTTTTTGTAATCACAATAAAGATATATTGATATTATAGGAGCATGTCAGAAAGTAGTAAGTGCACCCTTAAGAAACATAGAAAATAAAAGTAAAATTCTTATTTTTTATAAAATTTTTATGAACTTTGAAACCTAAATTTCTTTTAAATTTAAAGGTACATTCACTAGGCAATAACAGCAAAATGGGATGAAAATAGGTATATTGTAGCAAATTGTGCACATCATGCTGGATTTGATTCATTATTTATCTAGTTATTATAGGATTTACAACCCATGAAAATTTAAAATTTTGTCAAAAATAGTGATTGGACCTTTTTTGATATATAGAGTACCAGAAATAAGTTGTAGACACCGAAATAAATTGTAGACAGAGGATTTGTTAAATGATTGTTAAGTCCTTATCAAAACCCTTTGTATAAAGATGTCTACAGCTTTTTTCGTTGTCTATAACTTATTTCGGGTACTCTATGTCATATATAAGATGTAAATGAAAAAGAAACTAAAATATTAGATGTAATGAAATTTCATATTTTTATTGTTGTTCTCATTACATCTAATATTACTATGAACAATGAAATTCTCCTGTTTACCGGTGGTCATTCAGTTTCGGGAAGTTTCTATTTTTTGCCATGTAAATATTTTTTACATGACATTTTTATGTCATTCAAAAATGTCTGATTTGTTTGAAGAAGAAAATGAATCGATTTTTAAAGCAAAATCAAAACCAATAGAAGCTAAGCCAGTTCAAAAACCAGTAACTGTAGCTGCTCCTGATGGAAATTTACAAATCCTTCCAGTAGCTGTTTTTCGAATTGACCCAAACACTCAACAACCAGCAAGACTTGGAATGGCAACAATTCTGTTTTCAAGAAAGAATACTCTGATTGCTGCTTTTTTGATTGCAGGAAACAAACAAGCAATTGCACAATTTGTGTGTAACGAAAATATATCATGGACATTGCAAAACTCAGTATATGTATACGTCTATGATACCAGGAATATGCAGTGGCTTCTACAATTTAGAAATCCGCAAGAAGCGATTAATGCCACTGTCTTAGCACTATTTCAGAAGACTTCGAAAGAAAATTTTGTTACTGTATTTCAGTCACAAGCGAATGAAACTAATGATTTGAAATTTAATTTAATAACTTACGATTTATCAAAGAATGAAGTAAAAAACCCATCCACCGAAGAAAACGAACAAACATACAAATCAAAATTACCAGATAATGCTGTAAAAAAGCCAGGATCACAATATCTTTTCTTAAAATCTCAATATGAAATTTCATTTTTAAATTATGCAACAGAACAAACACAACAAGAGCAGAAAGTTGAAGAAACAATGAATACAGAAACAAAACAACCAGATAATGCACAAAATATCGAAAAACAACCTGAAAATCAAAAAGAACCAGAAATAGAAGAAGAAGAGGTTGAAGAGATTATAATTACAGATAATACAACTGTTGCTGATTTAATGAATACGTTTGATGAGCGATATGAAGAGATATTAAGAAAATTAAATAATATACCAACACATTCAAACAAAATTACACCTAAATTGATGGATCCCAATGAAGCAATTCAGAAATTATCAGAATTAATACAGATTTCAGAGCGGAAAGACCAAAAATTAAAAGAATTACAGAAAAGAATTGATTCTTTCCAAGAAACAGAGTCGAATCCCTTCTTCAATGCCATTTCCCAGCGCCTTGAAGAGCTTGCTGTTAACGAAGCCCGTCAAGAAAACTGGAATTCGGATCTTCAATACGACAAACGCTTCGAATCCCAATTAGAGAAGCAGTCTCAGTCCATAGATAAAGAAATAGAGGCAAAGATCCAACAAATCCGAGAACAAAGCAGAAAAGATTTCGAAATCCAAAACAAATCTGCCGTAAATGAGCTGGAAAGCCTCAAAAAGACCATCACAGCGAAGGAAGAAGAGAAGAAAGAGCTCATAAACCAGATAAAAGCTGTTGCACAAGATTCTGCGTTAGTAAAAGCAGGAGGAAACGCAGAAGTTGAAAAATTGAAGGCAGAAATATCCAAAAGACTTAAGATTGCTGTAAATAACTTGGCTTCGGATACAATTGATGTAATTGAATCGAATTTCAAATCTGACAGAGAATATACACAAAAACAGGTCTTCAAAGCTGTAATGTATGCACTTCAGAACTCTGCTGATAATATTCTGAATCCGGATGGAGAAGAAGAAGAGGAGGAGGAAGAGGAAGAAGAAAATTAATCAAAATAATTATTTTTATTTTTATTTTTTGTTTATTTATCTATTAAAAATGATATAATAATGACTTTTATTGAGATTTCTTTTAGTAAATTATTAAATAAGCTTGAAATTTCGCAATATTCTTTAAAATGAATCAAATCTGGAGCAAATTATACCTGTACTGATTTAAATTCTAGAGAATATGTTGTAATACATCTACAAGCTTGAAACAATTCCATAATTTGATCTAAAATTTCATATTTTTATGTTTTCCTTTCTTTCATCTATAATATTTTGATTCAAAAATTATATTATCTTGCTATCATAGAGTAATCGCAAGTGTTTGCGGTGCTCCAAGCGGTCCAGCAGGTACAGGAAAAACAGAAACAGTTGGAGATTGCGCGAAAGCACTTGGAAGATCTTGCGTCGTTTACAATTGTTCTGAAGAAGTTACTCCTGAACAAATGTCACAGTTCTTCGCAGGTCTTTCTAGTTCAGGATCGTGGTCTTGCTTCGATGAATTCAACCGTATTAACATCGAAGTTCTTTCTGTTATTGCACAACAAGTCAGAACAATTCAAAATGCAATTGCTGAAAATGCACAAACATTTCAATTGGATAAAAGATCGTTGAAATTGAATCCTAATGCAGCAATTTGCATCACAATGAACCCTGGTTACGCAGGAAGAACTGAGCTACCAGATAACTTGAAAGCATTGTTCAGACCATGCGCAATGATGGTCCCTGATTTCATTTTCATTTCAGAAATTTTGCTTTTCTCCGGCGGTTTTACAACCGCTTCTTCATTGGCTGTCAATTAGTTGCATTGTTTGATTTGTGCAGGAAACAGTTATCAAACAGCCACCACTACGATTGGGGCTTGAGAGCCATGAAAGCCATTCTTTCAACAGCAGGAAAAGCAAAGAGAAATGACTTGGAAGCAAACGAATCATTACTTTTAGTCAGAACAATAAGAGATTGCACACTTCCGAAATTGATTTCTGATGATATTCCTTTATTCAATGGCATATTAAGTGATGTATTCCCGAATGTTGAATACAACAAACCTCGAATGATGACTTCTTGAATTCCTTGAAGGAGTCAATCAAACAAATCCAAGAACAGCCATTGGATATAACTATCGCAAAAAGCTACTGAGTTATACGAAACAACATTGGTCAGACACGGAATTATGTTGGTCGGTGGCGCGATGGGCGGAAAATCAACAGCATGGAAATCTCTTCTTTAGCTTTGACTGATCTTTCAAAGACAAACAACAGTTTGTACAAGCCAATACAAGTGGAATCCCTCAATCCAAAGGCAATCTCTATTGCAGAACTCTACGGTTCCTTCAATCCTGTAACAAGTGAATGGGCTGACGGCGTTTTGTCAAAAATCATCAGAGAAATGTCATTTTCTGAACAAACCGTTGGCAAATGGATTATCGTTGATGGTCCTGTCGATTCCTTGTGGATTGAGTCAATAACTCATTGTTGGATGATAACAAAGTCCTTTGCCTTCCGAATAACGAGCGTATCCAGTTATCTCCACATGTCAAAATGATGTTCGAAGTTGACAATTTGGATGAAGCATCTCCTGCAACTGTTCTCGTTGCGGAATGGTCTATTTCGATCCAAGTGTTTTGAGTTGGACAGCATTGGCTGATTCATGGAGAGACTCACTACTCGAAAAACAAGCAACAGTTGCTAATTACGTGAGAGAACTCATGAATTCATGGTTACCAAATTGTCTACAATTCATTACAAATGATGCTCTCAAAAATTAGCGTGCCTCAGATTCAAATTATATGAGTAACATTTTGCAAAAGGGACTTAAGGGTGCACACGAGAGGATCATGTAAACTTCAGAATTTAGAACCTTATTTTTAGGCATTATCTTGGCTACCTATTTAGGCTCGAAAAGCAAAAAAATATCAAAAAATACAACTTGAGTCCATTATGACCCTTTCATGGAGGTAGTTTTTATCCGCTAGTATTTTCCCTTTGAATCTCTTTACAATTCGAAATCAAATTCAAAACTCAGTAGAAGAAAGGAAGAATCGACTTACTACGGTTGTAATACGAATAAATACATATATTTAATTATTTTTATTTACATAATAATGTTTTGAAGCTCATATTCCATCAAATTTTTAAATAAAAACATTAAAATGTTGAAAATGTTCATATATTTTAATAGGGTTTTGGCACTTTATTGAGGAATTACTACATACATAGTCGAACTGAACTTGATATTTTGAAATTTAAATTATTTATCAAAATTAAAATTTAACTTGAAATTTATAATTATTTAGTCATATTTTGCATAATTCTAAGTAGATTTTGTAAAAAATCAAGAAAGAAAAATTTTAACGTTCTTTATTTTTTCTTTTTTATAATAATACATATTATTATATAATTAACATATTCATAATGTTTCACCCTTTCAAAAATATAATCCTCCTCCTCTCAAATAAACGTACATACGGGTGGCCTCTTTTTTCAAAAAATTAAAATTTGAAATTTTGGGCTCAAATATTAGAGATTTTTTCAACCTTCAACGATATATGTTGTCTATATCAGACCTCCTTTCTTTTTGATACTTAACATTGTTCCTAAATCTTAGCCGTTAAGGCTGTTCTGAAAATATTTTTTTTCGAAAAAATTCGAAAAAAATTCTTAAAATTCAAAAATCCCTTAATTCCTGAGGATTTTGGAAAAAAGTTTTTACATGAACATGTGTATATTATATGAAGTATATTGATAAGGTAAAAATCAAATTTTATTGCATATTCATCGAGAAAATAAACTAACGAATCCCTAAAAATTGAGAGGGTAATCCTCCTCCTCTCAAATAAACGTACATACGGGTGCACCCTTAAATTTAAGATATTTATCCACTAAATGATGTCCTCATCTAATTTATAATAAGTTCTATAGTTTTTCGATCATTCAGCATTTCATATGAAATCACTCACAATTTGGTCGGAGAAAAAACCCACAAAATTAAAACCTTACATTCAAAATTATTGTCACTTACCAAATCCATCAATTATACTGGCCCCTCCTTTCAATATTTATTCTTTCATCAGCATTCACAGTATCCAGATTCATAAAATATAATCCATAATTCACTATAACTTCCTGTGGGCCAGAAATTTGGAAGCCCGCTATTTATTTTTGCATTAGACGCAAATCCGAAGAACCTCTTCCGATTAATTCCGCTGTAATGCGCTATATTGATGAAACATCTCAAGATCAAACACAATATCATTTATCATTTCTTAAACCAACAGCGACATATGACTTCAACACTATTTCCAAACGACTTAAGACCACACACTATACATTGAGAAAAGCGTATGTTAGCTTTAATGGCGTTGTTGGTTTTGATTCACATACAATTTTTGGCCAAACAGATTTTGAACACAATGCAACAACTGCTAAGGTTATAGGTCATTTCTATGAAGTTGTTGTTACAGGATATTTATGGGCATCATTTAATTTCGTCCATTCAATTCAAGATTTTTATGCACCATTATTTTTATTACCTGAATCAATAAGAAAAAGAGCTCATATCATTGTTTTCTCGATGCCTTTTCTATCTGATTCTCTTCTTGATCTTCTCGGTTTTTCACCTGATCGAAGAATATATTTACCAGAAAATACAGATAGATACATTGCAGCTGATGTTCTCCATTGTTTTGTAAATAAAACATTTTATATAAGTCAATGGGGACCAAATTTATATAGATTCAAACAGTTCTTGCATCAAAAATATGAATTAGATAAAATCCAATCAACTGATTATTGCTTTTCGAACAGACCAAAAGGAAAAAGAAGACATATTCATAACCTTGATGAAGTAATAAATGCAACAAAATCTAAATTCCCAAAGATTGATTGGAAATTTATTCGTGATGATCATAAGAAACTTATTGACTGTGCAAAAGATTTCAAGAAGATTAAATTTTTGTTTGCTCCTGTAGGATCAAATATTTGTAAGTGTATATTTATGGCAGATAGATCTCTTGTTATTTGCGTAACTGCACAATTCATAGAAAGTTCTCTGGCAGGGTTCTCTGCGAGTTGTAAAATATTTGAATTGCAATATGATTCAATTGCAGCTCACCATTCTGGTGTTGGCTCACCAATTGATGTTGACGATGCATTGTTCCATATAGGAAAGTGTTTGAAAGTGTTAGAAACAGGAAGCTGGAAAGTATATTCAGATGAAGAAATTACATATTATAAAGATAAAGAAGCAAAAATGAACAACACACAGATTTTGGATTTTGAAAATCTAAATGGAACAAAATATATTGATGAATGATTTCTATAATTATATCTGTTATTGTTTTAAATTGAATAACAGAATTGTTATTAGAGTTTATTATAATGCAGTTCATTCACATGCATTGTTAATCTCAATACCATGTATATTATTATTAGATTTTTTTTTATAAATTGTTACTTTTCAATACACTATATTTTAATGACTTTTTGCAAGGCAATCCTTCACAAACATCATACTTATTCAATAGAAGACTTTACTTACTATATAATCAAAATTCCGAAAAGTACAAATGTCAATAATTGAAAAAATCCAAAAGTTAAAAAAGAACATAAAAAAAGTAAAAGAAATAAACAGTAACGAAGTATCTTTGACTTCCATTGTACAGAAACGATAACGCTCTCGAATGGCTGAGGCTTGAGCTGGAGATCTGATATTTTACTATATGATAGTGATATTTTGTTGATAAGAGTTGCTGTCAGAAATTTCTCCATAAACTGCGAATCAAAAGGCGTACCTATCAATTTTTGAATAGTTTACATTTCTAATGCTAATGGTGCTTTCACTGAGAGTGAGTAAAGATTATCAAATACGAGAGCTCCAATAATCTGTACATGCAATAAGTAGTATAGTAGCTTCTAGTTATGCTTAAATTTCCTGTTTAAAGCTTGAATAAAATTTAGAAATCTTAAATTTTGAAGTTAAACACGAAAATATCGTATTAATTCATCCTATATGAATGTCTGTTTTATGATTCTTTGTTGTTATCTCGAATTAGAGCGAATAGTTTGGGCGGTCCAAAAGGCGTACCTGGCAGAAATCGACTTTTTGAGAGAAACTCATATAATTAATTGTATGGCTTCTCTCAAAAAGTTGAAGGTAGGTACGCCTTTTGACTCGCAGTTTAAATGTTAGAAAAAAACATACGAAAAGAATGAATTAAAAAATCGGATATTTAGATCACGAGTAAAGAATATAGTAACAATACAAAATGCTTAATTCAAATATAGAGAAGTTCAAGATCATGATCAGTTACAGTTTCCGTCAAATTTTTCAATTTCTATAACGTTAGGGATTTGTGGATTTTTTTGGTCTCTTCTTTCATTCTTAACATGTTATTCTGCATTTATGGCTTCTCAATTTATAACGCATAATCCGAAATTTGCACTTTCAGGTTTTGGAACTGAAATTTGGAAACACGTAGTTTTTTTCTCACCTAGACGCAAAACTGATAAACCACTTCACATTAATTCCCCTGTAATACGCTATATTGATGAAACTTCTCAAGATCAAACTCAATATTATTTATCATTTCTGAAACCAAACATAACAAATGAATTTAACAATAATTCTAAACGACTTAAAACAACGCACTATATGTTAAAAAAGGCATATGTCAGCTTTAATGGCGCTGTTGGTTTTGATTGTTATACAATTTTCCTCCAGACTGATTTTGCCAAAAACGCAACAACCGCAAAGGTTGTAGGTCATTATCACGAAGTTGTTGTGACAGGATATTTATGGGCAACTTATAATTTCGGACATTCCATTTCTGATTTCATTATTCCTTTGCTTTTACTTCCTGAATCAATCAGATGGAGATCCCATATCATTGTTTTCTCGATGCCGTTTCTTTACGATCCATTTCTTGATCTCCTTGGCTTCACACAAGATCGAAGAATATATTTACCAGAAAATACAGAAAGATACATTGCAGCAGATGTTCTCCACTGTTTTGCAAATGATACATTTTACATCAGCCAATGGGGACCAAACACTTATAGATTTAAACGATTTGTGCATCAAAAGCTAGATTTAGATAAAATTCCATCAACAGATTATTGTTTTACAAACAGACCAAAAGGAAAAGCGAGACACATTCATAATCTTGATGAAATAATTAGTGCAACAAAATCAAAGTTCCCAACAATTGATTGGAAATTTGTTCGTGATGATCATAAGGAACTCATAGAATGTGCAAAAGATTTCAAGAAGATTAAGTTTCTTTTTGGTCCTGTTGGATCAAATCTTTTTAAATCCATTTTTATGGCAGATCACACTGTTGTTATTTGTGTCACTGCATTTTTCCTTGAACATCCCCTCCCATATTTCTGTTCAAGTTGTAAAATATTTGAGTTACAATATGATTCAATTACAACACATCATACTGGTGTTGGTTCCCCAATTGATGTTGATGATGCATTGTTCCATATAGGAAAGTGTTTGAAAGTATTAGAAACAAGAACCTGGAAAGCTTATTCTGAAGAAGACGCTATAAATAGAAATAAGGGATGAACAAATCAATTAATCTATTAGAACTCAAACATGTTCTTTAAGAACAATGTGTCAATAAGAAATATTTCTTATTCATTCAATGATGAAGAATAAAACTACATAGTTGATAATTAAAAAACTTCTAAAATACGCTCAAATTTTGACTTTTCTGCTGAGATTTTGAGAGCTAATCTGGAGAAGATATATTTCATAGTGATATTTTTTCCATGTAATATATTAACTCTTCATCAAATTCAATACAATTCTCTTCTGAAATAATGCAGAACATCCAAAAGAATTATTTGGATTTATAATAATTCCAAGATTCAAAAGAAGTTCTGATGATTATGATGAATATAGAAAGGAATATGGTTCAAATTAAAGATTAAATTTCATAAAGTTTACTATTTATTCGCAAAATTAAAAATAAAGAGAATTTCAATCGATTTTTTCATCAGATAATTCTTCAAGATCTTGACCTAAATAGAAATTTTGTTCAATTTTAGCATCTTCTTCGAAATCATCTTTGAATGGATCATCATTTTCTGTTGATCGCGTAAATAATGGATTATCAAATGTAATACCATCAATATCGGTTGAATTAACGGTGTTGATTTCTTCAACATTCATCTCTTGAACGGAATCTGTTTCTTCATTATTCTTTCCTTTCATATATACATAAATTGTGTAAAAAAGAATAACAATAGCTCCAATGAACAACAGAGACATAACAATCAATCCGATCTCCATGTTGTGGATCGGTTCTTTATTTTTATTTTCTTCATTAATAAGCATCTGTTGACTGTTACATTGCTGTTTTGTGCTATTTTCTTCTTCAATATTCAAACTTGATTCACAGCTCTTATTTATAACTTCAATGAAACCGACAAAAATGAATAGCCATGACAGCAGAAAATGATAAAAACAATGAAGAAAAAGATAATTAATAGGCTAGATAACATAGAAGTCATATATATAATACATTACAAATAATTTGGATATGTCAAATGTGTTTATTATTAATTCGATAAACATCTAGAATTTCAATCAGTCTAGTTTTCGGAGACTTCATCAATATCATTGCCCAAATAGAAGTTTTCTTTAATTGTATTATCTTCTTCAAAATCATGTTTGAATGGATCATCTTTTTCGATTGATTGAGTAAATAATGGATTATCAAATGTAAATCCATCTATCTCATTTGGATGGATTATCGTTACTTCTTCAATGTTCATTTCCTGGATGGACTCTGTTTCATCAATATCCTTTCTTTTCATATATGAGTAAATCGTGAAAATGAGACATATAATAGTTCCGATGAACAAAAATGATATAACAATCAATCCTATCTCAATGTTGTACAAAGATCTTTTCTTTCCATTTTCCTCATTAAATAGAATCTGTGAATCATTACATTGAGAATTTGTGATGTTTTCTTCTTCTTTTTCTTCTACTTTATCTTCAACATTCAAACTTGGTTCGCAACTTTTATTTATAACTTCAATGTAACCAACAAAATATTCAGGATATGTGGAAGAGTAAAATTCAATATTGGGGGTTGTTTCACGACTTGTTTCATAATATCTCCGTGAATTATTATACAATACATGAATTGAATTTGTCCAATCATAGCATAATTTTGGAAATCTCATTACAGAATTTTCGAGATTATTTTCAGGTATATTTCTACTAATATCTGAATCTCCAGACTGCACCGATATTTCCAATAGATCAATTATTTGAATTGAATGAGGAAGCATTAAATAAACATTTTCATGAGGTTTAAATTTGAAATTTGCCATATTAATTCTTTTTATACCTTCTGTTAGCATTGTTATCTTATTTGAAATCCTACCAAATAGAAACAATATTTCCATTTCATTGTTTTTATCTCTATTTATTTTAATAAATTCATTATTTGTAACAATGAAATCAGGATGATATTGACCATCTATGAATCCTATTTTTGTTATTGGTGTATTTGCAAATGGATTTATGATATCTGATAAAGAAATGGGCAAAATAATTTCAGTTAAATTTGTATAAGAAAATGATTTTTCATTAATACACATGACATTTTCTGTTAGAGTTATTTTTGATAGTTTTGAACAATTATAAAAGCAACTATAAGGAATTTCACTTGAACTGAAATAAACTTCTTTTAGTGATTCCATATCTGCAAATGCATAACCCATGATTTGTAATTCATATGGAATTTTTAACCTTTTAACGTTATTTGAATATCTAAATGCGGAAAATGAAATAGCATGAAAGTTATTCGGAATTATTACTTCTTCATTATTTTCTGATATATTATATGATAGCAATGTAATTGTATCATCTAATGAAGCTGTAGTTCTATCAATATTTTCAACGGTATATAGCATTCCACTTTGTATTTTAACATTGCCTTTCAATTCAATCGATTTAAATTTCTTGCAATTTTCCAATTCAGAAAGAGATATATAACCATTTTCTTCGAATATGACTTTTTCCAACATATCATAATGATCAAAAATGTGCAAATATTTGACTTTCGGGATGTATTCATTCCTAGAAGACGAAGTGATTGTATTTAATAATGTTATTGATGTTAGATTTGAATATGCAAATGAGTATTGTTCAAGAACTTGAACTTTATTTATATTTATTCCATTCTTTAAAGATGCATTATAAAATGCAAATTCACTAATTGAACAAATACAATCAGGAATATTAATTTCTTTCAAGTTTGAACAGCAATAGAAACAGTAAGCTGGAATTTCTGCAATAACATCTTCTTCTTCCAGTTGAAAAGTAAACTTCTCGAGATTAATACAGAATTGAAATGCATTTGCCCCTAAATTTTTACCTGAGAAGATAATTTCTTTCAAAGAATAACATTTGAGAACATTCCAAAATTTGCATAATGAATTTTATCTAATTCCAAACAAATGCAATCTGAGAAAATATATCCTCCACTCCAATAACCTAATTCTCCCAACCCATAAATTGTTTTCAATTTACTACAACCTTGAAAAGCTGCTGCTTCTATATAACTAATTCCTGTGAAATCGAACATTGTTAAAGACTGACAATTCCTGAAACAAGCACGAGATAACCGGCGCATTCCATTGTTTACATTAAAAAGTGCCAAATTTCTGCAATTTGCAAAATCACATACACTAATGCGTTCATTATAATTGGCGGCAAATTTTTCTAGCGAAATACAATTATAAAAGTTGAATCATAGATCCAATACGCATACATCAGTAATTGTTATTGTTTTCAGATTAAGGCAATTCAAAAATACACTATTACAAAGATTTACTGATTTAAATTTTACTGATGATAATTTTATATTATCACGAAACGCGCTCTTAATACAAGTTATATGTTTACTTTCAAATATCAGATTTTTCAATGAACAGTATTCAAATGCACAACTTCCTATCCAAGTTAAATTCGAAATTCCTTCGACAATTTCAAGATTGATACATTTTCTAAAAGCAGAATGTTCAACACTTGTTATATTAGTGCTTAACACCACTTTTATTAAAAAGTTACAATTCTCTAACATATAATCTGAAACTGCTTTAATGTTTCCTGGAAATCTGAATTCAATTAAACCACTTTCACTAAAGGAACCAATACCAAATTGCATAACAGATTGAACATTTACATTTTTAAGGTTTTCACAGTTGGAAAATGCATATTCTTTGATAAATTCTATATGTTCTAAATTAATCTTCGAAATTGCTGAGTTTTCAAAGGCATATTCTGAAATATTTTTAATAGTTGGACTCATTATAACTTCTTCGAGAGCAATGCTATTTCGAAACATTCTACTTGGTATACTTGTTACAGATGATTCGGAAAAATCGAATATTTTGACAATATGAACGCCATAAAATGGATACACTTCACTAACTTCACTTGTAAGTTTAATATAGGGTGTCCAAAGGTGCGTTTAGCACAGCGCTCTATATGAGACTATTAAAGGAGATATATGCTGATTATAAATATATAATAAAAAATATGAATATATGTATATGATGAGTATGTTGTATTTTGGCGCCATGCCGGGATATAAAATGAATTTTGAGACAAGAGGCGGTTTCGCGGGAAATTTTGGCGGGATTTTTTTTCATTTTTTTAATGAATCATAAAGAAAACATCCTCGCTCTTGCAAAAAAATGCAAAGACTGTAAAAAAATCTACGAGACATTGGTAAAATGCTTCGGTATGGATGCTCCTAGCTATTCCACTGTAACGTATCATGTTAGGATGTATCACTTCATGAACAAAAAGGCGCCCATCATAAAAATTGACAAAAAATCACCGGATCAAAGAAAAATCAAAGCAATTCTTCAAGCGCTAGATGAAGACCCAAGAGCATCACTCAGAAGGATAGAGGAGATGACAAAGATACCACATACAACAGTCAGTTATTATCTGCACAATTATTTGAACTACAAACTAGTGTATACACGTTGGGTTCCGCACAACCTTAATTCAGTTCAAAAAAAATCTAGAGTCCAATCTTCGAAAGAGCTCCTCTCTATATTGGGTGCGTATCAATCCAAGAAGTTTCGCTTTTTAGTAACAGGGGACGAGTCTTGGTTTCAATATGCAACAGAAGCCAAAATCATGTGGATCCCGAAGGATGAAAATCCGCAAACATTCCCGAAGAAAAAAATTGACACACCAATGATGATGTTGTCGGTTTTTTGGGGCGTGAATGGCATCATCGCAATTGATATTCTTCAAAAACCTAATACGATGAATGCTCAGTATCTAATTGACAATGTTCTTACTCAAATTATCAATTCTGATGAGTTTGAGAAATCCAAACAACAAAAACAAAAGTTTGCAATTCATTTTGATAATTCAAGAGTTCACAAAAGTCATAAGGTAATGAATTACTTGGTGGAAAACAATGTCAAAGTTGTTCCAAACCCAATTTATTCACCTGATATTGCACCCTCTGACTTTTATTTATTCGGCACGCTAAAAAAGAGAGCTGAAGGACGCGAATTCGCGAGTCCAGATGATCTTGAAAATTTTGTAAGAGAGCAATTTGAGCAATTTTCTCATGATGATTTAAAGCGTGTCTTTCAAGCCTGGATCGATCGCTGCGAACGCGTGATTGAATCCAATGGTGATTATATTTAAATAAACTTTATATATATGTAACTTGTTTATTTCTATTCGCAGTATTCAGGTTTGTGCTAAACACACCTTTGGACACCCTATATTATTGAGAGAATTATTAGTTAAAAAATCGAAAATTTCGGTATCTTTCGAATTTTGTTCTGAAAAGTCATTATTTGATGATACAATCATAAAACTGTCTTGTTTTTCTAATGAAGAATCAAATTGTAAATTTTTCCTCAATAGATCCAAAGAAAATACTTTTGTAAGCATCATTAAAATTTTTATAAGATTTTCAATGATCTATATCAAAAGTTATATGAGAGTTAAAATTAGAAAATTACCCTACTTTTCCAAGATAAACACAAGTTACCCAACTTGATATTTTACGTAAAAAAACTCTTTAAGTTCATGTTCAAACAACATCATTTTAGAAAAATTCAATTTTTTCCAAAAGTGTGTGAATTCAAAAAGTCACAATATATCTAGTTATTACCCAGTATTAATTTTTTAATTTAGTTTTTGAGATATTCATTTTATAATACGTATTATTCAGAAAATTAAATACATTTGTAAGGGAAAACGGAATTAATAACAAATATATGAATATCGTGGAAGAGTCAATTTGAAGAAAACATTATTATTTTGGATTTGTGTTTATCTTGTTATGTGATTCATATTTTCACGATCTGACAGCAGAAATCGAATCAGCGGAGCCTGAAGAATCAGATTACGTGGGGAAAATAGGTTTTGAACGCTTAGATAGGGATATAATGAGACTTTATGAGGTATGCTGTATAAATATAGCTTTTGCAATAATATGTCATGAGACTAGAATATGAAGAGAGTATATATGTGTTATTGTCAAATGTTTATATGTGGAGATAGCTCGGTAGAGTCTATAAAATAGTTCAGTACATGCCATAGGGAATATAAAGCACAAAAAATAATAAATAAATATTAAATAGGGAAATTAATATTTTAAATAATGTAAGTAAAGTATTTTCTCTAAGTATCATAGTGGATGACAAACAAGAGTGCACAATGCACTCTTGTCGGTCAAAGTTTTGCAATCGTATTCTGATTGCAATAAATTGTCTCGTTCTGGGAGACATGCACAGGCAATGTCTCCCGGAATGACACATGCAGACCAACAAGAGTGCACAATGCACTCTTGTCGGTCAAAGTTCCGCATTCAAGTTATGAATGCGGAACAGTATGCCATTCTGGGAGACATGCACAGGCAATGTCTCCCGGAATGACACATGCAGACCAACAAGAGTGCACAATGCACTCTTGTCGGTCAAAGTTCCGCATTCAAGTTATGAATGCGGAACAGTATGCCATTCTGGGAGACATGCACAGGCAATGTCTCCCGGAATGAGACACTGCGACCGTCAGGAGTGCATATTATCATCAAAAATTCAAAAAAAAAACATTTTTCTTTTTTCTTTGGCGAAAAATGTACTTATTTTTTTCGAAATTTTCGAAATATGATTTTTTCGGGAGACTTTTTCAAAATTTTAATATGATAAATATGAGTTATTTTATGTTCTCTATTTGAGAGTCTGCTTATTTTTGAGTATTGAGCAAGATTGAAAAATGAGAATATTTAGGAACATAATAAATCGATTTATCTCGTCATGTAGTTCATATTTTCGCGTTCTGAGAGCGGAAAACGCATTTTTTGAATGCGTAGATTCCGAATCACACGGAAAAAATAGGTTTTAATAAGAAAAATAGACAATTTATGAAGTAACAAAGCACATAGTATTATAAAAAAGAAAAACATTTTTCTCATATGAAAGAAAATATAACGTATTTTTTACAGAGCGTAGGTATATATCGAGCCAATTCACACCATAAATTCTTTTCTCGTTCTCGGGCCTATAAACAACCTGAGGTGCACAACAATATTAACTTATACTGCTGTTATCTGGATTTGAATCCTCAATTGAGAGAATTCCAGATAACTTCAGTATAAACAAACCATATACATGTTTCCTCCTTGCTTCTAGGCCAAGCATAACAAGTACATTACCTTAGAGCAAATCTCATTCGGAGTTTCTCATTTAATGAGAGACTCCGAATGAAATTTGCCTATTTGATTAATATCGTGCTTTATGAGATGCAAATTCTGATGATAAATATTGATCTAGAGCTTATATAAGATGCGAAGAAACTTCAAAAAAAGCTAACCGGTAAAGACAGCAACTTGCAACACCAAGTTGCTCACGTAGTGATTACAAGCATATCTGCAAGGCAAGTCCTCAGGATGCAGAACTTTGCCTGCAATCAGAAAAGAGATTGCAGCAGAGTAACCGGTAAAGACAGCAACTTGCAACACCAAGTTGCTCACGTAGTGATTACAAGCATATCTGCAAGGCAATGTCCTCAGGATGCAGAACTCTGCCTGCAATCAGAAAAGAGATTGCAGCAGAGTAACCGGTAAAGACAGCAACTTGCAAAGTCAAGCAGTTTCTGAGATTTTGATTTATAAATCATAAACCTTCATGCTTGATGATTTTGTAGAATTGTTAACTCATGTCATCAGTTAATGCTCACCTAAGGGAGGTGTTTTGCGGGAGCTGGGGGTATCTTGGTGAGTACTCAGGAGGCCAAGAAGGGCACCCCAACCGACATTTTGCTGATGGATTGAGTTCGCAACCATTTTTATAACCGTAAAAACCGTCGGGACAAAACAACTTGAATAATTGAATTTTTTAATGATAATGATTGTGAAATAACATGTAACTATAATTTAAGAATGCCATATTTTTGTTAAAAAAAATTTCGAAAAGTGAGAGATTTTCCGTTCTAATAAATATATTTGATAACCGGGGTGTCCCCGGAATCAAATAAATTATCATATCGAGAATCGGAGATCCTTGCAGTTTCGATTTTTTCGAAAAGTGAGAGATTTTCCGTTCTAATAAATATATTTGATAACCGGGGTGTCCCCGGAATCAAATAAATTATCATATCGAGAATCGGAGATCCTTGCAGTTTCGATTTTTTCGAAAAGTGAGAGATTTTCCGTTCTAATAAATATATTTGATAACCGGGGCGTCCCCCGGAATCAAATAAATTATCATATCGAGAATCGGAGATCCTTGCAGTTTCGATTTTTTCGAAAAGTGAGAGATTTTCCGTTCTAATAAATATATTTGATAACCGGGGTGTCCCGGAATCAAATAAATTATCATATCGAGAATCGGAGATCCTTGCAGTTTCGATTTTTTCGAAAAGTGAGAGATTTTCCGTTCTAATAAATATATTTGATAACCGGGGTGTCCCCGGAATCAAATAAATTATCATATCGAGAATCGGAGATCCTTGCAGTTTCGATTTTTTCGAAAAGTGAGAGATTTTCCATTTTAATAAATATATTTGATAACCGGGGTGTCCCCCGGAATCAAATAAATTAGCATTACTAACATTCCTTTTTTATTTAAAATTTTCAATTCTTAAAACAAAGTTTTACTTCTATTTAATTATTTGCCATGAAAGTATAGAACATTAAAAATTTATCCTACTACCTCCACCCTTATAATACCTTCAAAAAAATTATATCTCAATTTATTTTCTATCTTTATATTGATGTGCTTATTCAAAAACACTAAATCATAAGTCTTCAGTTCTCAAAATACTCTCAAATTATCTCATTGCGCATATTTTGAAATTTGATAATTTTAAATTGTTAAAAAATTCATTAATCACAGTAAAATATCTATATACAACAATTAACTAACCGATTTCACATCTTGAACATTCGCATTTATTTAATATATTTGAATATCATTTACATCTTATTGAATTAGATCATAAATCACAGTTCCTTAATATACTATCTAGCTAATCATTATTGTTGCACAACTTACATTTGATTAAACACACGTGTATAATTCTGTACAACTCATATCTCTATCAATACTTTATTTATAATCAAAACAAAGGTTAAAATTGTATACCCTGTCACTGTAGAGTATTCTCCCAACTTTAAAGTGAAAATCAAAATTTGATATTTTAGTAATTTCATGTGAGATCGTTATTTTATAGGAAAACATACTGAAAATGTTTATAAGATGTTTCTCTATCATATGCCAAAATATCATGGTTTAAATGCTCTCCTAAGTGTCTATAACTGAATTTTAGGGCAATAACCTTATTCTAAATGTTGGGAAAGTAGGGTATAAAGTATGAATGAAAAAGTATAAAATTTATGAATAAATTTAAATCAAATTACATAAGCCATTAAATCTAATGTAAACTAATATTCTCTAATTCAAAATTGATTTTATGCCAATTGAATTTTGAAAGTCAGTGGGGTCCATTATAAATTCCCCCATTATTATGAATACGGTACCATTATTATAAATTCCATTTAATACGCATAATGGATTAATTCGAATAAAGTGTCAATTCGAATAACCGCCAAAAATGGAATAACGGGTTTTATGGAAATTCCATTTATTTTATCGGAATTTCGAATAACCGTTTTATTCGAATTTCCATTCAAATTAGAATTTCGAATAAACGGGTGTTATTGGAATTTCTATTCCAAAAAATGCAGTATCCACTATATGTAATTGATCTAGCTAATCAAAATTTCATACCAAATATATTTAATCTTTTGGAAACAAATGATAATCCATATTTGCTATATTTGATGTGTGAGTATTAAGCCAAAATATTACATTTTCTTGGAATATATTGCAATATATGAAAAATAAAATTGAAATTTTCATTTAACCCATACTTTTATAAAATCAAAATTAAACTATTCACTGAAAGCGCTTAGAAGCTGCCATATTCCATTAATTTATTTCTGATATCAGAAAAATCCGAAATATATATATATAAACATTTTCCTTCGTAATGTCTCCGAATCATTTTTCTCACTCAATATTGATTGAACCTCTATCAAAACTTTGAATATGAAACCTTATCTATATTAAAAATAATAATCATATTATTATATATTATTCCGAATTTTCAATTATTATATTATTCATCGTTTTAATTGAAAATTAACATATTGTGAACAAACGGTTTTCAATATGGTTTATTATAATACACTGGATAAAGAATCATAATTACAAATTCTCTATAAAATATTTAACTAAAAAACAAACGTATATTTTTATGAGCACATTGAAATTTTCCCCTTTGTAATAAAATAAGACCAATTTTCAAAAAGTTTTTAATTGATTTAAAAAGTGACAGATTTTATTAAGTTATTTTTAACAAAACTATGAATTTACATTAATGATATTTTCATAAAAAGTTATCGTATTTTTTTTAGAAAAACTGTTATGCTAACAGCATTTACTCTTCAAAAAATTATGCAGTCATCATCTACTGACATTGAGTTTAATCTCGAAGAATCACTTGTTACAATAAAATCAAGCGAAATCTTAGATACTTATGATTATTATTCTGCAATTACAAATGGAAGCATTCAGAATCTAAATATTAAGACATCCGAGAGAATTAATTCACACTTCATATTTAGAACAATTAGGTATATCAAATTCTCTTATGCACCACAAATTATTGAATTTTCAAAAATATTTCCTAGTGTTGAAACAATAAAATTTGATGAGAGCATATATTCTATATCAACACAATTCGTGAACTCTAGTTTAAGCACAGTTTATTTAGTAAATATCTATGAGATTAACAATTATTGTTTTTTTGGATGCAAGAATCTAGTAAATATCAATATTTCCGAAACTAGATATATATTGGTGATTATGCATTTGCAAATTCTGGACTTTCTGGAAAAATTATATTTTCCAATAAGTTAAAAATTAAATTCAATGCCTTCATGAACACTAATATTAAAGAAATAGTTATTGATAAAGGTGCTGACATTGATTTTTATTTTAATCCTTATTACAGTTATTATTATTATTATTATGATAGATATAACACATTTAGGTATGGTGATGAATATAAACAAAACATTGTTCCACCTAGCATTACAGTTTTTTATGGTTGTAACAATCTTAAAAAGATTTCAATTCATAGTAACTTCTTTGATTTATCGATATTTTCTGGAGCGAATAACATAAATGAAGTAAATATTGATGAAGATTTAGATCTTTTGTATGAACATCCTCTTTTATATAACAAAAATAAAACAATTCTTTACTCATGTCTTCCTGCCAGTTCACAAAAAGAGTTGTTCATTCCTAATTCTGTCAGATCAATTTTATTTGGATTTCAAAATTGCATCAATGTTGAAAAAATTGTTTTTCAATCCAAAAAATAGATGAATTAGGTGAATATTTATTTTCAGGATGTACTAATATGAGTGAAATTGTTTTTAATTCAGACATTATTGAAATTGATGTAAGTTGCTTCCTCAATTGTTCAAAATTGAAGAAAATTGAGTTACCGTATGTTAACTACATTCCACCATATTGCTTTGCAGGATGTTCATCTTTAACAGAAATCATATTAGGTCAAAAATCATCAATTATAAGTCTTGGCTATAACTGCTTTATGAATTGTACAAGTTTAGAATCAATATCATTTAATGATAAACTTAATTCTATTCCATCACAGTGTTTTGCGTATGGTGGACTCAAAATTTTTACTATAACAAACAAAATATTGATAATCGGAAGTAATGCTTTTATTGGATGCACTGATTTGATAATTTCTATTTCTGAAGATCATCCAATTTTTTATATTACGCAAACGGAAATTATTATGAAAAAATCTAACACGTTAATTTCAATTTTTAATAACAATTTATCATCAGTAGTTAGGATAACCAACTCAGTCCAAGACATTGATTCATTTGATTTAGATGGAATCGTTTATACAAAAACAAAACTTATTATTTTCCCAGAATCACTTGACAGTAGTTATATCGATCCGGCATCTATGTGGGATAGTTATGTAACAAGTTTTTGTAAAGAAGGTTACAAATCCATTTCATTTTGGGATTCCGACGCAAGAAATTATTATTATTCTAATTCATCCGGATATATGAAATTTAGATTGCATGAAAATAGAGTTGAGACCAATTATGATGACTTCTATAATTTGAAACCAGGATTTTATTCAAATCATTTTTATGATTATGCTGAAAGAGAATTCAACATGCAAACTGCTAGAGGAGACTGTTTCAAGCTTGAAAATATATCATTAAATGAAAGTAGCTGTAATGAAAGCAATAATTCATTTATAATGAATGAAGAAGAGATATATAAACAAAGTGGAAAATATAAAATAGAATTTGCTTTCCTTATTATATTCATTATTCTCACAGTCTCAGCTATTTCATTAATAATTTATTATCAAATACTTTTACATAAATCAACGGCATATATTGAAGGCAATGATGAAAAAGAAGAATAATACTACAAAGCATATCAATATCTATGAATTTTAAATATTTATTTTTTATTTTATATATGGATAACAAAATTTTTTATAAGATATATAAATGCCTCCACATTTAATATTAACTATGCAATTAGATGCACAAAATATATTCATAAAAATACTCTGGAATGATTGCTATCGAATAAATATTATAAATAATGAAAATTTTATAATCTACAAACAAATGAAATTTTATGATGAAATAGTACTTTCTTCTGAAAGATTGTAACCTTCTTCAAGATCTTCTTCAACTTGAATAGAGTTGTCTTCATTAGATTCTTTAGTTTTAGAATCCAGAACTTCTGCATTGTTATGAATCATTAAGAATGGAAGACCAATTATGGAACTAATAATCATCAAAATTCCTGAAATAAGTGCGAAAATTTGGATCCGATCTGTAACTAATATCTTTAATGAGATGTAAGATAGTAGCAATGTAGGTGTTCTGCACATTGTGACTAAATATCCTCTGATTGATCGTGGAAAATAGAATTTGATGATTTCCATTCTGATTGCAAGTAAAATTGAAGAGAAAAATGATTCTAATGACGTCAAACAGAAAACTATATGCTTGTTATTATAGAATATATATATGCAAACCAATGAAATACCTGATAAAACTGCAGATAATGTCCACCATTGAATATTCGACAGCCAATCGGTGAACATAGATAGAAACTGTGCTCCAATAAGGGAAATAATGGTGTATGTGCCTGAAACAAAGCCCATCATTGGTTTGTGGTTATTCGTAATTAAAAATGCGGACATTCTTTGGTTTGAAAGGAACATTGATACTCCTTGTAGTATTTCTATAACTATAATGAGAAATACAACCTTGTTTTTGGTGAATAAATTGGAAATTTCTGAAAAATCGTTTCCAATTGATTTTGCTTCTTGCGTTTTCGATGGAACAACAATAGAAATAACAATGGGAATTGAGCATAAGATTAGACCTGGTGTTAATAAATATAAAAAGTGAATTCCGTAATGATGCGCAATATAAGAACTTGTTGGGGATACTGTAATCGAAATAATAAGATTTATGAACGATCCCCACTCATTGTATACTATATTTGCCTTGGTTTCTTCTGGCAAATTACATTCTTCATTTAGCCACCAATCGTGAAAAGCACGATTTAGAGTACTAAATGTAATGCCTATCAGGGTATTTGCGATGGAATACGCAATAAATGTATGGTATAAACCAAAAAGCAATGAGGCCAACGTATATGTAAAGATACTTATCACGATCGTATATCGATGACCTATTCTTTTGGATATGAAAGGATATAGCATGTTCCAAAATGCATTAACTAGATGAGAATAGGATATCATTTCTGAAATTTTTGAATGAGTGTACCCCATATCTAAAAGAAGTTGATACTTATAAGGTAGCTGAAGGTGTATAACTAGGACAACGATTGTTTCGGAGAAATAATATTTGAATAATAAATTTTTTAAATCTTCGCTAATTGTTTGCCCCGAAAAGAATAATAGTTTTGCCATCCTTACTGCACCTATAAATGTACTGACAAAAAAGATTGAAATGACTTGTATATCGAGAGAATCCATTAACAATCTTTTTGTAAGGGAGAGAAAAAATTTTCATGGAAAAAAAATAATTTTTATGTTTATTTATTGGGTTATCAGCGCAATATAAAATCATCCAAATTCAGCATTAACAAGCTTTTCTAACATGATTTGGTCTTCATATTTCTTCTGAGATTTACGACATCTCTGAATTTTGATAAGAATTGTGATACAAATGGAAATAAGAATAACAATAGATATAGTAATAAGAATAATTTGTAATGTAGTAAGTCGAACATATGGCTTTTTAGGAAAGTTTGGACATTCGGATGTTTTATGAGCATGAACACCACCAATGTTGTTGTGAGGATAGTGTTCGGAAACAGAAACAATTTTAACGCGATCTTTAGAAAGGAATTGACCGTCAACTGATCGATCACCACAGTACAAGAATGTGTTGATATAACTCTTAGAAAATGATTTATCTGAAATTTGTTTGATGTTTCCGATGATAGAAATATTAACATTAGATGATGTGATGAAATGTTCATTGATAAGTGATTCATTTTCATGAGAAATGATAATAATATTTTCAAGATGATTGAATGATGAAAGTGATGGATATTCAATGACTGATAAATTAAGTGTGATTGATTTAACTGTGTTATGGAAAGATTCGATTTGTGAGTTAATAAAAATATTTTCGATTTTGTTGCAATTCTCAAAAATATCCCCTCGTATTGAACAATTTGATTCAATGAAAATTTCTTGTAATTCATAACAATTAGAAAATGAATTCTTTTCGATGGTTTTAAGACTATTTGGTAAATTGATCTTTTTCAGTGATGTACAATTAATAAAACATCCTTCACTGAGTTGAATCAGTGCAATTTGAAATGTTAGTTCGGTTAAATTTGAACAATTTGCAAATGCATATGATTCTATTTTTTGCAATGAAACTGGGAATGAAATAGATTTCAATGAATAACAGTTGCAGAATGATTTATTGGCGATTAATAAGCATTTATTTGATTTAATATTAATTGTTTCAAGAGAATAACAATTATAAAAGCATTGTTCAGGTATGGAAACAATAGAAGTCTCCAATGTTAATTCTTTGAGTTTGTTGCAATGACAGAATGCTCTAGAACAAATGTTTGAAACTGAATTTGGAATTTCGATACGAACAAGACTACTGCATTCTTCAAAGGCCATTTCTCCAATTGTTGTAATATTATCTGGTAATTTTATTTCTCGTAAACTACTGCAATGATAAAAGAGTTTTGAAGAAATGTTAATTAAAGTTGAAGGCAATGTGATTTTTTCTAATGATGTCATATTTTTGAAACAACAATTACCGATTCTAGCTAATGTTGATGATTTCATGAATGTGATACTTTTAATGTTGATGCAGCCTTCAAATGAAGATGTACCAATGTTTTCAACGTTTTCTGTAATTATAAAACTTTCCAATGATAGACAATTAAGGAATGATGAATCTCCGATAAATCGAAGACTATCTGGAAGTTGAATAGATTTTAATGAATAACAATTTTCGAACAGATTGTTGTTTATCGAAGTCAATCGTACTTGAAATACAACACTTTCTAAATTAACGCAATTTGAAAATACTCCTGTTTCTGGCTCGTGAGTGTGTTTTGTTGAGTAAACAATGCTTTTGATATTATTACAATTCGCAAATGCGTATTCTTTAATCTCTCCAAATGGTAATGAATCAAATGTTAATTTTGTACAATTATAAAATGCGTAATTCCCAATAAATTTTATTGCATTTTGGAAATAGATTTTCCCAAGATTTATACAATTTTCAAATGCTTTATCATCAATCTTATTCAACCAAGAATCAAATTGTATAGTTTCCAGACCAAAGCAGTTACTAAATGCCCCTTTTCCAATATCATATGTTGGAATTGCAATTGATTTTATGCTTAAGCAGTATGAAAATGCATAATTGCCAATATTTTTTAGAGAAGATGGTAAAGAATCAAATGTTAATTTTGTACAATTATAAAATGCTCTTATTCCAATTGAACTTATTCTATCTGGTAAATCAATTTTATCAAGATTTATGCAATTTTCAAAGACTGCTGTTCCAATATGATATATCTCAGAGTTAAATTGTATTGATTCAAGACAAAAGCAGTTACTAAATGCGCCTTCTTCAATATTATATGTTGGAATTATAATTGATTTTATGCTTAAACAATATGAAAATGAATAATTACCAATCAAAATTAGTGAAGATGGAAAAGAATCAAATGTTAATTTTGTACAATTATAAAATGCATAATCATAAATTTTAGAATTACCAGAAAAAATTATTTTGCCTAGATTAATGCAATTCTTAAAAGTACCAGGTTGTATGACTAAATCATTTGGGAGATTTATTGTTTGAAGATTTGTACAATTGCAAAAACATTCCTTTCCAATGGAAGTAAGATTTGAAGGAAGTTCAATATTTTGTATACTCGAGCATCCATAAAATGCACTGTCATGAATAGATTTTAATGAAATAGGAAGTTGTATTGTTTGAAGATTGATGCAATTATAAAAACATAATTCTCCAATGGAAGTAAGATTTGAAGGAAGTTCAATATTTTGTATACTCGAGCATCCATAAAATGTATAATTTCCAATAGATTCTAATGAGGCAGGAAGTTGTATTGTTTGAAGATTGATGCAATTATAAAATAAATATGATGAAATATATTTTAAATTTGAAGGAAGTTCAATATGTTATAAACTCGAGCATCCATGAAATGCATTGTCATGAATAGATTCTAATGATATAGGAAGTTGTATTGTTTGAAGATTTGTGCAATCGCAAAAACAATTAAATCTATGGAAGTAACGTTTGGAGGAATTTCAATATGTTGTAAGCTCGAGCATCCACTAAATGCATCGTCATGAATAAATTTTAATGAGATTGGAAGTTGTATTGTTTGAAGATTGAAGCAACCGTAAAAACAATCCGTTCCAATAGATGTAACGTTTGGAGGAATTTCAATATGTTGTAAACCCGAGCATCCAGTAAATGCGTATTCATCAACGTATTTTAATGATTCAGGGAGTTGTATTGTTTGAAGATTGATGCAATTAGCAAATAAATTTGATGAAATATATTTTAAATTTGAAGGAAGTTGAATTGTTTCAAGTTTAATGCAGTATCGAAACGAACATTGTGAGACTTCAGTATTTTGGGAATGAAAAATGACTGTTTTCAAATTTGAACAAGATTCAAACGAATTGTTCTCGATTATTAAAAGATTTGGAGGTAATTTGAGACTTTCTAAGCTATTACAAGAATTAAATGCATGTTTATGAATTATTTCTAATGAATTTGGAAATGAAATCTTAGTGAAATTACTCAAATTTGCATATTGATATTCTCCGATTTCTTTTATGCCTTCAGGGATGATAAAAGTGCCGGTATCTTGAAGATTAGAAGCTGCTTGGCTCAAAAGAATCAAAGGAAAAATCATATGATTTGATAAATCTGTAAAGTTCTCAAATTAAAAAATCAGATCATTCGGATCTATAATATAGCGTGTTTGTGTCACAATAAGTTGTTCTTTCGAAAGAATAATTGTTATTATAAATCATTTATCAATCTTTTTTATTCCTTGATTTTGAATTCTTGATTTTGATGTTGTTGCTGAAGAATGGTAAAGTTACGGATCATAGATAATGCGATCAAAATCGATCAGATGTTTTGTTTTGCTCGCTTCCGGCTTGATTTCATTTCTAGCATATTGATTTTTGTTTAACCAGTGATTCAGCTCACTCAATATGAATAAGTCTAGCGTTTTGGACATAAACCTTTTAGTATCATAATTTGAGAACCTATAGCATCTAAGCAATAATAAATTGTAGTAACTTCTTCAAAGTTATTGAATTTTGCAGTATAGGCTACTGATATAAACATTAACCAGCTAAGATAAGCAGTAACTTGATTAATTTCGGCAAAACAAATTCCTGTTGAGAATCTTTCATTTGTCCAAGGGCTTCCTCTTGAACCATGAGAATAGGCAATTACAGGAATCCTTTCGTTCTTGTAGAGGGCTTCATTCAAATTATTATAATAAAGAAAATAACAGTTAAAGTGTAATATAAATACTGCAAAATAATTTAAGGCTCCAGCACCATCCTTTCGATTTTTAAAATTGAATATATCCGTCAATAAGAGTTTTCATGACTTATAATTAAAGATATTATATTAGTGTAATATAAGCTATAATATTATATTATGACGTAGGGTGTAGCATTGCTAGAACGTTATTTGTAAATTTCACTATTATCAACTTTGAACGACATAATTCGTCCTATAAACAAAAGAACTCTGTCATGTTGTAGGATATTAGTAAACATGACTTTTACTTCTCCCTGATTGAGTTATTTTTTCAACAAAGAAAAATGAAAAAGTAACTTTTTACAAAATCTAATAATAAGTGATCCATAATTTTATTATTAATAAACATGTTACTACATATTCTTTAGATATATCAAAACATTGAATAGCATTAGCTTCTTTCGATTTTTATCAAAGTATATAAAATTACCACCTGAAAAAAATTGACATATTTTGACAAAGAAGAAAAAACTTTTAGTTCCGCTCTGTCACATTATTAGCATGCTAGTGATGTTTATTATTATGTCTTAATTTAATTTTATATATAAATGAAGAATGAGGAATTAGATTAGCAATATCATTACGAAAATAGCATTTTTAAAAGCTTTTAATTCTATATGAGATAAATAGACATGAAAAGTAAAATCTGATATGAATATAATTTAATATGAACTATTATATTATAGTTGAGATTGTTTGTCAAAACGGTTTTTTGACAAGTAAGTATTCAATTTTTCAAAAGAATATTCAAAAAAATTGAATGATATCTCAACGTATAAGAAAAAACTTTTAGTTCCGCTCTGTCACTTTGTTAGGAAAATTATATAGTTTCTATCGACACTAACAGTATACCCAGCTGTGAAAGGTATATTGAGGAATTAGGTTTGCAAGATTGTAATTTTTGTTATTTTTTTCCAAATTGAGAGGATTTTTGACGATAGAGCTGGACTATTTTTGAACAACAATTTCATTACCTTAAGCATTATAAAAATTTGAACAAATTTTATGACGTAATAGTATAAGTTATAATTTATTAATTTCAAAAAGAAATGACCAAAAAATTCCTTTCCAATATGTTGAATCAAATCGATTTTATAAATAAAATTTAAACCTTAAACTTGATTTTTATAAAAGTGACATTTATTAACTTTCAATAACTTAATCCCAAAGTAAGAAGCTAATCCAATCATATAAAAATGTTATAATTAACCACATGTTTATTCATTTATGATATCATTATGCTTCAAAATCTATAATTCTAAAATTCAAATTATCAATTATCAAAAAATCTTTATTTGTCATATATCAAATAGAAAAGTTAACATAAATCATCTTTCAAACTATAATATAGTTAAATTCGAAAATTTCGAAATCAGATATTATTTAAATTTCTTACATGGTAGATGTATACACAATCTAATGGTATATTTTTGCTCCTCATTATCCACTCATTCTAACTAAATATATCAAGTAAATGAAATTATCAAAAATCTTGAACAATAAGTTGTTAGAGAAGATGGAAATGAATCAAATGTTAATTTTGTGCAATTATAAAATGCAAATTCAGATATTACAGAAATACCAGAAAAATCTATTTTGCCTAGATTAATACAATTCTTAAAAGTACCAGACTGTATGCCTAAACCTTTTGGAAGATTTATTGATCGAAGATTTGTACAATTGCAAAAATATTCCATTCCAATGAAAGTAACGTTTGGAGGAATTTCAATATGTTGTAAGCTCGAGCATCCATGAAATGCATTGTCATGAATAGATTCTAATGATATAGGAAGTTGTATTGTTTGAAGCTTACTGCAATTGTAAAATAAATATGAGTAGGTGCCAAAAGTGCTTACTCTTAAACAACCGTCGGATTTTCCGGGTGAAATCGTGACACACTTTCGTCTTTCGTAGGCAGTGGTGGTTGTTACAAAAGGTAACTTCGAATGTAGCGTGAAATCTGCAAAAAAAATTCTGAAATTTGAATGGAGAACACAAAAATTGAATAGTTTACGTCAATAAAAAAGAGAAAAATGAAGCCAATGAGTCTCGAACCTAGGAATTAGAGCAGCAAATCCACTGTTTATCCCATTACACTACATGCATGTCTCACCTAGTGAATGAGATCAACTATATGATAACTTTTTCCCCATTATATTCTTGTGGAAAAGTGACAAATAGCAACTTTGACCCTCTCTCAAATAAATATGATGAAATGTATTTCAAATTTGAAGGAAGTTGAATTGTTTCAAGGTTAATGCAGTATTGAAATGAATATTGCATAATTATGGTATTTTCGGAATGAAAAACGACAGTTTTCAAATTTGAACAACTTTCAAAAGAATTATCCTCAATTATTAAAAGATTTGGAGGTAATTCGAGACTTTCTAATCTATTACAAGAATAATATGCATGTTCATGAAACAGTCATTTTTTATTCCGAAAATCTTAGTGAAATTATTCAAATTTGTATATTGATGTTTGCACCATGTGAAATAAGAAGATCAGCTGTTTCTTTACTATTATAAAATGCTGCAATATGAATGGCAGTTCCTCCATTTTTTTTTCATTGATATTTGCACCATGTGAAATTAGAACTTCATCTATTTCTTTTCTATTTTCACGGGCTGCAAAAAGAAGAGCTGTTTGCCCACTTTCATCTTTTTCGTTGATATTTACACCATGTGAAATTAGAAGTTCGGCTGTTTCTTTACTGTTTTGCCATGCTGCATAATGAAGAGTAGTTTTTTTTCCCTTTTATCTTTTTCATTGATATTTGCACCATGTGTAAGAAAACATTTACAAAGTGATGGAATGTTGAACCTCGATGAATAAACAAAGTATTGATTAATATCATTAGTTTGATCGAAATAAACTAATTGTGATTCAAGATCTTTAAATTGATCTTTAAATTGAACTCATTCATCATGAATGTAACAAAATCAATGATATTTCACACTTTCACTCATTATCTCAGGATTTTTTCCTAAAAATGATAATTCAAGACATGTTAGAGTGATTTCTGAGCTGAATTTGGTTCTGAATAATTTGAAACAATCAACTACTCCATGATACCAACATAATTCAAGCAATGAATAACCTTTTTCAAAATATGGATACAACTTGCTTATAAGCTTTTGATATTGATCAAATTCTTTTCTTTCTGTGAATGTGATGAATCTTTCTAAGTCATTATTCATAATTACTCTGTAAATTGTATCTTCTGAATGAATATCGATATTTTCGGAATTAGATTTTCCGAAATCATTGGATTTGTATAATTTAATTCCATATTCTTTGTAAAATAAGAATTCTCAAATATCGCAAATATTATTGATCGTTTCAATACTATAATCATCAAATATGCGTTAGGCAAGATATAAATATGACTTTGCATAGCGATTATTATATGTAACTATATCTAAAATATCTTTGATTATATTTTTGGGAGGATATTTCGTTAAATCAATCAAATCTGATTTGATCGATTTGTAAATGGTGTTTAAATTTTCTTATTTTTCCGTTTTTAACTGATACAAAGCATTAAACGAATCAATATGATATTTATAGATACCTCGCAATTCATTATATTTAATTGGATGAATGTCTTGATAGGACATTAAGGATACCCTTACGTGTCAGATTTTTTGCGCATACGAAGAAGTCATGCTAGACATGAGCTATAAACCTGAAATTTTAGCAACATATTTAAAACTTTTTAAACTACAATACATTTTAATATTCAAGAACAAAAATATTCTTTTTAGAAATTACATAATTATTTTATGTGAAATCTATATAAAAACATATTTTGCGAGCGTAACTTTTTTCTTTATAAGCACCTTATATGACTGATAAACTGTGAAGGCACATAATTGTTAATTCATAGAGTTGATATGTTTCCAAAATTGAGAGGAAATTTGAAAATTGAATACCCTTTCAATTCAATTTTCAAAAGATATCAGCTCCTTCAATAATTGAAGGACGATTTTGATCATTTGCTCTTAAAACAAGTATGCCATGGAGAAAAAAGTTACGCTCGCAAATCTGAAATATAACTATCATATAAAAAAATTAAATTTCTAATTTTTTACTCTATAGATATTATTGGCCACTTGTGTAATGCATAAAAGTTTATGCCATATGCATACATTTGGAAGTATGGGAGACGAGGGAAATTACTTCTATGAGGCACTAGGATTTTTAAAAATTTCTCTATCGGACTCACCATTCAATTTCTCGAAAATTAAAAAAATCAATAATAGCTAAAATGTATTATGCATAACAAATTTTAATGTTACACGGTATTTTTGAACTTCATGACATGAATTTTCTTTATATTATTTTTTTTTGGATTTTCTATGATTTATGCGATAGGCTGGAACAACATTGTAAGTGCAATGATATCATTTATAGAGAAATCTAAAACTTCAGCATTCAGAACTCGCAACCACAAAAATATTCATTTGCTAAGTAAGTAAAGTTGATTAAGTTCGACACTTAGCTTTTATACGTAAAACCAAGTGTGTATTGTTATTTCTTGTTAAATTATTGAGAAAAAAATAAATTGTAAGAGAAACGATACTGATTATTGAAATAATATTGAGGGTAGCTGCAGATTTCTTCATTAACATGCCGGAAATTTGTTAATCTTGGTTTTCTATCATAAAATCTGTCGAAGAATCTAAAAACGGAGATATGAAATAGAGATCATGTAAATCTAGAGTATCCTGTCAGAAAAATAGACTAAGCATGTAACCCTTTTTTGGTCATAAACACTTTTTACCACTTAGTCATACAGATGATCATTAAATTTAAACGAGCACTTTTTGTCAGAATTTATTCTTTTACAAAGACAGAAGATTTTAGTATTATTTAATATTAGTGCTGTAGCAAAATTCAAAAAACGGTGAAAATTCAGTGAATTTGTGAATTCACATTTTTTTCGACATTTTTCTTGATATATCCATGCACATTAAGAACACAGCTTTGATACGCTTAAAAAAGCATATTTTATATGAAATTGTTAAAGAAATAAACAATTTATATAAAAATTGCACTTATGGGCAGTTTAGATATATAATTTATATATAACATATATACAAATCCATAGACAAAGTGCAATAACTACAATGTTGTAGAAAATTACAGCAGAAATACTGACTTTTTGAAGGATAATAAGAATTCTTCTAAATGTTGTATTTTTATAATTTGATTTTTTTTTACTATTTCATTAATCTTTTATGAATAATAATTATTTTTAATATATGTGCTATTAAAATTTCAAATTTTGACTAATATATCTAAGTTATCTGAACGAAACATTTAGAAAATATCATACTTACATTGAAATAGCAAGTAGAGCATATTAATAGCAAGTTTCTTGGCTTTATATCTATCATCTATTGTTGTTTGATCAAACAAAATTCACTCTATTATATGGTGTCAATTAATTAAAACAATTTTTAATAGTTATTTATTTAGTGCGAATAAGTGCAAACTCATAAATGAATAACTTAATAGTAGAAATGAATTATCTGATATAAATCTCACATTTTGTCCATCAGAAATACTTTAATTGCATACGCATAACTATTAGTAATACGTCTGGAGTGTCAATTAATAACAATCCCACAACAAGTAAAATTCAGATTTTTATTAAACTTATTTTTTCCTAAAAGTTTTCTCAAATTACTATATATACATATGTGGATAAAATAATAGTAATATTGTAAAAAATTAGATAATTTTTTTTATTTGAGAACCTCTCAAAAGTTCATTCAATTTATCAATTGTTTCAGTTTGATGTATATTCATTTCTGGAGCCTAAAACTTTCGCAATCATGACAATATCATATTCTCTTTCTAACTACGCAATGTAAGGGTATCCTTAACAATAAATTAAATTTTTTATTTTAAATTTACCTACATAAATTTTAAGATTCATAGATTTTCTGAAATTTTCATTTTATCAAATGAAATATCTTTTAAATTTTAATATTTTCATTTGAGAAAGTCTGTTCGGATATTGAAGGAAAAATTTAAAAAGATTAAAATCTGACATCTGGTGTGAAGAAAAATGGTGGACTTCTATTAATTCTAGTCCATAACTCACATAATTCTAGTTCTTGATTTTGATATATAATTGTAATAAACAGAAATTCATCAAAAGTGACAGCTCTCAATTTTTTGACATTTGTAAATTCTAAATTGAAGGAGAAAAATGAAATAATACTAAGCATAATACAATATTCTAGATTTAATTATAATTAGGGAAAAGTTAGTTTTGAGAGTACTTTTCATAGGCATATAGAATGAAATCTTCTGAAAAATAATATCACATAAACTCATATTATTTTCTAATATATAACTATTTTATATAAAAATCAAATTCAATGATCTTAAAAGCGAAGGATAAACCTCAAAATTTACGAATATAATGAGTGGGAATATAATGCTTATCTATCATAAAACCATATGAAATATCAATTTTTGCTTTACGCCTAATTTTTGACGACAATTAGCAAAAAATGTTAAATGTTAACACTCAGTCCATTTGAATATGAAAAATAAAATTGACTTTGATTAAATGTTTTTATTTATCATGCAATTCTTCTTGCGACCAAAGATTTGAATAAAAGTTCAAAAAATAAGATAGCTTAAAAAATAATATACGGTAGTGTTTACTAATAGATGAATAGTATATAAATTCTATTAAAATAAGGGTTTCGTTTTGCTAAAATTGTCACTTTTATAGCATATTTGTTTTTGGATGTTTTGCGAAACCAAAAAAAAACTATGATATACAATGTGTGTGTAAAGAAAATACTTTATTTACTAGTTAAAAAATCATTTGGTATTGATCAAGTTATTTTTTCTGGATAAGATATTATATGGATAATTGGATAGAAAATACAATTATATAATCTTGTACCTGGTTTAATTAAGCTAATTGTCATCAGAAACTTGTAATTTTTATGAATTTCAGATTTTCTTTTCATTACTGCTTTTCTTAATAGGTCAAGTTCTTATTTACGTTATAAAGTATGATATTTACAAATATCAAGTTATCGTGTTTTTTGAGAAATTATGAGAAACAAACAAAAATGAAAAAGATAGGAATAGCAATGAATAGTGATGTGGGTATAGAAAATGTAAGAGATATGAATGCAAAGCAATCAGTATTTAGGATATTGACCATAGATTTCGAAAAAAAAATGCTGCATATTGAGCGAAAACTATGATTATATTATAAGGCTGTCATTTAAAGCATAATGAAACTATTCTCTTTTCATTTTAATCGAATAAGATAGTAAAGATTTTTGAATTAGCTAGAAACTGATGAGATGTTTTCACAAATCAGATTTTTAATCTCTATAATGCATAATTCACTCAATATCTCAATTTTGATATTGCGAGATATTTTTGCTATCGGTTTCGCAATTTTGACACAATAGCAAGAGGGTTCTATAAGCATTATTATCAACGTAGAATCTGAATATCATATCAGAAAATGTCGCAAATCTGACATTTACCCGACCAAATAGCAAAAATAATTGAATACTTTTCGCAAAAACTTTAAAAATCGATAAAAATATGAAATATATATATTAAAGAGACTTTCTATATAATATTCATAAAGATTTTCCAAAAATATGATACCGCAAAATTAAAAAAGTGACGTCTTGAGTGGAGTCAAAGGTCGAAATTGCTAGCTAAATGTTTTTTAGCGAAATTGCGTATTGTACGTTTTTTTCGCAAAACGAAACCCTTAATTAAAATGGATTTGATCCAAAAAAATATATAAAATTTGATCATAAATAAAATCGTTTTAAATTACTTCTTCATTTAAATTATAACAATTATTTTTGGTTTTATATTTTTTTGGATCAAATCCATTTTAATAGAAATTATATACTATTCATCTATTAGTAAACACTACCGTATATTATTTTTTAAGCTATCTTATTTTTTGAACTTTTATTCAAATCTTTGGTCGCAAGAAGAATTGCATGATAAATAAAAACATTTAATCAAAGTCAATTTTATTTTTCATATTCAAATGGACTGAGTGTTAACATTTAACATTTTTTGCTAATTGTCGTCAAAAATTAGGCGTAAAGCAAAAATTGATATTTCATATGGTTTTATGATAGATAAGCATTATATTCCCACTCATTATATTCGTAAATTTTGAGGT